CTGGTTCGGCAGAAAAAAGTCTCTTTAGTCTCTCAAACGCTGCTTGGCACTCCATTGTCCATGTTAGTGGCTGGCTAGGTTTTACTGAGGATGTTCCCTTCGTTTTTAGTAAGTTGGTGAGGGGCAAGGCTATCTGTGCAAATGAGGGGATGAATTGGCGGTAAAAATTTGCAAAGCCCAGGAAACTTTGTAGTTGCTTTCTTGTGCGGGGTGGTGCCCATTCTAATACTGCTCTGACCTTCTCTGGGTCCATTTCAATGCCCTGTGGGGATATGCGATAGCCTAGGTAGTCTATCCTTTCCTGGTGGAATTCGCATTTTGAGAGTTTGGCATATAGGTGAGCGGCTCGCAGCTTCTTTAAAACCGCTCTGACAAGTTTGACGTGTTCTTCTTTTGTTTCAGTAAAGATAAGAATGTCGTCCAAGTAAACAAGGACCCCCTTAAACAGGTGCTCCCTTAGAACGTCATTGATTAATTGCATAAAGACTGCAGGGCCCCCTTGTAATCCAAATGGCAAGACTTTGAATTGATAGCACCCCATGGGGCAGTTAAATGCAGTCTTCCATTCGTCCCCTTCCTTGATTCTCACGCGATAGTAAGCTTCCCTTAAGTCTAGTTTAGAAAAAATTTTCCCTTTCGATAGGTGTGACAGCATGTCTTTCATGAGGGGCAGCGGGTATAGGTTGCTTTCACTGATTGTGTTCAGGGCCCTATAATCCACGCATAAACGTAAAGAGCCATCCTTCTTCTCTCTAAAAAGGACCGGGGCAGCCACTTTAGGCTTAGCTGGTTCAATGAAACCTCTCTCCAGGTTTTTTTTTATAAATCTTTCCATTTCCTCCTTCTCCTTTGGGCTCATGGAGTATAATCTGGGCTTCGGGAGTTTTGCCCCAGGCTTGAATTCAATGGTACAGTCTGTGGGTCGGTGGGGGGGAAGCTCATTCGCCCTCTCCTCACTGAAGACTTCAGCAAGGTCCCTATATTCCTCTGGTATTTCTGTTAATCTTTTTTCCTCTCCTATGGATGCTTTTTCTATTCTTGATTCTGGTAGCCTCTCTTGGGGTTTTAAGTCCATAGGGTCCCCCTTCGGGAATTTGATTTCTGTCGTCCTCCAATTTACCCAGGGGTTCCATTTTTTCAACCATTCCATCCCTAGAATCATTGGGCATTCCATACCTGGGGTCACCACAAACGTTAAGTCCTCTTCATGGTTGCCCAGGGAGAGGTGTATTGGCAGAGTGGCTAGGGTAGCTGGCACCCCCCCTGCTATGGATCCATCTAGCTGGCCAAATGAGATTGGTTGTTCCAGTCTCCTGGATGGGATGCCCAGATTCCCCACTAGTGTTGGGCTAATGAGGCAGCGGGTGCAGCCAGAGTCTATTAAGGCTTTCACCTTCACAGCTTCGGGCATGGGGGGGATTAATATAGTCACTGTTTTGAAGATGGGTGTGATGCGTCCACTTACCAGGGGTTCGCCTTCCGAGCTGTCATCTGAGGCATCCACCGTCCCTGTGGTGTAGGCTGGAGTTCTTTCCCCTTGGTGAGCAGAGGTGGGGTTTTCTGCAATTTCCATCATTTTCATGGCTGTTTCTTTTGGCTTAGCTGAATACCCTCTGGGTTTGTTGATTGGGGATCTGTCTGGGTTGTGCTGGGGGGCCTTTGAGCGGCATTCTACAGCTCGATGCCCTTCTCTTCCGCACTTGAAACACCCCATCTGCTTCTTGGCTGTATCCGATGATTTCACCGGTTGGTGTGTCAGCTCAGGCGGGGGGCGGCTCCATTGTTTTCCTCGGCGATGCCTCTTCAATATGTCGATCTCTGCTTCCTCTGCCAAGACGTACCATTCCTCAAGTCGATGTGGGTCTCCTCGGGGCAGGCAAGCATCATATAGATCATAGTTTAGTCCGTCTTTGAAACGGCCAAGGAGGATGTCTTCTGGCCAATTCAGTTTGCTGGCAATGGCTCGGAATTCTTGTGTATACTCAGCCACTGGGCGTTTGCCCTGCCTCATCGTTGTTATTCTTTCACGGGCTTTGCGATCAGCCAGGGGGTCTTCAAATCGTCTTCTCAACGAGGACATGAAACGGTTGAAGTTACTGAGTTCTGGGGCATTGGAGTCATGCAGGTTCACCACCCAATCTGCAGCTGGTCCATCCAGGGCAGATTGCACGATCCGGATGCGGGCTTTGTCGCTGGGGATGTCCTGCCCATATTCCTCCATGTAGCTGAGGACTTGGGTTAGGAAAAACCCCAAGCGTGTTGGCTCCCCTTTGAATTTCACCTCCAACGGTGGACGTCTTGGAATGGATCGGTGCCTCCATTGTGGGTGGTAGTGTCTTCCGTCCAGATTTCCATCTGTGGTCCGGTAGGGGGTGGGAGCTCCTGGATCAGTAAATGTCCCTGGGGTTGCAGGTTCCACGTCCCCCTCGGTGTCTCTCCCTTTGTGGCTCCAGGAACTGGGGCGGGCGTAGGGCTCAGGAATCTCCTCTCCTAGGGAGCTGAGAGTTCTCTTCATCAGGTCAATAGCTCTCTCTAGGATCCAGTCTGAGTACGGCATACAGCTTCCTCCCTCTTCACTTGCGTGCAGGGATTTCTCCATCTCCTGCTTCCATTCTGGTTGCTTGGTTCCCCGTCTCAGGGTCACTTTTCTTGATTCCTTTCCCCACTCGCTTTTCTTTCCAACGCCCATCGACCAGCGAGGCTTGTGGTCCTGTGTCTCCACCACTTCTTCTTCTGAGAAATCTGGCCTCTCGGATCCCAACATCTGGCAAGGTTCCAACTGGGTCAGCGGCTCTCTTTCCAGGGAGTTTTCTCCCTCTCTTGCTTCGTTGTCTGACATGGTAAATTTTTGCAAAATCCCCCGGCAAGGGTCTACCTTCCAGGTGGATTAATTTTGCAAGTCCTGTCTAATGTAAGGACCCACCCCACTTTGCATCTTAAGAAGACAGAACTCTTGGAATAGCTCTTCCAACAGGAATCCTTTATTAAGAGAAAATGGTTGCAGGCATGCTAGACAGGACTTGGGGTTCAAGCTCTCCCATTCAAGGTTTTAAGGGGTTCCCCAGTAGTCCCACCCAATCAACCCCCCTTCCAGTGATAGTTTCAAGTATCACAATTCCATCCCCTTTCTTCTTCCGTCTGGATGGAGACTTCAGATAACTACATGAAAGGCAATTACTCTTCTTTGATATGTTAAAGCTTAGAGGCCACAATAAACACACATTCAGTCCTTTGAAGTGTGCTGAAGGAAGTGAGGGCCATAAAGCCCCTTTGCTCTCCCCCTTTTCTCCCTCTTATGGCAGAATCCAGAGAAGGCAGAATTGGGAGTTTCTATGTTTGATAATTAAAGATGAAATATAATTGGATTCTGACAGAGGGTCTCTTTAAATTAGGCACTCATATGCCTAATTCCTCCATATTTGCTCCTTTTCAGAGCCTTAAAAGCACAAAGAAGCAGATGTTTAATAAAACCTGCCACTTGTAATCAGAAAGAAAAAGAAAAAAGGATCATTGGTGTTTGCAATCACAGATCACATGAGAAGGAAATGAAATGCCTACAGGTTTTGTGGGGAAAGAAAATCAGCCGGTGCCAACGCGTGGGGGATTAATCAAAGGAAATTGCCCCTGGATGAACCTGTTTTCCACTTGTGGCTGAGATCCTTTAAAGGTAAACTCTAGTTTGAAGGAAAACTGGCTTGCCCAGCCAAAAAATGAACCAAGCTAGTTAAATGAAGACAACTATGGACAGCTGCCAATTCATTACGCTGATGTGTTTCCTCTGGAAAGCTAAAGCAGAATTTTTCTGCCATCCATTTTGGCTAATCCAACGTGAAATCTGGCCAGCCAGGAATGGCCAATGCCCTCCTCCTCCCTTTTCACCCTCCAGAAACAGACTGGATCAGGACCAGTTTAACCCTCAGGCCCGTAAACATCCACGTGTTGGAATAAACGAAGTTGAATCCTGCAGATTTCGTTCTGGCTGGGTGTTTTTCAAATGCTTCTCAGTGAGCAAAATGCCACTCTGACTTGCTCGGTTGACGGAAGACGTGCGCTGTGGGGCCAGAATGAAACCAGCCCATATTATGACTAAGTGCTCTGTGGGAATTGGAGGACGGAGGCTGTAGCCGTGTTTGAGATGCTATTGGAAGGCCCGGTACATTCTTTGCTCCCACAAAAAAGCGTTTTGCTTTTGCCACATTCCTTTTTTCTTACAGCGGGATGATGCTCGCAGTACTTGTAAATATGCGCTGGGATCTTCAGCGGGGAGGGAGGGAGGGAGGGAGGGATTACCAGCTGGGAAATAAAAAGGGATTTCAGAACAGCAATGTTTCTCAACTTTGGCGACTTTACGATAGGTGGAATGCAAATCCCAGAATTCCCCAGCCAGCCATGCATGGGGAATTCTGGTAGCTGAAGTGCACCCTTCTTAAAGTTGCCAACGTTGGGAAACTCTGTGCTAGAGCTTTAATATCTGGGGTGGAGTTACCCCCAAAAGAAATGTATGTCCCATCTTTCACTTAACACACACAAACGTTTGCTCTCTGTGGCCCCTTCCAGCCTGGGAGTTCTGTGTTCCAAAGGACATGCCTGGCTCAGGATTTCTGGGAGTTGAAGTCCACAAGTCAGAAAAGGACCAAGTCTGAAGACCCCTGGTCTAGCATGATCTTCCCTAGTTGGGGCCATGAAACGTCTGCAAGGCAACCCCCAAGCTCAGAGAGCACCAAGGACCCCACAATCCTCCTCCTCTTCTATTCTGAAAACCCGCCTCTCTTCTAGCACTGATGATGTTCCCTAGTTGGGTCACGAAACGTCTGCAAGCAAACCCCTCCCAAATCGAGAGAGCATCAAGGGCCCCTCAGTTCAACCCGGCGCTACAAAGATTCTCCTTGAAAGACTACATTTCCCGGCAGGCGGCGGGAGGCAGCGCAAGACACAGCTGGAAAGGCGGGGCGGGGCGGGAGCACCTCCCCCCTTCCCTCCTCCTTCCCGCCCGTCTGCCTGCTCCGGCGGGGCGCGCGCTCGGCTGCAGCCTATTGTCTGGCCGGGGTCTCGCCTCCCGCGGGGCGCGCTGATTGGCTGGCTCGGTCTCCCTCGCCCCCCCCCCGCGGCAGGCGCCCCCCGCCCAGCCGCCGCCGCCGCTCCTTTTTCTGCGGCTCCCGCGACCGGGGCGCATCTGCGCTCCTGGCCCTGCTGGATGCGGAGGGCGCCGCCGCCGCCGCCGCCACCGCCGCTGCATGGGGGAAGCGCCGCCGCCCCCCCCGCCTGGCCGCCTCGCCCCTCGCCCGCGCCCCTCGGCAAGATGATGAAGTTTCGCTTCCGCCGCCAGGGCCACGACCCCCAGCGGGAGAAGCTCAAGCAGGACATCTACGCCTTCAACAAGGTGGGGGCCCGGCCCGGGCTAGGACACCCTACCCATCATCCCCGGCCCGGGGTCCCTGCGACGCTCCCCGCTCCGGCGGGGCCCCTGAGCCGAAGGGGCGCCGGTCCTCGGCCCCAGCATCCCCTGCCGGTCCCGCACATCTGGGGGCGCCTGGTTGAAGCAGGCAGGCAGGCAGGGGAAGGGGAACGGGGGAGCGTCGGGGGGGGCCAGGTCCTTTCGGCTATTGCTCTCTTTTAGGGGTCCTGGTTCTTGAAGCGGGGGCGGGGGCCGCGGGAGATGGGATGCGGTCCAGCTCGGGCTGTTTCCCTCGCCTTTCGCGGCTTCGGAAAAATGGGGAGGGGGCGAGAGAAGCCGTGCCTTTTCTTGGCTATGGGAATCGCCCTGTTTGGCGCGAGGGGCTTGGACCTGTTCCGAATTGGGGGGGGGGCGGGCGAGAGGACAGAGCTGAACTAGCCCCCCTTCCAAAAAAGGGGGGAGGCCACTTGGAGAAGGAGAGTTAAATTCTGCGTCCCCGGGAAGAAAGGGGTGCTGGGGAGGGATCCCGAACTGCCCCTTTTGCATTTGCTTGTCCACCCCACCCACCCGTTTTTCGCCTCTGGGGCCGCCCCTCCCTCTTGCAGGGTTAAGCCCAACGGAGGGGGCGCCGAGACGGTCCTTTCAGGGTGGTGGGGGGAATTAAAAGGAAGGCAAGAGAGCAGAGCAGAGCAGGCACCGGACCTCTGGCCCGGGGGAGGGGGGAGCAACAGCCCGAGGCAGTGGCTGCTGCTCCCCTTGTGCAGGAGTAACTCTCCCAGCCCAGCCGAGGTTGGCTCTGTTCCTGGGTTACCCCATCAAAAAGCTTCGGAGCGCCTTCAGTGTGTGCGCGTTGTGTGTGTGTGCGCGCGTGCAACCTGCCTTTTTTATTTTCCTTTTCCAATTCCCTCCCTTCCCACGCTCGCTCCCAGTAAAGGTGTCTCTCTCTTTCTCGTCCGGGGAGGGGTTGCTAGAAGCTCCTGATTGTTTTTCACACCTCCTCGGCGCTCCGTAGGCAACTTGCGCCGGGGATGTTGTTCGTCGGAGCCCCCAGCCGGCTCCCTTTCCCCAAACCTCGGCCTCCATCTGGCGCTCGACTGAGAAAGGAACAGACCCAGCATCTTCCCCACCGCCCCAGCCCCGCCCCCTTCGCGCGCGCGCGCACACACACACATGCGCGCACACACACACACACACACACACACACACACACACACACACACACGCGCGCGCGCGCGCGCCACTCTTGTTCCTTTCCAAGCTGGCTGCTCTGGTGCGTCCCTCCTCCTTACAGCCCGTTTGGTCCAGAGGGGGAGGCTGGGTGTCCATTGTGAGGCTGTGGAGTTCTCCCCCTGCCTCCCCCCTTCCTGGGCCATCTGCAGCCCTCCCCCCACCCACCCCCACCCTCCTTTTCAGCTCCTTCCCCCTTTGAGGGAATGGAAGCAATAAAAAATCTGCAACTGTAGATCGGGGAAGGCTGGCCTTGGACAAGAATGAAGAGGGTTCTCCTTTGGGTAAACGGCCCAGCGGGCTGCAAGGGTGTTTGGACAGGGTGGGGAGAGGCTCCTCTGCCCCCTCAAATAGCTCATTCCTCCTCCAGAGAGGTTTAAGGCATTTTTTTGGGATATGGTGGTGTTTTCAGCTTATTTATGCAAACCAGCTGGGCTGTTGCTGGTGACATTTGGAAATGTTGAAAAAAGTCATATCAAGGAAAGCAGATCCTGTTCACACACCCCCCCACACACACACAATAGTTTGACCACTTTGTCCAGAATTTAGAAGCAGTTTGGGGGAGGGTGGGCTGGAAAGCATCCCCCTCCTTTTCAACTCCATCCTGTTTCAGAGCCTCTGTTTTGAATGCTCAAGAGCTGGGTCAAACCTTGCTGGAGGTTTAGGAGAGCCCCCTCCCCTAATTGTGATGGGCTTCAAAATCCCTGGAGAGCACCATGTTGGGGTTGCTGATTCGGGCAGAGCTAGTTCTTATTTTCAGGAGGCTAACAGCCCAGGTCGACACCTTCAGAATTGGCCAGGATTCTTGGTTTGTTTCTCGAGCAGCTCCTCTTTAAAGAGAAAAAGGCAAACTGTCTGGGCCAAGATTTCATTGGGGGGGAGGACATTAGATAATACATTGCCTGGGCTGGGTTCAAACTTGATAGCCAAAAAGATTTCGGATTGCTTGCAGTTTTTTTTTCTCTCAGAATAGTTCCACCCCTTTTATAGCCTTCCTTTTTTCATTCTTTACTTTTGTGTTCTTTCTTGCTCTGCCTGCTACATTCTGGTAACCTCTTAAATTGAACCGTTGTTCCAAGGTCTGCGTTGCTGGAGGAGGGCTGGAGCTAATGAAATCCGAACTGTATCTTGGATACATCGGCTGCTGTATTTGCTCCAGACAAACAGCTTTGGGTCAAATTCGGGGCTGACCCAAAATATGGACTGCATTAAGCCCGGATCTCCCTGGGATTTGTAGGCTGGCTTTCCTCCTGTCCAGCCCAACCCCAGTAGTGTTGCTTGAGGAATGTTGTGATTTAATCTCTCCTTTCTTTGATAGGGCAGGGACCAAGTTAGGAATAAGCCTGAAATGGCTTGCGTGCAGGGCAGGAAACTCAAAACTGATGATGTTTGTTGGTTTCCCACCCGTCTGGGAGCCGGTTCCCTCCTTCCCTCATTTCTCCTGCAATTTCTTTCTTAGAGTCGGTGCAGGATGACACCCTCTGGGTCAGAATTAACTTCAGACAGTTGGGCTTACGCACAGTTGTGCATTTCATTTCTTCCTCATTGCACTTTAATCCTGTCTTTTTTTCTGCTGTGCGCTGTGGGATTGTCTTCTTCCTTTCTCTCCCTCCGTCGGGAATCCTCACAACATCCCTGCTGGGCAGGCTCTGGCAGCAGTTGTTCCAAGATCACCCATCCAGAGTTGCTTTAACAGAGAAATAGGCAGCGTATAAATTTAATAAATAATAAACAATGAATGAGCTTTGGGACTGAGGGGCTTCAGCTTATGTCTTGCCCTGTGTCGCCTCGCCTGGAATGGATAATTGGGGGGGGGGAGGTTCCAGATATATTTGAACCCCAAGACAGCCATGTATGATGCAATCTCAAGGGAAGCTGGGGTGCTTGTGCCCTCCAGGCAAAAAAAAAAAATGAACTGCTGGCTGAGTTTCCACCTTGCAGCTATCCTCTGTCCTCAAGCCCCCCCCCCCATTCGCAAGAACAGCCGCTGTCTCAGCCTGGCGTGTTGCAACATGGAAGGGGTGGAAAGGATTCCCTCCCCGTTCGGGATGAGCTTTGCCCAGGAGCCTGTGCCTGAGAGCAGCACAGCCAGTACCAAGAATTGGGGGGGAGGCAGCAGCGGCCTGATTGATCCCCTTTCTTGGTATTCTGGTTTTGAACTTTGCCGAATGGCCTGTTGATCTTGGCCCGGCCGGCTCTGAGTTGCCACCGGTAACACGTGGGGCTTCAGCAAACACGGCAGGCAGGCAGCCGAGGGCCCCTTTCCGGGTCACCAAAGGCCGGCCTTTGGCGCTTTGCTGTGGCCCACTCGCCCAGGGATAAGAGTTAGCCAAACATCAAAGAAATGGTGGAACGGAACCATTAAAGAAAGGATGCAAAAGGAGGGACAGGGTGAAACGTGATTGACAAAAATTAAAACAAGTTTTTATTTGTTTTAAGTAATTGTATTATTAAATTGTCCCATGGCAAGCTGGCTGTGGTGAGGTGTCTCATTTGGACCAAAGGCTCCTTTGGCGCCTCCCAGCGTGGCCCCGGATGAGGCCTGGCAACGGTGAGGGCGCTGCTGTCCGCAAACCTGCCCAGGGTGTCTAGTAGACTCATTTCCCTGGCTGGGTTCAGCAACCCATGGTTCCCGGCTGAACCAGGACTGGGCGGTTTGCGGTTCAGCAGGGGATGGGAAACCCAGGCAGCCTTAAAGCACTACAGGCAGTCCTTGACTTACAACTCAGGGCCACGATCGGGATCCGCATTTCCATTGCTATTCTGCAGAATTGCACCCATCTTACAACCTCTTTTTCCATGGTGTTAAGCGAATCGTTGCTATTGTTAAGTGAATCCAGCTTCCCCTGTTGACTGTTGCTGGTTGGGCGGGAAAGCCGCAAATGGCCATTGTGTGAACCGAGACATTGCAACCAGGGCAAATGAATTGTGATCATGGACGGGAGGCCGTGACGTTATAAGGGCGAGAAAAGATGGCCACTTTTTTCAGTGCTTTTGTAACCTCAAATGGTTGCTAAACAGATCTTTGTAAGTTGAGGACCACCTGTATAGTGTTTTCTTTTTCCTTTTTAAAGGGCAGTAAGTTGTATAGACTGAGGACTTTGGGGCTGTTGACCTGGGATTAGTTCATTTCACGGTGCCAGACATCGGCTAACCGGATTCCCCCATCGTGAGACGGTCCTGTTTGACTTTATTCAGAAGCCAATGGACCACTTTTAGCAGATCGGTTTTAAAATGATGTTTGTCCCCTCCTTCGGCAGAAAATCCAGACACAGACCTCTGGGGAATCAAGCCCCTAGTCCTCATGGTTATCAAAAAAGCAACGATGGCCCACCAGTTCCCTCTTTCTTTCCTCTCTGAACTTAAAGTTGAAAATTGAGCAACTACTAGACAGCCACAGCGGTGCCGAGCAGATGGCGAACGTGAGACGCCTTCCCTCCCTCCCTCCGCCTTCCCTCCCTCCCTCCGCTGTGCTGTTCTCGTGTATCCATGGAGTTCATAGCAAAAGAGAGACGTCAGACTTTGAATCGCTCCCCGGTTCAGAAGACAATCCAAAGGTTTCTCCTGGATGCAGGAGCGGCTGCCAAGCGTGTGAGGCCTTGGGTAGGATTAGCAAGGAGACACAGTGCTATTCACAGTCTCCGGGGGGAAGATCTGGGAGTAACGTTTCTTGGGGGGGGGGTGTTATTTAAGTCAGGGATACCCAACTGTCCACTGGACGCAGCTAATAAAGTTTGGGACTCCGTATTGCTTGAAGAGAGGCTGGAGAAGAACAGAGTCTTTTTCCCCATTCCAGTTTTCCTTTAAAAAAAGAAAGTCTTTTGGGAATTAATATTCCAGAATAAGAATGTTCCCCCCATTTCTCAATACTTAAATCAGGGTTTCCCAAACTTGGTGACTTTTAACACAAGAGGATTTCAATTCTCAGAATCCCCTAACCATTTAAGATGGGTGGACTTCAGCTCCCAGAATCCCCCAGCCAGCTGAAATTGGGTGGGGGCATTCTGAATGCAAGGCTGCTTCCCTCTTTGGAAAGCGGTGATGTAGCCCTGGGAGAAAGGGGCAATCTACCTCAGCCTGAGCTCTTGCAGAACCCTCAGGCCTTGCTTTTGGGGGGGAGCAGTGTTATTAGCTAGGTTGCCCCAATATTTGGCCTTCCAGAGATGCAATGAGAGAATCAGTGCCACTGTTTTCTTGCGGTGAATTCCTTCCTTCCTTCCTTCCTTCCTTCCTTCCTTCCTTCCTTCCTTCCTTCCTTCCTTCCTTCCTTCCTTCCTTCCTTCCTTCCTGCAAAGTGTTTTCAGACATGGGTCTGCCCCTCTCCCCCAGCAGATCAACTGAAAAGGCAGGTGTCTGTTTTGCAGGTGGCTGAGTGCGGGCAGCATGCTAGGCAGAGGGCAGATGCATGGCAAGGAGGGGGCAGAGCTCGGCTGCTGTCAATTGTGGGGTTGTGTATGTGCGGAGGATGTCTTGAGCTCTCCAGCAGAGCCCTTGGCAAGACGTCTCTCCTCTTTGATGTTTGAGAATCTCTCTCTGCACTTCATGGGGAGGATAGAAGCGTTTTGGTTTCCCTGTTGCTTGAGGACCAGATGCTTTTTTCTCTAATGGGTCTTTGATGCTGGACTGGCTGTGTGCGACTTTCCAGATGTTGCTCCATCGCCACTCTCTGCCTTCCTTTCCATTGGGGCTGTGGGTGGGAATTGCAGATGCAGAACATCTGGAGATGTCCAGATTCAGCCGAGGTGGCCCTTTCTGGCCTTTTCCTGCAGGCTGTGCAAGGGCTGAGGGGCAAACCTCTTCCTTCCTTTGCCAGGGGGATGAGGCCTGGACTCAGACAAGCTTGGCCTGTGGGGAGCCCAGCAGCTGGAAGTTTGGAAATTGGAAGGGCACCGCCAGAACACTCCCTCAAAGGGTGGCGGATCCAAATGTGTCAGAAACGTACAAGGACATCTTTTCTGAAATGAGTCAGTCAGTCAGGGCAGCTTCTCCTTCTGAACTGGGCCAGTCTTACAGGTCAGCACGGAAGTCGCTCGTCTCCAGTTCTGGAGGTGGCGAAGGCCCTCCTAAGATCTTATCCACAGAGCCATCTTCTCTGCTCATCTCCAGGGCGGGATCTGGAAGGGAGTTATGCACCAGGGTTGACTGACTCAGCTCACCTTTGACTGGCACGTTCTCGGGGTGGATGATAGGTAGGCTTATCTCCGGTGGGGCCTCGAGAGTGGACATGACTTCTCCATTTGACTGCCTCTTTGTAAGGCAGGATCCCAAATTCTGAAGCTGGCTTGGCCCCTGCAGAGACCTGCATGGATGCTTCTCCTGGCGTATTTCCTTGCCTTTCCCCCCTTTTCCATCAGCATTTCCTACAACTGCTCTTCTGTCCTCCTGCATGCTAGCAAGGACCGTCTCTCTTTCCTGCTGGCGGAGTCTTCTTCCTGGAGCAGAGTCTGTTGGCATAATCTGGACTGCAGGAAGCACCTTAGCCGGCTATGGTCCTTTCCCCAGCTTTGCAGGAAATGCAGCACACCTTTACCTTATTGCAAGGTGATTTAATGTGCGCTGCATTCAATCCCGTCTCCTCGCACTTCTCTCCTGCAGGGACCAAAACACAGATAGGATAAACTTGATACAATAAAGGGTTTTGATGTCTTCCTAGTAGATCTGCTTCTAAAAAGACCAGGTTGCAAGGAAGGGGAAAGAAAACAGACTGTCTTTTTTTTTTTTTTTTTTTTTTTTTTTTGCGGTCTTTGACAATCCGTCCCTTGGCTCGGCTTCTTTTTCAAATTCACCTGCACAAGGATCAGAATGCAGCCCATAAAATGGAATTCTTAATTCATTCTCGGTTAGACCTTTGCCTCAGAAGCCTGGAACCAGGCCAGTCTGAGGTTTCTGGAGCCCTCTTGCTACTTCAAGGGCTGGTGTTGTGCACTGGTTACAGAATGTCATGGGAAATGTGCTGTTCTTAGAACATGGAGAAGGGCTGGAAGGAAGGAGCAGGGCTGGTTTGATCAAGGCTTGGAGCAGGAAGAAGAGAGAGAGGGGGAAGGAAGGAAGGTCCTAGATCTTAGGTGTATACAGAGCAGACTTCCTCAACTGGAAGTGTCACCTCGCCCAGCCTGGATTCCTAAATGTTCCTATTCTCCTTTTAAACTAAGGGATGCTCCAAAACTGGTCCTGGTTCCAGATCTCCTCCTCCTCCTCCTCCTCCTCCTCCTCCTCCTCCTCCTCCTCCTCCTCCTCCTCCTCCTCCTCCTCGCAACCATGCAAAGCAACCCTGTCATCTGGGGAGGTTGGTGGTGCTTTACTTCCAACCTGCAGGTGATGGGGGTGGGTGGGTTTCCCTGTTCTGCTGCTCCTCCAGGGGGCTGGACCCCTGTGTCTACTTTGTGGTGGGGCAAAACAGGGCTGGGGCTGACCAGGGAGAGGAAGTGGGAAGCTTTTTTGGAGAGCCCTTTAAGGGCTGCCTCTCTTTCACTCGCAGTGACCCTGCTGTGCCTGGGAGAAGCGAAGTTGGAATTGGCTGAAAAGCTTCATTTGTCTGTCCACTCCTGCGGGGCTGGGCTGAATGGATTCTGGGGGGGGGGGGAGAAGAAGGGAGGGATCTTGGAAGTTGCTCTGGGCTGGCTCTTTAGTAATCCTTTCTTTCCGATGGCGTGGGTTGCCTTGGCTTCCTTAACTCAGTAGCAGAGGTGGTGGTCAGTCTGAAAGACCACCAGCGTCTTTGGACCGGTTCAGAGAATATCGGACCGAGCCTGGCCCTTACAGGAGGTGGCAACCCATCCCAGCTCAGCCCCCCTGACCTTTTAGCCAGCTGTGCAGAAATAAAAAAGATCAAGGTTTTTTTTCTCTCTCGCTTTATTTCCAAGCCTGGAAAAGTTTCAGCAATTGCATTTCTGTCCCTGTGGCTTGATAGACACTGAGATGGAAGAAATAAGAAAGCACAGATTGGCCTTCTCGATGCCTTTGGGTCAGGAAAACAAAACCCTCGGCGACTTGGAAGAGAATGAATTTCTCTTCCAAAGTTCTTCTTCCTCTCTAAAATTGGTACATTCTGCAAACGGCCTAAAAATGGCTCAGGCCTGAGGCTGGTTGTCTGAAAGGGAGATGGAAAGGGCAAAGAGAACAAAATCGACGTATCTAAACCAGCATTATCCAACCCAAGTTGGGAATAGCAACTCTCTGGCGTTCCTAAATTACAGCTGCAGGTTCAGAGGAGGGAGAATTAAGCAGCCAAAGTTTCAGTGGGGTTTTGGCAGCCTCCTGAAATCCAGGACTGAAAGCCTCTGAGATGTTCCTCCTGCATGGAGGAAAAGGACACGCTGCAGCTTAGGGCCTCCTTTCACTCTCTGCAAGCCAATAACAACATTGTTATGTTGCAAGCCAACATAACAACCTCTGCTCTGTTGAGTGGCAGCTGGACGGGAGGTTTGGAGAACAAGGGTATGCGTTGGCTAAGATGGGGAAGGACCAGCAGAGGAAGGGAATTGGAGGACACAGATTGGGGGTTTCACCAGAGACCCTCCCTGCTTTCTCTCTGGCATGCCCTTGATAACCCTGACGTGTTCCAGAACTCAGGCAGACCAACAATTGGAAACCTGCTTGGCCCAAGGCAACGTGGCTTCCCGGCGTGTGTGATTCTGTAGCTGAGATCTCCTTGACCTGGAGTGAAGTTTGGGGGTGGCTGATCTGAGAACGATCCAGCTGGAATGAAGTTTGAGAAGCTGTTGCCTTTCCTGGGCTGGCCAAACTTGGGACGCATGCCAGATGACTTTCTCCTGCTTTGATGACCTTCCAACACAATTCTTTCTTCTCTTTCTTCTTCCAGATGGTGGAGCACGGCTTCCCCAATCAGCCCAGCTCCTTGGCCTTTGACCCCAAGCTGTGCATTATGGCCATCGGAACCAAATCGGGAGCAATCAAAATGTATCCTTCTTGCCGTGGCATCAGCTGCCTTTCTGGGCATGGAGTTCTGGCAGAAGGTGAAGAAGAGGTCCCGTGAAGCCAGCAGCACGGTTTGGGCACCGCCTGGGGGCTGGGAAAGGACCACCAGTCCTCGGGAACAGTCGTGGGGATGGGCTCTTGTGCTGTGCATTGGCGTCTTCAGGGTGTTTCCTGGGAATTACGAGTGCAACACATTCCAAGCTGGGGGGGGGGAGTTCCCCAATTTGATAGTCTCCAAAGATGTTGGGATTGCAACTTCCAGCATGGCTGGGAATTCATTGGGGAATTGCATCTGAAGGTGCCAGCTTAGGGTCAGCTGATCCGAGGGTTTGGTTAGAAAATGGGTTGAGATTTAGAGGTTTGGTGATAATGGTCCAGACCAAAGGACAAAAAGTCTTGACGTACCACCACAAGGGAGCCCAACGTTTCTGGGAGTAAGCTGGACATTTGTGGATTTTGCCCCAATTTATGACTCTTTTTGCCACAGCTGTTCAGTGAATCACTGCACTTAAGTTGTTAAGTTAGCGATCTGGTTGGTCAGTGACTCTGCCTTCCCCCACGGACTTTGCTTGTCGGAAGGTCGCAAAAGGGGATCGCGTGACCCAAAGGCACAACCGTCATAAGCATGAGTCAATTGCCAAACAGCCGAATTGAATGGATGCTGCAACGGTCATAAGTGTGGAAAATGGTCATAAGCCACCTTTTGAGTAATGGTTTTAATTTTGAATGGTTGCTAAATGAACTATTGTAAGCCGAGGACACTCTCCTTTTTGTGAATAGCGATAGCAGAATTTTGCCATGATTTCCGGACGTTCTTGTGCTGATGTTTCCGTCAACCTGAACCCTTCCGCTGTTTCTCCACAATGCCTTTCGAGAAGGGAGCCGCCATAGTTTCAGTTGCCGAGGGAGGAGGATTCAAGAGGTTTAAATAACAAAGACTCAGAGCTTTTTGTGGGCTTCCCTTTTCGTGGGCTCTTGATGTCCCGGAGAGGCCGGATTTGGGAAGTTTTCCCTGGGTCCTTGCCTGGACCACAATCCACCGTGGTTGCGTTGGGGCTGGCGGTCTTAATAATAATAATAATAATAAAGTTGGAAGGGACCTTGGAGGTCATCTAGTTCAACCCCCTGCTGAAGCAGGTAACCCTATACCATTTCGGACAAATGGCTGTCCAGTCTCTTCTTAAAAACTTCCAGTGTTGGAGCATTCACTGCTTCTGGAGGCAGGTTGTTCCACTGGTTAATTGTTCTAACTGTCAGGAAGTTTCTCCTTAGTTCTAGGTTGCTTCTCTCGTTGTTTAGTTTCCACCCGTTGCTTCTTGTCCTGCCTTCAGGCGCATGTGTGCATGTGTGTGTGTTGTGGAAAGGGGCATTTGGAAAACCACTCCGAATCTCCACAGCTTCAATGGCCCCTTTTCAAGCTGTAGCCTTGGCATGCCTGCCAGGCGATGCTGCGTCTCCATGGAGTTGGCAGCCTCTGAAGGCAATAGGCGGGAGACACAGCAGCAGCTCCCTCTGGCCTTGCCTCCTCTTCCCAGCTCTTCTCTTCCAGGTTGTTCTTGTGTGATCTTTCCTGCCTATCCTCACCTCCCACTTTCCTGGGAGTGTCTGTAGGCTCAGAGCAGCCCGTGGAAACAGCCCCTCCTCAGTTTTTTTATCCATTATAGAGTCCTTTTCCCCCTAGCTGGAGTAGGGAAGTCTTAGATTCAATGCAAAAACCCCTCCACATTGAAGAAGACAGCAGCTGGAGAGTGAGAACTGGAAGGCATTCCCGCTGGGTTGAGTTTTAAATAAATGGCAGCAAGAGGCCGGCAGGGATGTCTCTGGAATCATGCTTGGGTAACGCCTGTTTCTTTTCAGCAGGATTCTAGGCTAGTTTAAATGTTAAAGGCAGCTTTTAAAGCAAAGGAGGGCTTTGCTTTGGGGGGTGCTCAGAGGCTACAGCCCATATCACAGAGGTGTGAATGCCTCTTTGAGCTGGAAAAGGAGCTGGCAAGGACAGTTTGCCACTTGTCTGCTTGATTTTTAAAAACTTGTTCTGCCCTAGGAAGACTGTAGTTGGTGTTTGTGTGCGAAAGGACCGGCATCTTTGCAGACCAGCTGAGGTTTTGGGGGTTTTTTCCTGTTGTTTTGGAGTTTAAAGTTGGCATTTGGGGCATTTATGTTTGGGGAGATTTTTCCTGTCTTTCTGCAATCGATCCCCTCCTTGCCGGCCCAGCCTTTCCTTCCAGCATCTGTGGCGCATTGGGAGCCTGGCTTGGCGGCTGGACAGGACATGTGCAGCTTGGCAAGACAATGGAGGAAGTGGCTGAAGAACAGAGGATGGAGTTCTTAAGGGGGGGGGTCTCAGCAAGGCTGGCCGAAAACAGCTGAGGCAGCTAAAAAAAAACCCTTCGGGTCCAAAGGAGTCTCTGCTTTGGATCTTTCTCCCTGTGGCTCCTTGCCAGAGAGAACCTGGGGGGAGGATACTGGAGTCACATTCACCCCCTCCAGAAAATGAAATCCCAAACCATGCTGATATTGGCCCCTGGCATTTGGCCGCTTCCTCGGCAAAGACAGATGCACCCGGCTCGGTGGAAGAGCAGTGAGCTTAACTGCCAGAGAGGACTCTTGCAAGGGCATTGAGTGGTTTTTGGGACAGGTAGGGTGGGCAGGCAGGAGGGCCCGGAGTACGTGAAAATCCTCACTTGGGTTGTGCAACCTCTCCCCGTTTGGGGCAGAGGGGCGAGAGGCAATGTGCTTTCTGCACTGACTAGCCCAGCCCCCCCCCCATCGTTCCCTCTCCTGCTGCAGTGGCAGAAAGCTGCAGGGTTGATGCCAGTTCTCCAAATGCAGCCCCCCCCCCTCCTCCTCCAGGCGAGTGGAGAAGAGGGGCCTAGTTCCGCAGGGGACTGAATTGCTTCTCCACATTTGAATGGCTGAATGAACTTTGGGGTCACTTCCCAAGAAACTGGGGCAGAAAAATCATGTGCCTGTTTTGCTTCGGGGGGCTTCCCCCTCAAACGGCCGCATTTGCTTTGTTCCACTTTGTCTGCTGAACTCTGCTGCCCTCCTCAGAGGGCAGAATGTGAATGAGTTGGTTCTGCTTCTTTCCTCTTCTCCAAAGGGTCACTTCATCGTTTTTTGGGGGGGTGGGACAAAAATATCCTGGGGTCAGCTATGGGAGCAGCCACGGTTTGCATTGAGGCATTGCAACAGCTGTCCTAAAAAGCAGATGGGTCAGTTCTTGGAGCTTCTCAAATGGATTGTTTCGGGGGGGGCAGAAGCCTTGAGGGCCCCCATCACTTTCTGGCCGAATTGGGGGAAAGTTCTTTACGGTGGTGCTACTGGGAGCAGAGATGGTCTCTGTCTGCAATGTCCCATTTTTGCCCCTCGGGACATCCAGGGCAGTTCTGGGGGTTCTTTCTTAAAAGTTGCGGGAGGCGCAAGGATGCCGTTCATTTTGCTGCTTCTCAGGGTCAGCCATGGGTGCGGTTCTCCTTCCTGGCTTGGCTGGCCGGCCGCTGCTGAACTGGGGTTTGGGCTGCTTCTCCGCTGATACAAAGCTCTTTCCCTCCCAGAGGAAGCTGTGAGGCTGGCTTGGCGCACCAGACCTCTGGCGGACCTCACTCTGGTCTATCCTGGCCACGGTTTAAGGAGGCCGCTGGCCCCAAGCCCTCCAGCCCCCTGCTGTGGGGGGAGATGACGCCAAAATGCCAAAATCTCTGCATCCTCCACACCAGGGAGCTTCCAATGACTTGCACAAAAGGCCAGATCTCTGTGGGTCTCCGGGAGTCAAACTGGGCATCACCTTGAAGTTTTATTATGGGATGCAGCTGGTATGTTTGGGTCAGGGATCTCCCCTTCAGCCCTCTTTCCTCCTTCTCCCACCAAACGTGCCAGCCCTTAACTGGCAGAAGCCTCACTAAAGGAGAATATTTGTAGCTTGAAATGGGGGTCGTGGGTGCTGTCTGAGCTTGCTGGTTTTCTTGCAGACGTTTCATTACCCAAACTAGGTAACGCCATCAGAGTGCTAGTAAGAAGTGGGCTTTGCTCGTCTAGTGGCTTGCCCTGTGGGTGGAGGTGGCTGTCGAAATTCTTTGGGAGGCTCTTTGCCTGCCTGTTATGCCAGCCCAGGGTGCCTTAGACACCCTGGTGGGCCAGTCTCACAGATCTCCTTGGCAGGTTTTGTGAACCTGCAGCAAGCTGGGCTTCCAGCAGCTCAAAGAGCCTCTGCGGCCGTTTTTTTCTCCTCGGTTTTTTTCTCCTTGGCATTGGGGGCTCCCTGGTGGAGGCTGGTGAGCCCCAAATGTAAGTGTAATTGTAGATTAACTCTGTGGGAGGTGCTGAACCCGTACGTCATCTTCCCAGCAATGGAGAAGGGCTCTCCTCTAAGAAGGGAGAAGAACTCGACTGCAAAATTGCTCTTGCCTCTCCCTCGCGGTGGTGGTGGTGGGACCTTGGGTGAGCTCCTGAGCAGAAGATGGACAAGGGAAGGGCTTTTTTCTCAGATCTTCCTCCAGCAGGTCCCGTGTGAGGAAGTGGGGTTCTGTTGCAACGTGTCAGGCAGACTTTCGAAAGGAAGGAAGGAAGCACTTCTCGGTTCTGCAGAAGACCTGGTGGGGGGAACCTCTAATGAGACGCTTTCTCTGGGGATTTCTCTGATGTCATTGAGCTTAAAGAAGGGGAACTTGATGGTGACATCGGGGAGGGCTTGTCCAGGGAGGAGAGCTGGTGGGGTGATGCGAGGGTGGTGCTGATGTCGTCGTTCAGTGCTTGGAGATTGCTGCCATGGTTGAAAGTCTTGATGTCCGAGGTCTTGGTGGCAGATAAGCTGAGTGAAGAGCGTGGGGAGTCCCCTTCAACTTCCTGTGCTCCCAGGGCTGTGTTTGAGGGTGCAAATGCCCCCTCTGAGAGCCCCTTCTGAATGCCTTCTGGAGCCTCCAACCCAAGAGGGATCCTGCTGCCCCTCTGTATGATCTCCTGTTCTGAGGTTCACCCCTTGTCTTCTCAGGTGGCAACAGCTGCTTGTGATTCACTGCATGTGTCTCATTCAGTTCTGGTGTAGGGTCTACCCTTTTTTGGAGGAAGGGGCCGTCACCTCTGCAGAAGAAACATTTCTGATGTCCCCCCATCTCCAAATGCACCTGCAGGGAGAACAGTCGCGCCACCCTTTGCAATTGTCATGCAGCTTTGCTTCCCAGGAGGACTTGAGTCAACCGTTGACCTTTCCCCTTGGAGAAACAGCCCTCCCCTCCCAAAGTTGATAACCCCCCCCTCCCCAGTTTCCCCTATAGCTGGCTTGTGGCTTGGACTGTGTGCACCACCACAGCCAAAGCCGAACATCGCCCCCATTCTTTGAAAAGTAGGTCACTCATCAGCGTGGTAAACAAAGCCCAGCCCAGCGTGGTAAACAAAGCCCAGCGCGGGAGTTTGTGCTGGGGGGGGAGATGGAAAGGGGGGGGCGATGTGTGCTGAAATCGGATTCCTTTTAAGCCAGCAGTAAGCTGAGAAGTCGACCTTAAGAAAAATCTCCCTTCTTCAGTGACGGGCTCCAGTTCTTAGATAAATAAAGCCAGCTGAGTCCATCAGTTTCTTGGAATAGTTTTTGCCATTTTTTTGTTTTAAGCAAAAATGATTTTGATTTTGCAAGGCAGAAAGGCACTGGGCAAACATCAAATGCCGTGTTTTACTTTCCTCCTCCTCCTCCTCCTCTCTCCTCCTCCTCTTTGGCAGCTTTGTCAATTCCCTTCAAAGATGAAGCGATGGTGTCATTTCCTCCCTTCGTGTAAACACGCACGTTTTGGAGAATCCCCAGCCAGGCCAGAAAAGATGCTGAGTCTGTCTTTTAAAAAAATAAAATTAAAAAAAAAATTATGCTTGGAAGGCTTTCCGACCTGTCGAATTGCAATTGAAACACATGTGCCTTGTGGGCATGTGCGACCCAGTTGAGACATTACTGGGCAAAGCCAGGGGTACCCCACCTTGGCAACTTTAAGACTTGTGGACTTCAACTCCCAGAATGCCCCAGCCAGCCATGTTCCTGGGAATTCTCCCAGAATTCTCTAGCCAGCCATAACCTGTTTCTGCCACTTTCCTCTTGTCAAATATAGGCAGTTTTCATTACTTGCAAATGAAGTTGTAAGAAAACTACAGGGTTAGTCCAGTTGAAGCAAAAATGGATAAATTGCCACTGGATGCTCCCCTGAATTAACCCCTGGTTTTTTGGGGTTTGGATAGGGTTTGGATATGAGCTGACAATGAATCAAAAGTATTAGGTTTGTATGAATATTAGAGCAAGGCTGCAGCTAGCCACGTGCAGGAGATTGTGTGAATGCAGCCACTGGGTCTTTGGCTGACCTGGGCAAGCTTTTGGAAGAAAGAAGGAACTTGGGGGCCAAGACAGGATTGAGAGTCTCTTGCCAGTGGCTTGTCAGGTGCCCATTACTTGGTGATCTTTTCTGGGCAATGTCTGGACAAACGGAGACAATGACACATAACAGAATAACAGAGTTGAAAGGGACCCTGGAAGTCTTCTAGTCCAACCCCCTGCTCAAGCAGGAAACCCTGTACCATTTTAAACAAATGCTTGTCCATTTCAGGTGCTAGACCGTGACTGAAAAGTCAACCAGGGAAGCTTTCTGGGAGGGGGGAGACGGAAGTGGAAGGGGCGTAGTATTGATCAGTAGGTGGGTAAGGGGGTGGCAGAGAGAGAAGAATGTGGGCAGCACCCTGCAGGAACTTGCTTGTCAGAAGAGCTGATGAACCTTTGGGGTCTCCAAAGAGAATCTACTAACCCCTGGAAGAAAAGCCGATTCTGTTCTCGAGAAAGTCTCCACTCTCAAGAGCAGGCTATCTTACATACCTTGCAGTGCCCTAGAAACCGCGCCTACGTCTTGTGCATTGCACCCAGGGGCTCTCATCAAGGCCTCCAGGTGTCCATGGCTGCTAGATGAGATTCTTCCTTGACTCTGGGCCTCCTTAAGCTACGGTACTCCTGGGGTGGAGTTCACGGGGCTGCACAAAGAGACAGCAACCGTCACTCAGATGCACTTTCTGCCTGGACAGGTAAAAAAAAAAAGACTTGGGTTTTGTTTGGTGCGTTAGGTTGTGATGACCCCCGAGGGCCTTATTTGGCTGGCTGCTTAGATTGATCCTCCGACTCAGAGTTCAAAAGATGGGTGTCATCATGTTAGCAGCTGTATGAATTATTTAATTTATGAATAATTCAATTCCCATAGCCACCCAGCTAAGTGACTGTGGGTGGCTTACAATTGTAAAATTATAAAGCAATTAAAAACAAAACAAAAGGCAGCAGAAACACCCAGGAAACAAACAAATAAATTCATTAATTAAATAGATTATATCACAGGTGCACCAAGGTCAGTCTTAAAACATGGCTGAGATGGTGAGGAACCAGGTGAGGTTTGGAAGTGCACTTGAGAATGCCTGTAAAAGACCACCTGCCCCCCCCCCCGGATTTCCTGCAGGGTCTCCTGCTTTCCCTTCTGGATGACAACACTCTCCACCTCTGGGACATTTACCAGAAAGACGGCTACTCCCACCTGGAAGAGACCCGGAGCTTTGTCCTCCCCGGACAGCCAGGGTTCGACAACGCTAAGTACTCACGGCTTTTGCCCCCCTTTCCTTCCTTCCTTCCTTCCTTCCTTCCTTCCTTCCTTCCTTCCTTCCTTCCTTCCTTCCTTCCTTCCTTCCTTCCTGGTTGAGGGGTGCCAGGCAGCCTGGGCAGAAGTGAGAGGGGGGCAAGGGTGTTCAATCTCCTGGCCATTTTCTTGTCCCTTCTTGGCTCTGTGGGAGAGGGAGGGAAGTCCAGCTGGCTGACGAGGCATAGCCCCGAATGGGCAGGAGGGCTGCTGGGGAATCTATGGGCAAAGCTTCTTTCTGCTCCAGATTTTGCAAGGGGGTTGCGGGAAGCACAGTTGAGGGTTGGGCTGCAGGAAGGAGAGAAGACGCCACCTTGATGTTCCACCATTTGTGCACGGGCATTGCTGGCACAATGACACATCTTGGTGAGGTGATGTGTTGAGGGAGGCATCTTTTCCTTGCAAATCACCTTTGGGGTGCTGGTTCCCCATCCTTGCAACAAGGATCTAGCAGTTTCACTGGTTTTCTGTGGGGTGCAAATATCCACTTGGGTGTGTATGTGCCAAGATCTGGGATGACGGTTTTCAGAATGTGTTCTGGGTTCTGTTTTGAAGGACCAAGTTCCCAGAAGTATCTCAGACCCCTGACTGATCTTTCCATACAGTGTCTTCAGTGCTATAGGGAAGTGCCAATGACATAAAGGTCCATAAATTATGTACCCTCAACTGCAGCGCAGGAACTGATGCACAGCTGCTTTGAAACAACTTTCCCCAAAGATTCTGAAAACCGCTGGCCAGATGACCCAGCTGCAACGGTGCTGGTTACAGGAGGGTTCTCTTTCTTCTGACAGTTCTCCTCCCAGCATCACCCGGGTGACAGTGATCCTCCTGGGGTCCAACTCCAACTGCAGCATCGCCTACCTTGGCACTGAAGGGGGTGGCATCTACTTCCTGGGACTTCCTGGTCTAACGCTGCTGGAGGGCAGCACCCTGTACCAAGATGAAGTCCTGCAGAGGTGAGCTGCTCTAAGAAAGCCAGGCTTGATGTCAGTGGGCCTGGGTCTACGTGGGTGGGGAGAACATGATCAGGAGGTGGTCAATGGTTGAAAACATGAGATGCTTTCTGATGGAAGCACCAAATGCTAGAATAAGAGCTCAGGGCATGCCAGAGATCTCCAAGAAAGCTGCTGGTGGTGTCATGTCAGATCATCTAACTGATGTCCTTTAGAAATGGTGGGTCAGTCGTAAAAAACATGCCTCTGTGTTTCCTCATTGTTTTGGACATCATAAGTGAGATTGGTCTTAATACTATGAGGTCCTTTTCGTAGAGCGTTCTTCTGTCCTTATTGCTGATCCACACAAAGAAGCCATGGCTGAAGAAGGGCACCTGGTGTCACTCGAGTTTCATAACTATCTTAATTCACTGGAAAGGGAGATCACGGGTGAAGCCTCCCTCTTTCTCTTATCGTCCTAGCGTGCCTGAGGACTACCGATGCGGGAAGGCCCTTGGGCCAGTAGAATCTCTTCAGGAACATCCTCAAGACTCGGCGAGAATCCTGATTGGATATAGCAGAGGCCTGATGGTCCTGTGGGACAGAAGCTCAAGAGAAGTTCATCATCTTTTCTTGGGCAACCAGGTATGTTACTTGGCTGGGCTGGATGGAGTCTTCCTCACGCAGCATCCCCGCCCTCCTCTTTTTTTTTTGCAGGAAGTTTCCAAGGTCAGATGGGATGTAGCTAAGGAACATCTCCTGCCACCTGAGACCTTGAGGAGCTGAAACTAGCCACTATAGGAGATTAGCGGGCGGTTAACGGGAACAGGGAACTGTATTGGAGATCTTCAGAGATTACCCACCCTCATTACCTAGGATTAAAAGCTGATCCCCTCAGGGAACAAGGCTTAAAAGTCTGAAGTGGCTTGAGGGGCCCAGTCGATGCTCTCAAAATGTCTTGTAGCCATTTTGACTGGCAGGTCTCCTTTCAGCCTCTTTTTCTCCTCTGTGCCCAAGGCCTGACGGCTTAGCTTGGGTCTGCGGCTTTTTTGCAGCAACTGGAAAGCGTCAGCTGGGAGCGGAGTGGCCGGACCCTGGTCAGTTCTCACAGCGATGGGAGCTACGCCTTGTGGTCGATGGCAAACGGTTCACCCAAGACCCTGCAGCCAACAACTTCCACCATCCCTTATGGTGAGGCTAATATGGAGAAGCTCAGGGAGATGTGGTGCCTTTGATGAGGGTTGGATCCCAAAGCCCAGAAGATAAACCAACATACGGGTCACCAAGCAGAGGGAGGATTTCCTGCAAGAGAAACTGAGGGCTAGTCAGCCAATATTTAACCATTAGGAAAGCAAATTAAGACCACCTGGACAAAGGTTTCCACTGCTCTTCAAAGCTCTCCCCATCTCTCCCCTGCTCAGTTGATGAATTTGAGGCTTTTGTTGATTTTTTCAAGTGGGTCAGCGTTGCTGCTGTTCCACGTGGTGATAGAGTCACTGAAATGTTATCCCATTCCACTCCCCACTGATTTAAGCCCAAACTCTTTCAAATAAGGCATCCATCTCTTTCTCTCCTGGCTATTAGTTTTGTCCACCTTCCAATGCCCCCTTGCTAGCTGGGGAATTCTGGAAGTTGAAGGCCACACATCTTGAAGTCGCAAAGGTTGAGAAACACTGAAATAAGGGTTTCTCATGAGCCCAGCCACCTTTTAATCAAGCAGGAAGTCTCCCTCTTTCCCCAGATGCTGAGCTCTGCCAAGCTCTCCCTCCTTCTCTTCTAGGTCCGTTCCCCTGCAAAGCCATCAACAAGATCCTGTGGCAGACCTGCGACTCAGGGTGCGTTGCATTTCTGCATTTGTCTGAGCTCTGGTCCCAAATTGAGGAATGCCTGTATCCTGCTGACTTCTGCAGCCGTCCTCGGGCGGGGGGCAGATATCAAACGAGGAGCCGTTGCACCCCTGAATAACTTGCCTCCGCTTTCTTGCCTTCTCCAAAGGGGCCACTTCATCATTTTCAGCGGGGGGATGCCCCGTGCCAGTTACGGGGACAGGCACTGCGTGACCATCCTGCAGGGCCAGGCCTTGGTCACGCTGGACTTCACATCGCGGGTGATTGACTTCTTCACGGTGGGCAGCACGGAGGCTGAGGACGGTACGTGGCATGGCTGCCTGGGGAATTCTGGGAGTTGAAGTCGACAGTTGCCAAGATTGGACACCCCTGATTTAAACTCTGCCTTTTGAACAAGTTCCCGTCACTCTTCATCAAGAGCGTTTTGCCGGTTTCAGAAGCAAGACCTTCTCATCCTTCCACCCACTTTTTTTTCCTCTCATGGCTGTTGGTTTTGTCAGTTTCCCCCCCTTCCTCTGATCCAACCTGGTCTTTCTGCATTAAAGTATCATTCAGAGGTGGTATGTTTTATCACACCGGTTCCAGAATTCGACAACCCGGCAGCTTTGGTGGTTCTAGTGGAAGAGGAGCTGGTGGTGATCGATCTGCAGACGTCGGGCTGGCCCACGATCCCCGCGCCCTACCTGGCCCCTCTCCATTCCTCGGCTATCACCTGTTCCTACCACATCTCCAACGTCCCTCTCAAGCTGTGGGAGAGGATCATCAGTGCTGGAGAACAGCAGAGCCCTCGCCTGTCCTCGGTGGTGAGTGGGGAAATGGGCTCGTTCATCTCTGGAGTCAAAAGGGCTGCAGTCGGGTGGAAAGGAGCCTCTCTGCCAAACCCAGAGCTTGGAGTGGGGGGTCTGTTTGATGGGGAGGGGTCAGAAGCCGCTGGCCCTCCCATTCCATCTTCAGCGTGGAGGACTTTCCACATAGCAGTCTTAAAGTTTTGTGATGCGTGGACAACATAGATGTCAACCAAAGCAAATGTGTGTTTGTGCCCTAAACAGCCTTGGCCCATCGATGGAGGGCGCCCCCTTGCTCAGGAACCCACCCAGAGGGGGCTGCTCTTGACCGGGTAAGTGGTCATCACCATGGTTGCTAGCTGCAGAAGAACCCTTGCAGGAGAGGTCTTGGGGAGTTGACCAGGATGCTAGCAAAGACCTTGAGGGTTGGATCGACCATTGTTATAGGGTGAAGCCAAAGATTGGGGGGCAGTTGTTGTGCTAGGAAAGGCCTAGGAGGCAAGGATATCCTAAAGCCCTGATGGACTCCTACAGAGGGGAAAACTCACTTAACAAATTGCTCACTTAGCAACATAAATTTTGGGCTCATAAGTTGAGAACTACCTGCGTTGTCCGACCACGTCTGGGAGGTGTCAGATGGAGTTTCTGAGCTGGCCAAGGCAGGAGAGGCCAAGTGGGACACAAGTGTGATAGAGTCCCAAGAAGGAAATAGCTTACAGAGAGGAACGCTACGTCCGAGTGGAGAAGTGGAGATATTGACCACTGTTGGCCCCGAGCAAGGATTAAATTCCTCCTGCAAGTAATAAAAGAGCACAAACGTGTTGTGGTTGTGGTACAGTTGCCAGAATAGCCCCAGCTCCATTCCATTCCCGCCTTTCCTCTCCTCAGGCATGAAGATGGCACAGTGCGTTTCTGGGATGCTTCCGGAGTATCCCTCAAGCCACTATACAAGCTGGGCACAGCCAACATCTTTCAGATGGACTGTGAACACAACGACAGCTTGAATCAATCCTACGAGGAGGAATGGCCCCCCTTTCGGAAGGTGCCAGCAAACCTGGGTTCAGTTGCTTCCCACTTGCCCATGTGGAGGAGGGAAGCCCCCTGGCTACAAAATCATTGGGGCTGGTTGGTGTTCCAGCTCTGGGCAGGGATTGGGTTGAGTTCTCCACGTCTTGCTGAAGCCTATCACCAGTGGGCTCCTGGGAGATGTAGTTCGGCAGCATCTGGAGGCCCACCCATGGCCCAGAGCAACTCAGTTGTTGATGGTGGAATCAGAATGTCTGGTTTCTATGTGCAGAATCTGACTTTGTTTTTTCTTCTACCTTTTTGGGGACAACTCACTCTGTCCATCCAGGTTGGCTGCTTTGACCCTTATAGTGATGATCCCCGGCTGGGTGTCCAGAAGATCACTTTATGCAAATACACAGCTAAGATGGTGGTTGCTGGCACGGCAGGGCAGGTAACAATTGTGGTGCATGTGTTGGGGGTTCCTCCAAAATCCAGCTTTTCTCTCCAGAAACCTGTAGCTTCTTCTTCGCCGTCTTGTGTGCCATCAGAGGCCTTCTCCAGTCAGATGGGTGGGGAAGACTTTGAAATAATCAAAGATGGAAATCATTGAACTGGGAGGTGGTTGAAGTTTGGGAGAAGATGGAGAAGTGACTTGATGGAGCCTTGTAGGTATTTGGTGAAGGTACTATTAGAAGAAGAGAAGAAGGTGTGATGGAGTCGTATAAGGGTGAATGAGATCTGTGAGGCCGCAGGAATTAGGGACAAGAAGGAAGAACAGTCGAGTTGCTTGAAGTATCGGCGATCATAAGGAATCTTAAGGATTACAGTCATAGAATCATAGGGCTGGAAGGGACCTCAGAGGTATTCTAGTCCAACCCTTTTAGTTCTGGAAAGAGAGTTGTGCCAAAGTGTGAATATAATTCTGTTCACGTTTACAGCTCTCAGTCTACTCTGGGATAAATCAGAGAAGTACCAATGAAGGAGATTATTTGTAGCTCAGGGTTGAAATGAGGAGTCCTTGGTGCTTTTTGAGTTTGCTTGTTTTTTTGCAGACTTTTCATTACCCTAACTAGGTACCATCATCAGTTCTAGAAGGGAGGGGGGTTTGCAGAGAGGAGGAGGAGGAGGAAGAAGAGGAGCTGTGGATTCCTTGTGCTCTCTGAGTTTGCTTGTTTTCTTGCAGATGTTTCACCATCATGCTGGTGAACCAGAGAAGTGTCCAAGACTTATATGGGGTTCTTCTGTCTTTGGCAGGTGCTGGTGATGGAGTTTAATGATGAGAAGTCCGAACACATGGTCAACATTGCTGTGGTGGACCTACTCCAGGACCGTGAAGGCTTCACATGGAAGGGGCATGACCGGCTGCCTCCCAAGAATGGTGCCTTCTCCTTTGCCCCCGGCTTCCAGCCCAGCGTCCTCCTGCAGTGCCTGCCCCCCGCAGCTGTCACAGCTGTCACCCTGCATTCAGAGTGGAACTTGGTGGCCTTTGGAACCAGCCACGGCTTTGGCCTGTATGACTATTACCGCCGGAACCCTGTGCTGGCCAGGTAGGGAGACCTCTGCCCTGGGAACATCTTTATGACTCCAGAAATTGAGCTGACACTCTGTGGATTAGTGTTCATAGCTTAGAGACCCCCGAGGGTCTGCTGGTTGTGATTGTTGGTGATTGATTGTTCCTTTTTGATAGGTGCACTCTGCATCCCAATGATTCTCTCGCAATGGAAGGCCCCCTCTCACGAGTTAAGTCCCTGAAAAAGTCCCTGCGCCAGTCCTTCCGTAGGATCCGTAAGAGCCGCGTGTCGGGCAAAAAGAGAGTCATGGCCAGTAGCCCCTCAAGCAAGGTAAGCAGAGCGAGAGGGGTGGAGATGCTGGCTGGGAATTCTGGGAGTTGAAGTCTACACATCCCAAAAGCTGATGAGGTTGAGAAACATTGGTCAACAGACTTTGGCTTGAAGAGATTTATTTGAATATCTATTGTGGACCATCTTCTCCCCTCTACTATTTGGAGTGTCTCCATTTAATCTTCCTCATGAATTTTTGGAGAAGATGAAGTTAAGTATTCCCCTCCTTCTTCTCCCACCCCAAATTCCATGGAGGAAAGAGGGATGAAAAATCTAGCATGTTCAAATGAAGGACAAGCCATCATTTGAAGCAAGAAGGAAATGGAGAAGACCTTTTCATGGGTGGAGAACATGGTCTCCTATCCCAGGGGTTGGCTGAGCACCTTTGAGGCTCTGCTGATAAGCAACCCTGGATCTGCGTCTTGCCTCACCTGCTTCTCCCACCCCACCAGGTACAGGAAGCAAATGCCCACCTGGCTGAGCAACCTGGTCCCCATGAGGTGGAGATGGCACCCGTCCAGCGACGGATTGAACCTCGCTCAGCAGACGATTCACTGTCTGGGGTTGTGCGTTGCCTCTACTTTGCAGATACCTTCCTCCGAGATGGTAAGGGAGGGACTCCGGTGGAAGATAGTGACCCCAAAGGGAAAGCTATCCTCCACGTTGTAGTTAGTGTACATGGAAGGAGACGTGGCCTAATGTAGACTCCCAAGAAGAGTCATAGGGATCTTGCCGGTTGTGAGTGATGGGAACTGTGGTGCATTGCTTGTAGAGGGGCTGGGGGAAGCTGGGAGGGAGGGAAAACAGGCAGCCCTTCAGTTTTTCCTCCTGTCTCTCCACAGCTGCACATCATGGACCCACCATGTGGGCCGGCACCAATTCGGGCTCCGTCTTTGCCTACGCCCTGGAAATCCCTTCCCAGGAGAAATTTTCGGAGCGCTCGGTGGAGGCGGTCTTGGGCAAGGAGATCCAGCTTATGCACCGGGCGCCAGTGGTCTCGATAGCCGTCCTGGATGGCCGAGGGAACCCTCTGCCGGAACCCTATGAGGTCTCTCGGGACCTGGCCAAAGCCCCTGACCTGCAGGGCAGCCACTCGGTTCTCATTGCCTCTGAAGAGCAGTTCAAGGTAATTCCGAGCGAGGGGAGGAGGCCCTCTAGACTGGGGCTCTCCAACCGTGGCCCCTTTCAGACTTGTGGACTTCCACTCCCCCCCCCCAAGACTATCAGTATCCTAGAATCGTTTCCTTCTCAGCTGCACTGATTGTCCAGATCAAAGGCACCTACTGGTCACTGTGGCTCAACGTCCGAGGAAAGGAGGCCTTCTAAAACCGTCCTCTTCCTCCCCTCCCCGGCTGCAGGTCTTCACCCTCCCCAAAGTCAGCGCCAAAACCAAGTTCAAGCTGACCGCCCACGAGGGTTGTCGTGTCCGGAAAGTGGGTTTGATGAGCTTTGCCAGTGCCACCTGCGATGACTACGCGGAGAACGGGCTGGCCTGCCTCACCAACCTGGGTGACCTGCATGTCTTCACGGTGCCCAGTCTGAGGCCGCAGGTCCACTACGACTGCATCCGCAAGGAGGACATCAGCGGCATCGCCTCCTGCGTCTTCACCAAGTACGGCCAAGGTGAGCGAGGGGTGGCAGGTGCCTGGGGGGGAGGGAGAGAGGGCATGGGACGAGCCTCAGAAGCCCTCCAAGGCAGCCTGGCAGCACTGTCCGGCTTCAACAAGCTGACAATGTCTGAAATGGTGGGCAGAGCAAGAAGGAGATGTACAGAAGACGATTCCCACTGCAGATAATTCAGAGCAGGAAGACTCTGCCTCAAGAGGTGGTGGTGGGTTTAAGCTTACTTATTTATCAAATTTCCTCACCTATGGGATGCTGAATGGTTGACAAACAGCATCATAAAGCCACATAGAAACAGGACTAAAAGCACAGGTAAAAAAAATCAAGTGACAAACGAGGCTAAATCTTACAAGGTAAAAGTAAGAATTAAAGAAACTTTAACGAATGGAGTTAAAAGACCTGCAAGGCTCCAGGATGAACAGGGCAGTCCTCTTGAGCCACTGGCCGTTGAATAAGGATCAGGCAGGCTGCTGAAGGGAGAGAGGTTAAATCGGCAGCTAAACTGAGCCTCCTTGGCTGGAAGAAGTTTATCTTTAAGGATCAGGGGCTGCCAGATGCAAAGGGCGCAAGGGTGGGGTTGTTCTTTCCATGGGGAACAGACTCTGCTTTTGCACTGCTGTGAATATTTGGGGGGGGGGGCAGAGAGATCTGCAAGTGGATCTCTTTTTATGTTCCCTTTCCAGGCTTCTATTTGATCTCTCCGTCAGAATTCGAACGCTTCTCCTTGAGCACTAGAAATATCACCGAACCGCTGTGTGTGCTGGAGATCAGCCGCACCTATGACATCATTTCCCCAGGGTGAGAGAACCCCCTTGGCACTGCCGTTGCTTTGCAAGTCCAGCTGAGCCTCTCGGGGGGACGTTTCTCCTTTCATTATACGAAGGCTTCCTTGAAACCCCAGCCACCTTTCCCAATATTTGTGTGACAGACGGGTGCTGCTCACGAGCGGGTGGTACTCCCAAAATAGCTTTGCATTTAATACCCAAAGAAACCGCGCCAGTGAATTGTGCTTCAAAGTCAAACTAAGAGGGTGATTCACAAGCTGTAACTGGATGCATTTTGTGGAAGATTAAAAAAACAGGATGGGTTCTGCCCCACTTTGTGACGGCTGCAGTCCGCACCTGGAGGGCAATTCTGCAGGATGTAGGGTGGGAGCTGTCCAGATTAGGACCCTAAAGTGGGAAGAGGCTTAAAGCCTGCTGTGTCCCGCTTCACAGCTTAAAGTGGGGAACTTCACAAGAAGTGGTCCAAAAAGTGGAATGGCAGTTGTGATGTGGGGTTTGTGGCCCTGCCCGCTTTGTAGGTGCGTCACATTCCAGGGAATGCAATTCATAGCTGCTGTGTGCTTAACATACTTGATGTATCAAGAGGTCATCCTATTTATTTATTGCTTTTATTTTCACCCTGGAATGGAGATGGATGCGGGAGGCATAGAGAGAGGCATAGAGAGCAGATGGCAATTTAGGTGCCGTTTCCTTTTTATTACAGAAATAACTTCACAGCAACGCCAAAACTAAGCCAGGCCAACGGGACACACGTTTTACAAGGATCAGAGGCTAATCATTCCCCTGCAAGCAACGATCGTAAGGAAAACAGCTTTTCAGCTATTTGGGCAGACTGACAAGTCATCCTGTGTGTGACTTGTGTGCATGATTAAGCGGTGGTTTCAGAGCTGGTTCAGCCTTAGTTGGGCAATCTGAAGTCTCTGTAAACTCTTGGCTTTATCACAGCTTCCGTTAAAATGAAATCTTGGCCTATTTATTTGTCTCAATAAAAGACACTCTCTGTAGCGGAGGGTTGAACTGGGGAGTTCTTGGTGCCCCCTTAAAGTTGGACCGTTTGCGTGCAGATGTTTCATTACCTGACTGGCTGACCTTGCGTATTTGTGTGTCTACCTGAGAAAAATCACTCTGTACAGTATTGCATGTTTTAAAGTTAAGGTCAGGAAGTCTTGAAGGAAATTCCAGGGCCCTCTGATAAAATAACTGGTTCTCCCTCCCTCTGTCTCAGAAAAATTCTTTAGTTTGCATCCATTAAATTCAGAAAGTTTGGAGGGAAGTTTTATAATGGATCCAGTCACAAAGAATTAAGTGTTTTAAAGACGGAGAAGGTTAGATTTGAATTCTAGATGTTTATGGCAATATTGCAGACTTCTGCTTTTCTGCCTTCAGGGTCTCCCGAAGACCCCCCAGCACTGTTTGCCTCAACGCCGATCGACTCCCCCGACAGCAGCATCGACACCCCCTTAAATACCACTGGAGATATTACAGTCGAAGAAGTGAAGGATTTCTTGGCGTAAGTCTCTGTCCTTTGGTAGCAACCTGGACGTAAAAACATGCCTGCCACTTCTGCAGAGGCCCCCCTAGTTTGGGGGCAACATTTACAGGGTAACAGAGTAGGAAAGGACCTTGGAGGCCTCCTAGTCCAAGCACCTGCTCAGGCAGATTGGATGTCCAATCTCTTCTTTAAAAAGTTCCAGTGTTGGAGCACTCACAACTTCTGGAGGCAAGTTGTTCCACCAGTTAATTGTCCTCACTGTCAGGAAATTCCTCCTTAGTTCCAGATTGCTTCTCTCCTTGATGAGTTTCCATCTGTTGCTGCTTGTCCTGCCCTCAGGTGCTTTGGAGAAGAGGTGGACCCCTTCTTCTTTGGGGCAGCCCCTCAAATACTGGAAGACTGCTATCATGTTGCCCCGAATCCTTTTCATTAAGTTAGACCTGCCCAATTCCAGCAACCGTTCTTTATATGTTTTAGCCCTAATCATCTTTATTGCTCTTCTCTGTGCTCTTTCTAGAGCCTCAACATTTTTTTAATATTGGGGTGACCAAAACTGGATGCAGCATTCCAGGTGTGGCCTGACCGAGGCCTCATAAAGCGGTCCTAACACTTCATGTGATCTGGTTTCCATCCCTGCGTCGGGGCAGCCCAGGACTGCCCGGGCTTTGCCTGAGGGCGGCTTGCAAGTTGGGCTCTACTCTGGCCTGGCACTTCTTGCTTCCCTTTCTCGTTCCAGGCCCTCCGAGGAAGCCGAGAGGAATCTGCGGAACATCAGTGAGGAGGAGGCCCGATCTCCAGGGATCCTCATTAAATGAGGCAGGTCCAGGGAAAATTGCTACTCTTTTTTTTTTTTTTTTTAAGCAAGTGAGAGGCATGGCTGGTCCTCAGGGACGCCCGTGCGAGTTCTGAGCCAGGGCAGCCCAGGCTAGGAAGCTGGACAGAGGGTGTTTGGCAGCCGAACAAGCATTGCAACCAGGAAGGAAAAAGGAAAGATGGACGCAGGGCGGCGTGTGGCCGAAGAGAGGGACTCGATGCTCTGTCCAGCCTATTTTCAGGTCTGACCCTTTCCTTTGCAGGGACCCTGCACTGTCCCACGTGATGCTTGGAGCTTCAGGACCGAGACTGCTCACTGTTCTTGCAACAAACTGCTGGTCCTACCTCTCCTCCTCCTCCTCCTCCAGACTCTTCCCTGTGTATTTTTTACAAGGACAAAATAGTTGCCATCTTTTTCTAACATGTGGCCGGCCTGGAAGTGGACAGGCGGCATCTCTTCCTCGGTAACTCTCCCAAGTTTGCATTTTTGATAGATATATATGTCTATATATGTAAAAAAAAAAAAAAAAAAAAGGAAAAGAGAAAAAAAAACCCACAAAAATGTGCCAACGTCCTGGAGGAACCACTTTTGGAGCATCTGCTCTTCCATTGCACAGAGACTTGGGGACTTTAAACGTTTTCTTTTGAAGACAGAGCCACTGGGAGGAGGAGGAGGAGGAGGACCAGGCCACCTGGGCTGAGAACCCCCCCCCCCAGGAAACTATTGGGATGTTTTGGCCCAGCTGGTCCTTTGATGGAGGAAAGGGGCTTTCGATGGAGCGACGGAGGGAGGGATTTTGCTGCGATGCAACACTGGACAGTTCCTTGGCCTGCCTTTTGCCATAGGTGGGAATGGCTACCAATGCTCAGATTCTTCTGATCTTGCTTGAAGCATCCTCTCCCCTCTTCAGAACCCTCCCCATGTCTGGGCTGAGCTCCCTGAGAAAAGGTGTACTGGATCCAATGAGAAATTATGTATTTTCTTCTCAGAGGACACAAAATGGGAAGTTGGAGGCCAAGAACAGATTTGAAGAAAGGCTTTCTGTGATACTGATGGAAACCGACCTTCCTTTCTCCTCCTCCTCCTCCTCCTCCTCTCTCTCCTTCCCTTCCTTTTAATTTGGAGGAAACAGTTGAAGATTTTTTTTTCTTTTTTCATTTCTTTGTTACACAGGATCGGGAATATTTATCCAAGCACAAAGCAAATTTTGTGAAATAGGAAGTCCTAGGACTGCAAGAAAATTATAGCAGTCCAACACTCTGCAAGAAATACTATCATGCCTTTCTGATATTGTTCACTTTTCCTTCCTCCACCGTGTTAGTTGATACGTCCAGGATGAGGGGTAAGAAAATCCCTGAGTCATTCTATTCATTTGCCTCTCCAATAATTTAATTTGATGTGCAAACAGAAGTGATTTCTTCTCCTTCCTAGCTGCCTGTGGGCCCAATTTGATTTTAAACAGATTCGTAGATTTTGGGTTAATTAGCAATGCCAAAGTAGTTTCCTCTTTCCTTTCTGAAATTCCAATTTCCTGAGGGGGGGGGGTTGTGTGTGTTGGGGAGGGAAAATGAATTGGGCTTGGTACAGAGTTGATGTACATCTCTTAATCCCAGGTGATGATAAGATGGTAAATAAGTTTGGCTTACGTTTCTGTGCTTTTTTTCCCTTTCAATCTGAGAAGGGACTCCCAAGTCTAGGAAGCAAAGCGTTTTTGCTGAGCTGAAGATGGGGCTTTTGGTCCGGTCTGGAGAATACAGGGTCTCCATTGAATGCCAGCAGCAATGCCAGCTTCGGACCCCCTGATGGGCTTTTCTTCTCTTTATTTGGCCAACTCTTACGACGAGGTGCCTCTGAGACCCCACTCACCATTTCCCTGAACCTCCAGCTTCCCACCTGTGAAATCCCGGCTTTGGCTGCCTGCGCTGAATTTGGCTGAGCCAGCTTGATTTTTGCCTGGTGATCGGGGAACACGGCTTCAGGCAGCTCTCTGCGATGGCTGCTGACTCTCAGCCAAGGCAGGCTGCACACTGCCACAAAGGTCCCCGTGTGTGTGTGTGGGGGGGTCCTCCCTGGCTTAGAAACCCCTTGCTGGGATTTTTTGCAAGACACAGATGGACTTTCCAAGAACGAGCTGCGTGTGCAACTGTGCAAAGTTGTGGCAAGGTGTTTTTGTGCACCTTGCTGAGATCTGGTCCCAAGAATGGTTCTTTGGCCCTCCTGTCAGAGCGCCCACCCCTCCCCCACAGCTGCCCGGCATCGTGGACCCCTTTCTCTGGGGCGGAGGTGGGTTCTCTTCTGCTTCACCTCCACATTGTCCCATTCAGGTGGGAAAATTTCTTGTGCCAAAAAAAAAAAAAAAAAGAGGTGAGCCTGTCACACAGACCCGGAGCTCCGTTTTTCTGCTGGGGTTTCTTTTCCTCACGGTTGTTTTTGTGCCAAGAAAACTCCCCTGGGGGGTTGATAAGATGGGGAGGCTAAGAAGTGGGGCAGAACACTTTTTAAAAGCTCCCCTTTTTGATGTATGTGAGAATTTGGCTCCCCAGGAAGGAACTTTACAAGTCCACTTGGGTGAAACGGTACGATTTGATTCTTGCTCTGGGTCCGTGTGAATGCCTGACGGGTGTCTGCGTGGGTGGATGGTGTTGTGTCATTGTGAGGTGTTTTTTTTTTTTTTGTGGTAGCCACCGAGGGAGGGTGGGCTAGTTTCCTCATACTATGACCTCTTCAGATCCCCCTTTTTTTGGTCCAGGGAATGGATTTAGCATTGTTTAGTAATTAATGCAGGTTTTTAATAAAGGAAGAATAAAGCATTTACTATCTAAAGCAGCCTCTCTCGTGTCTGGTTTCTCAGTGACCCTCTTTGCAAACAGAGGCAGAGAAAAGTACTAAAATACGGAAGTTTTCCTACTACCAGCCAAGGAGGGAAAATGCCACTTATAGGACTGGCACATAAGATGGGAGGAAAATCACTAAAAATAGTGTGAGCAAACCAGGATTTGTTTATTGCTGTCAGAACAGAAGGACACTACAGTGGCCAACTTTGCAATCTTTATTGAGAAATTAGAAAGGAAGCTTGTGAAGCCCTGGGACGGACACCCCCTTCGCTGTGTTTGCGCTAGGCCAGACGCAACCCTGCACTTTGCTAGTTGAATGCCTGCCTGCGGCTGTAGCTGTTTGGAGTTGATGCCCGCCATTCTCTGCCTTTGGCCATGCAATCTGCTGCTGGTAGCAATTGCTCCAGATGTTTGGCAGGCATCAAGTTGATCCAGGCTGGGTTTAAAATGGGTGCCACTTCTGCTTGTTACAAGTTCTTCCAAGTGTTTCTTTCCATGGCTTTTCTTACCACCCTTTCTAAAAGTGGGGATCTAAGAAGGAGCTGACTACAAAGCAGAAAATTGCAAGAGATCTGCTTTTCATAGCCTAGTGCTTCATGAGGACTAGAAGCCACAGGGCATCACTTCTTTGTGATTTTTTTTTAAAAAAACTCTGTAATTCAGTGCAAAAAAAGAAGGAAGAACAGATCCAGGCATTCAACTGGAAGGCAATAAAAGACAGTTGTGCTTTTAGCAGCTGTAAAAAAACAAATGGATTTTAGCCAGGGGTGGCTTTTAGGAGCACAAAAGCAGCTGCTGAAATCCTTCCTTCCCTGGGATGGAAGATGGGGGGATCTTATGCTCGCTTTCCAGGGCAGGGGGCTCCCTGAGCCTCCCCCACCCCCTCTTGCTAGACCTCTCTGCTTCCACTCCATGCTTAATTTGGAAAGTGCCAGAATCTCTGCAAACTTTTGCCCGAGACCCCCAGCGGGGGGGGGGGGGAAGGTGCGCTCCTGAGTTGGAAGCGGAAGCAGGAGGTGGATGTGGGGGTGGGGGACCAATTCAGCTCCCTCCCCACCTCTCTGAGTAATGTTTCCTCCAATCCGCAGCTCGAGAGAAGCGTGTTGCAGTGAAGGGCGGGGGTGGACCGCCCAGCGCTGGCACAAGACTACAAAGTCCATCCGTCGGGGGATCCCCAGTGGGGCCACTGAGGGCGAAAGAGAGTGAGGTCTGGCGTTGGCTGCCGTTAAGCCGGCGGCTTCCGGAAGGTGCTCCAGGCGTGGAAGCAGCGGGTGAAGGGAAGCGGCTCGTTGCCTTTGCGCACCAGCCGGAGTTTCCGGGGCCGGCTGGCGTCTTTGGACCGCATATGCTGGATGTAGACCTGAGGAAGAAAGGAATAGAATAGAATAGGGCTAGAAGGGACCTTGGAGGCCTTCTAGTCCAGCCTCCTGCTCACGCAGGAGAACCTGTACCATCTCAGACAAGTGACTGTCCAGTCTCTTCTTAAAAACCTCCAGTGATGGGGCCTCCATGATTTCTGATGGCAAGCTGTTCCACTGGTTAATTGTCCTCACTTTCAGGAAGTTTCTCCTTAATTCTAGGTTGGCCCAATCCCAGCAAAGGCAAAAGGTAACCAAAAAGGGTCAACACGTGACCTGTAACTTCCTCAAATCCCTCAAACGTTTAGAAATTGAGTAAGTGAATTCCAGTTTTCAGCAAAACCCGTTGTAAAACATGGTGTTGCCAAGCAGTGAAGTGCAGTCATATGACTGGGGGGGGGACACTGTCAGAACTTTGAAACTGGGCCGTAACTCCCTGTTTTTCAGCTAGGTGATAACTTCAAACGGTCGTAAATGAAGGACTATCTGTACATCTTGATGCCGCTGGAGTGGAGGAGGCCAGGAGATGCGAGACCTTTTCTCCCCGGCCAGCAAAATCCTGCTGAAGCCGAAGCAGGAGAGGAACACGGACCCTCCCTCCGCATCCCCCCAGAATGGCCTCTGTCGACCCTTCCGGATGGTTACCTGGCAAGCTTTGAGGCTCAACTTGATCTCGACCTGGCTGGTCTGCGTCCCCACCCACATGTAGACCTGGAAAAGAGGAAGAGGAGAGCGGGCGGTGGCTTCTCCAGAGGAGACTCCCCAGGGCTACCCAGGGAGACATCTCTTCCCGATCCCACCAGCTGCTTGAGGCCACAGCCGGCCGAGGGTCCTGTCCGGCTCCTGCCCCAGACTGACCTCACAGCCGTTGTCCAGCAACATGATGTCATCGTCCGCCAGATCGTCCTGGCAGAAATCGGAGCATTTTTCTGACACCGCGAAGTAGCCCTTCTCGTTGGAGCACCTGGGAGGGGGAGATAAAACCAGGAAAAAAATATATCTTGAGATGGACATTAGAGCAGAAGAGGGAAGAACGGACCCCCCCCATTCCCCCAGGAGCAAATTCGGTCTCTTTGAGGGCCGTTCTTGGATTCTGCTACAGACTGAGGGCTTGCTGGATGATGGCAAATTTGGGAAGAAGGCCAGCTCCTTCTGCTTGCTGGGAATTTATTTTTATGTATTAAATAAGGGGACTCTGGGCGGCTTAGAAACAGTAAAAAGATAAATACAAAGCAAATAAAACTAAGAAAGGCTAGGCAAAGAGATGGAGGCGTTTGGTTCTCACCAGGGAATGAGGAGAGCCCTCGTCTTGGGGAAGAAGGGATCCACCCAGGGGACTCGCTGGCTCACCTGAAGAGACGGCAGAAGTTCATGTATTCGGCATCTCCGTCGTAAGGCTTTTGGGTTCCAATCCCGACCCAAAAGAAATTCTCTGGTTCTTCTCCCTCATTGATCACCTGCAAACCAAGGAGGAGCGGAGAAGTAGGGGGAGGGAAGGGGAGGGGGAAGTGAGGAAAGATTTACTGCTGGGTTTTCCCACCCAAGTTGTCTGCAGCTCTGGGGTCCCTCTGAGCTTGGCTGCTTTCTTGCAGACGTTTCATGACCCAACTAGGTAACATCATCAGTGCTAAAAGGGGTTCTAGCTTCTAGCGCTGATGATGTTCCCTAGTTGGGTCAAGAAACGTCTGCAAGAAAAGCACCAAGCTCAGAGGGCCCCGAGGACTTCTCATTTCCACCCTGAGCTACAAATATTATCTTCTTTTTGTTCTCTTTACCTGTTTACTGTACGAGTCATCAAACATATGGTTCATGATATCTTCAGCCAGCTTAGCTTCATCGGGGTTGGCAGCTCGGCCGACCCAGGTGTACACGATGCCCTGGTTGTCGGAACTCTCAAAGGGAACCTGGAAGGAGAATTCTGGGAGTTGAAGTCCACCAGTCTTAAAGTGGCAAAGGTCAGTCTTCTCCTGCCTGGCTTTCACTGGATGTGTTCGGGCTACGTGAATTCGGAGCCAGCGTGGCCAGGGCTGGTATGGAAGTGTTAGCATTCTGGGGGCACCAATTTTGGGGGATTGGTACCCCAGAAAGAGGAATTCCAACTGCCAAGCTGCTTTTTACGAAAGAGCATCAGATTGAAAGAAAGAAAGAAAGAAAGAAAGAAAAAGCGACTGCCCAGTTTTCATTCATTGGTGGCTTAGATTACCTTCAAAATGAAGCAGAATTCAGAGTTCAGAAGGCTGGAGTCTGTATTGACCTGGATGCACCTGGAGAGGAAGGAGATGGAGAGACCATCAGCACCCGCAGGGACAGAGGGGAAGAGCCACAGGTACCTTCCCTTGTCTGGGTTTGGGCTGATAGGTTGATTTGGGTTTGGCCAGAGAAGAGTGACCAAGGGAATTAATTCTGTTCACATAAGGAGCTGGAATGTCAAGGAAGCCAGCTTTGGCCAAAGACTAGGTGTAGCCTGAAGATAACAGACTTGGGTTTGACCCTGGAACAAACCATCTCTGAAGATGGCGGGAGGAGGTGGGGCTTAGCAGGGGCTGGCCAACCCTTTTAGAAATGCTCAAACTGCATTTTAGGTGACAGCTCTCCAACAAGATCCAAACGCTTGTGTAAACCCACTGGGGAGATCTCAAATTGCAAGGAGAGCAGAATGGGAGAACTTCCCGAGTTCCTCCGCCAGCAGGACCTCAATCCCCTCTGAGGCTTGAAAGGGTCTCAGCAAGTCCAGAGGTCCAGCACCCCAACCGTGCCCAGGGACGGAAGCTCCTCACCGGGTGCAGAGCGCGCTGCCATTGGTGCGGATGTGGTAGAGGCTGGGCTGGAGATTCTCATCCTTGGCTTTCCTCTTGCCCTTGTGGACGATGAACTTCCTCTTGAAGTGGGAGAGGAACTTGGGGTTCTCTTGCTGCTGCGTCATGCGCACAACCTGGAGGATTAGGGGAGGGGCAGGGGTGCAGAAACCTTAGCCATACTTGGCCCCATCTTAAAGGGGCCAAGTTTGAAAACATCAGTCTAGAGCAGGGGTCTTCAAACTTGGCCCTTTTATGACTTGTGGACTTCAACTCCCAGAATTCCTCAGCCAGCTTATAAAAGGGCCAAGTCTGAAGACCCCTGGTCTAGAACGCTGCCAAGAGGATGGATGCACCTAGTTCCCCACTCTCCTTCCAAGCACAGGGATGGTCTTCTGGCTCACCTCCAGCTTGCCTGGGAAAAGGTTCTCAAATTTCTTCTGGAGGCTGAAAGTGAAGGTCAGCCACCCCATGTTGGAGGCCTCACGGCCCTGCCAGAAATAAACCACACATTGGAAGTCTTCTTCTGGCTGCTTCTCTTCTTCTTCCACCTCCTCCTCCTTCTCTGCGTCGTCCTCCCCTTCAGCGCTCCCTTCCTCTCTCTTCTTCTTCTTCTCCTCCTCCTCTTCCTCTGTCTCCACAGGGATCCAGTACCTTTCAGGACAAAACCAAAGTTACTTGGTTACTTCTCCCCAAGCAGCCTTGGCAAAAAAGAGGCAACTGAAAAACCTTCTTCAGCACAAAGATCATACAAAGCAGCTCTGATGGGTGGAGACCTTGGAGAACATCTCGAGGGAGGCTTGGCGTTGGCCAGGCATCTAAGCCTTCTCCAAAGGGCCCATGTGGGACTCGGAATAGGAAGGGCATTGCTTAGGGGTGGGTCTCAGAAAAGAAAAGTGACCATCCATGAACAGAGGGTTGAATTTCAGCCCACCAGGAGGGTCCCAGAGACTCCCACCGGAACGGGAGAGGAGCATTTCTGAAGAAGCACTTGTTCTCAACCCACTTCCCTACTCTGAGGAACACCATGCACTGCACTGATTTGGACAAAGGGAGAAATTAGGACAGAAAGACCTCCCTGGAACCAAGGTCACGGAGCATCTGGAAAGTTGGCGAGATGACCTACCGGCAGAGAAAGACGTAGCAGTCCTGGGTGTAGAAGTGGCCAAATTCCTCTTCAGGCAGCCGGGTGAACTTCTTGTTCTCCAGGACAAAACCTTCCATGCCGTCCAGATCCTCATTCCATTCTTCCATGAGCTGCTCTGCCTGGGGGAGGGAAAGCAAAGACCCGAGTCACACAGGTGGCCTTCAAGGGAGACAGAGCAAGTGTGAAAATGGAAGAATGTTTTGGGTGGGAAAATGTTCTAGGTGTCTCAAAGCGATGCTAGATCTAGTTCATCATGGTCACATCGCCCAATGTTTGGAGGAGGGTTTCTCAGTCTTGAAGATGGGTGGACTTCAAGCGCAAAAATTCCCCAGCCAACTTTTCTGGCTGGTGGATTCTGAGAGTTGAAGTTCCCCCATCTTCAAGTTGTCCTGGTTGAGAAACGCTAGTTTGGAGAAGGCTTAATCTACTTCCACACAAGGGAGCCAGAGTTGTGGGCCTACCTCGCTCAGAGGCATCGGGGGCTGACGTGGCAGAAACAGGGCAGTCAAGTCAGCCTTGAGCTGGTCCTTCTTCTCAGCATCCTTCTGCACTTTTCCTGAGAGACCTTCAGGCTTATGGACTGCCTCAGCGTTGCGGGTGTAGTCCACCTTCAGCACGTCATCCCAGTTCTTGAATTTGGATTTGAAGACCTGGCAGGGACATGGATCCTCATCAGTGCCATAAAATCCAGATCAAGCAGAAGAAAACTATGGTGGAAGCTTTCACTTTTAAATGTGGAGGTAAACATTTTCGCTCCAGAACACAAAATATTGAAGGTAGTGCTACAGATACAGAGTTCTGAGAATCACGAAGAACCAGCAAACACGGGATCGACCAAGTCCAGTAAATCTTCAGACGAGGACTTAAATGACCAGAATCCCCCAGGCATGCAATATATGCTGGCTCTGTTCTCTTGTAGGAACATTCCCTTCAGCTGGGACCTTGGTCATCAGAATTTCACGTAAGGCTAGAAGAAGCTAGAATACTTTGCAAATTCTGCCCGCTTACTTTCCGAATCCTGCAGCCCCCACCCCATATGTATGCTTCCTCTCCTCCTAAGTGGGCAAACATGGCCTGATCAACCCTTGAAGATGGTTTACAGTCCTTTGGGAGCCCCCGTTGTCCCTCCTTCCAACCTGGCACTCGGTGCCCTCCAGGTTCCGGATGACCATGGCATGCTTGGGGCGGTGAAGCATGCTGCACAGCTCCTGGCCTAGCTTGAGAGCAGCTGCCCGCACCAGGCGTGAAGACTTCCGGCCAATCCAGATGAAGACGTCTGACCAACAGTCCAGAATGTAGACCGACTTGGTGTCCAGCAGGCTCTGGAGCTATCAAAGAAGAAGACAAAAGCAGATGATTGAGACTCAACTGGATCACTTGAAATCTCCTTTCAGGACTCTTGGAAGGTAAGAGAGGTCCAAAAACCAGGTTCTGGACTAGGTTTAATCAGAAACTATCCAGAACTTCTACTTTGTCCCCATCACCACCTTGCAGACATTGTTCCCAGAGTCCTACCAGCCTCATTTCGGGCAACAGGTCCACTGCTGGCCTTTTCTTGTGCTCCACAGACAGCCTGTAGTTGATCTGGGGCAGCTCCAGGTAGCCCAATCCCAGGCCAACCTGCGCAGGAGGAGGAAACAAGAAGAAGGAAGAACATTTACATCGAGAAGGACGCAGGCAAAGCCCAGTTTGAGCCATCCTGGGTGTGATCCAAGCCAACAGGACATCACTGATTTTCCCAATTCCCGCCTTCTCTCGCTATTAACACCGTTGGGCATAAATGCCTCCAAAGACTAATGTAAGGTCTAGAGCAGGTAGATTTGATTAGGAATAATGGAAGAAAGTAGCACATTTCTGGAAAATCCCTACAGAAATGAGTGGAGAAGCTGAAGCTTAAGATGTATGATTCCAGCCCCAACCCTCTCCCTCCCCACCTTGTACAGCTTGGGCCTGGGCGGCTTGAAGTCATCGGGGACGTTGGCGTGGATCTCTTCCACCTGCCCACCCAGGAGGTCCCAGAACTCCGGCGTCTCCTCGGTCTGAATCAGCAGCAGGATTTCGGCCTTGCCCTTCCGCTCATTCTTGTTGATCTTCTCAGCGAAGAGCCTGAGAAGAAGAGAGGAGACTTGGTGGGAGATGAGTCTAGGACCAGCCGAGTGAAGAGAGAACCTGAGTCTCCTCAGATAAAGCTTCCTGCTTCCAACTGTAGGCCCAACATCTGTGCCCAAGGCTAGCAACCTTCAGAGCTCCATCTTTGGCACCGATGCTTTTATACAGCCAAGACTCTGATTGGTGAAGGCGAGAGACTGGCTGCGATACCACACCTCCCCCTCCCCCCATGGACTGTTGTCCAGATTCCCAGGAGGGAGGGAGCGAATTCCAGAGAAGCAAGAGACAAAGCAGCTTAGAGAGTGTGTGAGAAAGGGGGTGAAGACTGTTCCTCCTTAAGGATACCCAGAATCTCCGTTTTATGGTCCAAGTAGTTGGCTTCAGTTTGGCAAGATTTTAATCTATAAGTGAGCAACAATAAAGAAATCTGCTTGAAAAATCTCAAAGTGTCTTTCTTGGTTTATGGAGCCTGACATCACCACAAAGTTTCTGTTTGAGTCCATTTTTGGGAGTGCTGGCAATAATGGCAAGGTAAAATAGTGACATAGCTAATGTCAATGCACTTCTGCAGAACTCCTCCAGATGTTTCAGAGACCAGCTGTGCCACAATCTTCTTTTGGCACTCACCTGGCTTTGGTGGTACCATTGAGAGTAGCCTGGCTGCCCCTCCAGATGTAAATCTCAAGGCCGTGATCCAACAGGAAGACAAAGCTAGAAGGATGAAAGAAAAGGGAGAGCAATGTTTTTTTTTAAAAAAATAGCAAGCAGCATTTTCCCAGCCACCCCACAGAGGTCTTTCCAAAGAAGGCCGTTCTGCGTATTTACCGAGGATCCAAAGCGGTTGCTTTCAGAGGAACTGGTTCCAATTTGATATTCTTCTTTCCATAAACACGGTAAAGCCTGCATTGAGAGTGCAGAAACAGCAGCTTGGTTATATCCATTTGGGAGAAGGGAGGCAGAGAAAGCAAGAAACTAAATGTTGTGCAATTGATCATCAATCTCTCTCTCCTCTTAAGACATTTGAAGAGGGCATTCGAAAACAAGAGATTGAAATAATCGTTGCAGCCTCCACAAATGACAGATTAGGGTTTGCAAGTTGCCATCAGAGAACTGGCAGGCTAGAAAAGAATATAACCTGGAGATTTGCAAGCCAGCTAGGATAGAGACAAACCAGGATAGCAGGCAATTCCCGCCCAAATTGCCAAGAGAGACACCAGTTTGGACCCAACCCAAAGACACCCTGTCTCTCCTGAAACTCCGCCATGTAATCCTAACTCCTGGGGGCTGCAGGTGGAGGAAGAGCAGAAATGGCTAATGAGCCTGAGAAATAGTATTTTTGCACTAGCCGATTCAGGGCCGTGCTGCTTTCTCCCAAACTTAACCACCAGCTTCATCCTGAGCACTTGGAGCAAAGCCTGATTTTGTGGATGCTTCAGGTTTACCTGGTGATGTAATGGATATCTTCCACGGTGTAGAATCCGCTCGCCGTGCCCCCTTCGATGTAGGAGATCTCATGATCAAATACCTGCCAGAGGATGTCAAAAAAATAAATAAATTAAATAATATTAAAGCAAACCGGCAACCATCATGGATTAAACCCGCAAGCCAGCTCCTAACCAAGTTCTCTTCACAACAGCATATAAAATGTCTTTTCATGTTGAATCCCATTGCTCTTATTGATCCATTTCTTTGGGCAATTTCCTGCAGTTCTGAAGGCCTGCAAAGGTCTCCGAAACAGAAGCCCGCAGAGAAAGCTGGGTACCTGGCTGAATTCATCGCTCTCGTCCCCCATCTCTTCTCGAATGCTCCGGCCCTCGGCCCCCAGGTAGTTGCGCAGGTTGACAGCGTGGATGGCCGAACAGGCCTTCTTGTCCAGGGAGGACTCCTGGCCGATCCAGTAATAGATCTCCCAGTTCAAGGAGCCACTGTCATCAAGGAAGGTCTGGAAAAGAGCCATTATTTGTTAGAGAGGGTTAGAGGTCTGTCTCGGTTCTCCCTCTACATCTGGGTCAGTATTTCTACGGCTTAGGACCATCATAGAGCCTTGCCCATCACAGATGGTCATAGAACACGACCAATCCAATTTTGTGACCCTTTGTGTGGTGGTTATTGCCGCCTGTCTGCTTAGTACTCAAGGTTCAGTCACACGATCACCAGAAGTTTGGGTCATAAGGAACCCAAGACAGGTCTGTCATAACTTCAGACAATTGTTAAACAACCAGTCATAAATTGAGGACTACCTCATCTAGCCTCGTTTCATGGGTTGTGGAGAGCAGATCACACAGAGAAGAATCCTCATGGGAAACTTTTTCTAGAGTTGGAAATAAACTCTAGAAAAAGTTTCCCATGAGGATTCTTCTCTGTGTGATCTGCTCTCCACAACCCATGAAACGAGGCTAGATGTGGGCTGTAGACTAGATAGATATCTTGCCCAACTTTTGTAAAGCAGTTGAAGGACATTGCCATAAATCAGTCTCAGACAGGTAAGTTGAGGCTGTGGATATACCACAGCGACACATATGCACACACTGGCCTTTTGGTTGTTCCCACCTTCAGCACAATGTAGCAATCAGCTTCGTAGAACTTCCCATGGAAAGTCTCGTCCACCATCATGGGCACAAAATTCTCGATCTGCCAGACGGTGACCCCTGGCAGCTGACCAACATCTTCTGTGAAGAACTCCGAATAATTGAGCTGAGGTTTCTCCAAACTCTTGTCCCAGCGACGGGTCTTCAGGTCCGTGTATTTTAGGTCTCCGTTCTCCTAAAGGTGGAAAGAAAGAAGAGGAAGAGAAGGTGGTCTTCATTTAGCCCCCATTACAGTTTGCCTTTTCCTCCACAGGCATGGGCGTCACTTGGAGATGAATCCAACCTTACCTCCATCTTCTTATTCTTCTCCTGGGCCACATCTGACATGCCTTTCAACACCTGCTTAGCTTGGTCGTCTTGGGCTGAATCTTTGCGTCTTCGCACGCGCATTTTCCGTGCCAGGGGATCCTTCGGGCTGCTCCCTGGGAACCACAGGTGGAAGGGGGAAGAGTTTTAGAAAGCAAGAGATGAAGAAGAGAACGTTGGATGGAGAAGTTCTAGTTCCCATCAAGAAGTAACAAGATTGGGAAGATGGTCCTAAGAGGACATGAATCAGGGAGAGAGGGGTCGGACGTGTTTCTACTTTACAAAGCAGAAGGAAGTTCTTGAGATGATCAGGTTGAAGGCAACAGTTTATCCTTCTATTGTGGCTATTTGCTGGGGAGGACAAGAAAACTACACACCCACACCCAAAAGGGCTCCTAACCTACATCCAAAGAGGTCCTCAGCTCACCTCCAGCTGCCGCTGCCACTGTGGCAGGAGATGCCCCAGCCAGCCGCAACTGATTTTGCAAGGAGAAATCAATGTTGTACCACTCTGAAGTTCGGTCCACGGGCTTCGGAGGCATCACCAAATTCGGGTTCTCCCGGACATCCAAGATCTGCAAGCAGGGAAGAGGATCTCAGTCAGGAGCAGAGAAGACAAGAGGTTCTCCAGGGAGAACGTTCAGCTTGTTATCTGAGAACTGAAGACTCTCAATCACCACCCACTTTCGCTCGTTGTCCCTGATCTAGAACACAAATTGGAGACTTTCTCAAAAATATTTCCCCCCCCCCCTTTTCATATTAGAGCTAGTCCTTGACTCTCGACCGTTGCTCAAGGGGAGCCAAGATGTCCCACCCTTCTCCTCCTCCTCCTCCTCCTTGCAGGATTCCTCTGTCCCCAAAGCTCTCACCTCGACGTCGGGCAGAAAATGCACCGCTTCCGGCAAGGTCACCAGGCGGTTCTTGTTCAAAACCAGCTTCCTGAGTTTCACACACCTGTGGAAAGAGGAGGCTCAGAGATAAAGTCCAGCTTAAGCTGAAGTCCGGCCTGTCCAGAGAGCGCTCCTTGGGGCGGAGGAGCGAAACGCAACGCACCTGCAGAGGCTTTCGGGGATGAGCTCCAGGTTGTTGTTGGCAGCCATGAATTCCTCCAGGTTGGCCAGCTTCCCGATGCCGGAGGGGATGCCATCGAAGTCCAGCTTGTTGGAATTCAAGTAGAGCTTCTTTAGTTTGGTGAGTTTGCAGATTGCAGACTGGAGGGGGAAGAATGGATGAAAAATTAATTTCAGGAAGGAAAGCAATCCTTGCTTCCTCATTTGGAAGCTGCTTTTCCACAAAACTGGGTGCAAATATATCGCTTGTGGCAACAACAGTCAGAATTGTTTTTTATAAACATTGAACAAAAGGGTCCATGAATTGCAATGCAAAGGGAGAAAAACACTGATTTTCGGTTCCATGTATCTCCTGTACTGTACTACTGCATTAGTATTTCTCAAACCTGGCAGCTTTAGGACCTGTGGACTTGAACTCCCAGCATGTGGCTGGGGAATTCTGGGAGTTGAAGTCCACACATCAAAAAGGTATCTTAAAGGTTCAGAAACCCTGGCCTGCCTCCTTATCTCTGGGAGGTTGCCAGTTCCTCAATATCTCCGCTTTTTCTTGCCTGGAAAAGCAACGGACCCGGCATACCCACCTTCCTCATCTAACTAAGGAAGTTTGGATCCAGATCGTTAAATCCCCTTTTCAGATAGATTATAACTTCGGGTGGTTGCTAAGTGATCCGTCATAAGTGGAGGACTGTCTGTGCATGAGGGCTTGGTTGAGGAAACTCTGGTGCCTTGTTCTTGAGAGCAGCCCAGTGGCTCCGTTCAGCCTACCAGCTTTAATCCAATATGATGGTTTAATAATAAAGCCATCCCTGGCTCTGCTCCAGTTGCCGGCCTGTCCTTAGCTACTCCTCAAAGAAGCCCAAAGGACGTGGCCTCCGGGAAGGGGCACCCACCGTTAGGGAAGTGAGCTGGTTCCTGGACAGGTTGAGGGTCTCCAGTTCCGTCCACTGGTCGATGCAGAGAGACAGCTCCGAAATCTGGTTGGTGCTCAAGTTCAGACGCCGCAGGTTGGACAGAGTGTAGAGACATTCCGGAATCCGGCTCAGATCATTGCAAGACAGATCCACATCTGTACAGGGCGAGGAGAGAAAGATCAAGTTGCACAAGGAAAGGGGTTCACTGGGGGGGGGGAAGAGGGCCAGCTGGTCTTCCATCATGGCAAGTTCTGGGTTTCACAGTACCCCGACTTGTCTTGCAGTCACTTCCCTCCCAATTTCGAGGCACTTCTATCTCTTATCGTAAGTACCCCGCAACGTCCTCCAAGGTTATTCTCTCCCGAGGGATGGGAAGGACAGTCCCCACCATTGTCCACCCAGCTGGAGGCCCAGGGCCTTCGGAGGACGCAAAGGGGGAAAGGCTGGGGAAACGGAGCCTTTGAAGCTCCCTGGAGGGATGAATGCGGCTGGTACCTGCCAGGCTGCTCAGGCCGTCTAGGCTCGTTGGCAGGTTGCTCTGGGTCCTCTGCGTATTCCGGAGATGGAGAGTTTGCAGAGCCATCATGGCGGGGAGTTGCCTTCAGGCAGAAGGAGAACAGGGGAGAAGGGCTGAGAGGCAGCACTGCCGGGTGCAGGAAAGCAAGGCGGGATTCTGCCTGGACTTGGCCTTCACTGACCCCGCTAGCTGGACTCAGCCCAAACTTTGCCTGTGCACCAAGGTCTCTCCCGATCCCCAGGGACTAGCGCCTTTAAAGTAAGTAAAGGAGACTTCCCTTCTGGCCAATGCAAATCCCAGGGGAACAAGGGTGGAAGAAAACTTGCAGAAGTCCCCCTCCTCCCTCCCCTTTTACCTGAGCTGGGCGTGCATCAGAGGGTTATTATTCAAAACCAAGGTCTGCAGGTGCACCAGGCGCCTCATTTGGGGGGGCAGGCTCTCCAGCTTGTTGTCACTCAAATCCAGGTAAAGCAGGTCTGTCAGGTTGATGAAGAGCTGGTTGGGGATACTATCTATGCTGCAGGGGCAAAGCGGGGGGTGGGGTGGGGCAGGAGAGAAAAGAGGGGCACGCCTTGTTTACACTGCCAGATAGGCCCAGCCTGGTGCCAACGCCTCGCCCGCTCGCGAGGGAGACACTTAAGCAGCCAGAGGTTCACACCCCAGGTTTCCTATGCAAGCAGCCACTCTCTCGTTCTCTCTTCCCCCAACGCCCTGGGGCGTCTCCCTCCGCGCAGGGCTCGACCCTGGGCCTGGAAGTGCCGCTCTCACTCCTTCCAGGCGACAACGTGTCCTGGGTGGAAGCTGCCATTTGCTCAGTGCCCATCTGGGATGGCAGAAAGGCCGGATGGGCACTTGAGATGGGAGGAGAGGGAGCAGCAGGATCTGCCAAGAAAACTGTTTTGCATTCTGTTTTGGGCAACCGGTCATTATGGCTTGCTTTGATTTAAGCTTGGATTTGAACCAAGAAAGGAAGGGAACAGAGCGGGCATCCTCACACACCGGCAGACAATAAGTCCTTGACTTACGGCTGTAGTTTGTAAAACCCTGAATTTTGGTTATAAGTTGTTGTGGTTTCACGTCAAGGCTTCAAGTGACTGGACCCGATTTTTTGGCATTTTCGGCAGCCGTTGTTAGGCAAATCCCAGGGAGTCTGTCATACGTTCATACAATCACTAAACAAGTCGAGGTCTGGCTGTATTACCTGTTATGTTTGAGGTTGAGCACAAGGATATTCTTGGCGTTCTCCAGCTCCCGTGGACACTCAGTCAGCTGGTTATAGCTGAGGTCCTGGGGAAAGAGAAATGCAGGAAGGGGACATCAGAGACCACTGAGGCCTCATGTGGCCAGCACTGCTGCCGTGGCTGCCAAACAGGCCACGTTTCTCAGAGACCCAAAGAGCACAAATAACTGGCGCACCTTGATTTAGATCAAATTTTCTCAAACTTGGTCACTGTAAGATACGTGGACTTCAACTCCCAGAATTCCCCAGCCAGCGTGCTTTAAGATACGTGGACTTCAACTCCCAGAATTCCCCAGCCAGCCACCAGCCAGAGCTGCCACCTACCAAGACGGAGAGGTCGTCTAGCTGGAAGATTTCATAAGGAATCCCGGAATTTTTCAGCGCGTTGGCCCGAGCGACGATGGTCTGGAGGAGGGGGCAGCAGGAGAGAGAACAGGCGGTCAGACGCACCTGGCTGCCATGCAGAGGGGCAACAGGGGAGCTCTGGGTGCAGAGGACCTACCCGCAGGCAAGGGAGGCTGGAGAATTCTCCGTGGAGGGTGGTCAAGTTGTTGTGGCTGACAGAGAGGTGCTCCTATTGGGAAAGGCAAGCAGAAACGGCCTTGGGTTGGGGCTGCGTGATATTAAGGAGGGGTTGGCGGGCACCCTCCCCCCTGGTTGGCTTCACAGGTGTTATACACTGCTGACCAGACCAACTGAGTTTGTGCACTGAGCCTCAATCTAATTGAGGAGGACCTGGGCTGCGGGTGGGATGTGAGCTGGTCTAGGAAGAAAGCAGGAGGAAGGGGAGAGATCATGCAAGGGAAATCCTGACACCCCCCTCCCCCCAAATCCTCCATCCTTCCTCTCTCACTAGTGCTTTTAAGCCTAAAGGATCCCGAGCCCCCCTCTTTCGGCACCTGAGTTCACCCTTAAAAAGGGTAAAGGTAAAAGAGGAAGGTGGCAGGGTGTAATAATAACACTTGCAATTTTAACAATTAAGGGGGATTCAAAAAAAGCCCCTCCCCTGTTTCTGTGGCCCCATGTTTTTCCCCCTTTCCCCAGTTCCCATCCTCCTCCCCCCAAATTCCCAGCGTCTCAGAGGGAGCAAAAGGAAACCCGGATCTCTCACCAGCTTGTGGAGGGCAGAAAGCTCCTCCGGCAGGTAGCAGAGGCCGGTCCGGTTTAGCTTCAGCCATCGCAAGCTGGTCATGGACTTCACGTGCTCCGGGAAGAAGCCGCCCTGCCGCAGGGAGAGGAGACAGGCCAGGGGGGGCGGTTAGACTCGGAAACCTGTCGGAGACGTTTCTGGCAAGGGACCGTGGGGATGTTGTGACAGTCGTAAGTGAGAGGACCACGCATAAGCCATTTTTTCCAGCACCATCATAACTTTGAGTTGTTAAACAAATGGCTGTAAGATGAGGATCTATTCCATTCCATTCCATTCTGTTCTATTCTATTCTATATTTTATTCTATGTTCTTTTCTATTTTATATTCTATTCTATTCTGTATTCTATTCTATGTTCTATTATATTCTATTTTTATTTATTCTGTATTTTATTCTATTTTATATTCCATTCTATATTTTATCTATATTCTATTCTACTCTACTCTCCTTCAAACAGGCCCCTGAGTAAAGGGGTCTTTGCAACCAATGCCCATAAAATACAGGATCATTCCAGGACTTTGCACTGAGGCCCCCCCCCCTGAGATTCTCAGACCCTCTCATTGAACCTGCACTGAGAAGAATAGAGAAGCACCATTTCAAGCAACCGTTTCTGTCTCAAGAAATTTACAGCCTGAAATGTTATGAAGCCTGATCCATTCTAGGAAGGAAGGAGTCATGGAGATCGGGTGTCCAAATGCTGGCCCCCATCTGCCCCCTTCCCCTCCCGAGTGACATCACTATTTATAAGTAGGGTTGCATGTCACTTCAGAGGTATTCCAGACCTCGATTACATCTCAGGGCAAACATGCCTCCCCCCCCCCCGCTCCAAAAATGTGGCTCACTGCTAATTATAATTCTAATATCAGCCCTGAAACTCCGCAGGAGGAAGTGACTTGCAAGACTGGATACATGAAAACATTAAGGAAGATGGAAAGGAACCCAGGTTAAGTTTAGCTCTAGGAAACACGAGGAACTTTAAGTAAATAAATTGTGCAACATTTCATAATATTTTCCGGTTGAATGGCAGCAAGCTAGCAAGATGAGACATTTCATATCTTCCATTGCGAATGAGGGAGGGCTATACATTTAATAAATGATTATTGTAATGATTAAATATGAGTTTTTCATTTGATGTAACCTTTCTGTGTCACCTGTACAACAATTCGCAAATATCTGCTTTCTTTAACAAGAGCATATATTTTCCCCTCCCCAAACCAAGGTGCGGCTGAGCTGGAAAGAGGAGATGCCTACCCCACCCCACCCCTCTTCCTTGAGGCTCAGTTGACATTTGCAGCCCTGAGTCACAGAACAAGCCAAAGACCAGACCTTAAAGTGACCAAAGAGTTGCCCGGAAATGCAGCCTGACTTCACAGGATCTGAACAAATCAATCCTTTTCTTGTATAACCAAAAATAACTTCTAGGAATAATCGGGGGGGGGGGATCTGGTCACCCCCTTCCCCCTACAAAAGGGCCTCTATTGGACATTCTGAAAAAGGGTGTGAAGCCTCCAAGAGCAGGAGCAGTCTACCGTACAGTGCAAATTAGCTGCAGGACGATGCAGGCAGCCACCCTCCAGTCCGGCTCTGGGGATTTTCAGAGGCCACTTTTCAGAGGGGTGGACTTCAACTCCCAGAATTCCCCAGCCGGCATGAAAGCCACCCTTCGGAAAAGTCGCTGAGGTTGAGAAACCCCGGGTTAGACCGGAAATGTCACTTTCCTCTTTCTAATATATTTAATTTTATTTATTTAATCCATGGGAAAAGCCGGCTCAGCGAGCCTAACCCCGAACTTCTTACTTTCGAAATTGAATCTATTTTTATTTGCAAAAGTCCCGCCTCCGGACTTTTCCATATCCCGGGCAGGCTGGGGGGGGGGAGGGAATGGCCAACTTTTAAGAAAGTTCAGAAGGGGGGGATCCGGGGTTGCCCGGACCAACGGTGGGGGGGGGAGTTTCCTTCCTTGACGCCCCCTCCCCAGCCCGGTTCTTGCCACCCTGGAAAGAGGCTTCCAAGTGCGGCTGCGGCTGAATCGCTTGGGAAAGCGGGGCCGGGACTGCGGCGCGGGGGACCCGACTCCCATAATCCTGGCGGCGGGGGAGGATGGGGGTGGGAGTCGCCTTCCGCAGGAAGGGGGCGGCCACGGAGCCCGGCATTTGCTTCAGGCGGGGCGGCCGCCCAGCCCGATCGGGAAGGGGCTGAAGCCAGGCGCCCAGCCGGGGGCAGCCTCGCCTTCCCCCGGGGGGCTCGGCCGACCCGGCTCACCTTGAAGTCGTTGCCGCTGAGATCGACGCCGCGGATGAAGGGCAGCACCCCGGTGGCGGCCATGGCCGGCGGAAAGGAGCGGGCCGGCGGCGGCTGCGGGCGCCGAGCGGGGAAGCGCGGCCGGGGAGGCGGCGGCGGCGGTTCTTTCGGAGGAGGGAGGGGAGGGAGGCGGGGCCTCGCGGGGCCACGCCCCCTTAACCCCTTCCTCCCCCTCTCCTGGGCATTCTTTTATCTTTAGCCCAGGGGGTCCTCGACTTACGATCACGGTCGAGCCCAACCTTTTGTTGGCTAAGTGAGCTTGGCCCCATTTTGCGACCTCCCTTCTCGCCGTTGTTAAGCGAATTACTGCCGTTCAGTTGGTAACACCGTGGGTAAGCGAACCTGGCTTCCCCATTGAGTTGGATTGTTGCCAAAGGAAGATCACGTGACCCCAGGACACCATGGCCACTATGAACCAGTTGCCAAGTGTCTGAATTGTGATCACGTGACCATGGGAGGGGAAATGCTGCAATGGTCGTAAGTGTGAAAAATGTTCATAAGTCACTTTTGTCGTTGTAACTTTGAACTGTCACTAAGTAAACTGTTGTAAATCAAAGACTGCCTGTAGCAATATTGCTAATACTGTCAGGGGCCAAGATTAGCCTAAATTCAGTAACTTCAAGGTACATGGACGCCAGCTCCCATAATTCCCCACCAGAGTTCTGCCCTGGAAAGAAGGAAAATCTCTCCCTTAGGCTTAGCCGGCAAATCCCACCCGCCACGCTTCCGGGATGGCCTTTGCTTCTCTGGCCGCACTTGGCTGGAGAGGAGCCTCCTCGCTCAGCATCGTCTACCTGATACCCGTCCGAAGTGCGGCACGCGGAAGAGGCGCGCGGCCCCTTTAAGGCGGCGCACTTCCGGGGAAGCGGAAGCCGCGGAAGAGACTCGGCGTTCGGAGCAGAACGTTGGGAGAGGGCGGCGCGCTGCCATTGGTTGCGCGGGGCGGAAGGCGGAGCTTTCAGTGGCGTTCCGTCTCGGGCCGCGGCCCTGCGCGCTTCGCTGCGGGCGGTTGAGGGTCGGTCGGCGGCGCTCCGGAAGGTTTGTGGGTGGGGGGCTCTGCGGGTGTCTTGGAAGGAAGGGGAAGGGGTCCAGGAGGGGGAGGAGGTCGTGCAAGGTCAGGGGTCTTGGAAAGGGGAGGGGGCCTGGGGAGGGGGCCTTGGAAAGGCCGGGAGGAAAAGCAGGCGCGCTCAAACGCAGCCGGACCCCCACTCCTTTTGTAGGCATGAGGAAGGGGCTGAAAGCCCGCCTGGCTTTGAATATTCCTCTGTTTGTTTAAGGCCCGGGCTGGGAGGCTGCGCACGTCTGCACGGCGGCCAGTAAGTCCGCGCAGTTCTGTCCCCGTAGCGCCGGGTCAGAGTCCTCCTCCTTCGCGCTAAAGGAGGGCCCGGCCCGCGAGGAGGTGACGCGGAAGGAAGCGTCGGGGCAGCTTTGTAACGTGGGGAAAGGCCCTTTCCTGGAGAGAAGGGGGTTCAGGGGCAAGGTCTTTTGAAGGCGACCTGCAGAGGGTTGCTTTCCAAGCCCTCGCGTTGTTTCTCTTAAGGAAGACCGGCCCCCTCCGCAGGGTTGGCGTTGTTTGCTCTACAAGCTCACCTCTCTTCTTGGCACCCGCCCTATGGAATAGCCTTCCTCCCCCCCCCCCAAACTATAGGTCCCAAGATCTGGCTCTCCCCCCCCCATCAGGGCCAGGATGTTTAGTGGAGCCCAATTGAGGTGCTTTTCTGTTGTGAATTAATTATGCAACATCTTGATTATAGTATTATGATTATTTTTCACCTTTTGTTCAGTTTATGGGGGTCTAAATGTGTGGCTTTCCTTGTGTGTTGGTTGTTAACCGCTCAGAATTATTCTGTGCTGGCAGCCATTAAGCATTTTCTAAATAAATACATTTTTTTAGCAGCCACAAAGGCCTGAGTGGATTGGGACTTGCAGCATGGCAGCCTCTCCTCTGGTCTATTCTGGCTTTTTACAGAAAGAGGGGAGGGAGGGAGTCTGCCTCCTGGCTTGCTAATAAGCAATATTCTGTGTGGACCACCCCCATTTATTTTGGATTCCATTTTAGGATCCCTGGTACCACCCCACCCACCCACCCACCCATTCTGTTCCATGAATCTAATTTCCTGGGTGATCCTGCAAAATCTGAGGGTGGGCTTTCTGTTTCCCTGACAAAGGCGTGATTTTGCAACAGTCCTGTCGGCACAAAACTCTCAGACTGCCAGAGAGGTGGGCAATCAGTTGGGTATGATGGAAAGGGTGGGCTGGGGGGGGAATAACCCTTGAGAGAGGCAGACCTTACAGACTCTGTTGCTTTGCTAGCTGATGCCTTATTTGATGGCGCCTATTGAGATCACTGCCGAGGGAGAAAAGTTACACAAATATCAAAGAAATGGTGGAACAGAATCATCAAAGAAAGGATGCAAAAGGAGGGACAGAATGAAGTGCGAATGACAAAAATCAAAACATTTTTTATTTATTTTAAATAATTGAATTGTTAAATTGTCCTGCAGCCTGTTAGCCATGACAAGTTGTCCCACTCCGGGACCAGACCCATCCTTGAGCCACTGGCCTCACCCAAGAGGTGGCAGCTTCTAGGGGATTAGCCTAGAAAAGGTCATTTTTCCAGCTGCCCCCTTCCAAAAAACTATCCTTTTCAAGGTTATCCAAGCCAGGGCATAAACGGAATTAAAACAATAATAAAAAAAGAAGAGCAGGGCTGTGGAACCTGAGATAGTGGCCATCCTAAAGTAAGGATTCCTTTGATCCCGGGAGGAATGGGTCAGGGGGCCACATGAGGTTCTCCTGTAAGAAACTGACCGCTGAAAGCCAAGTTTCTTGGCTGCATTCAGCTTGATGAGGGCATCAGAGATCCTGGGCGGTGCATTCTGCACATGCTTAGGAGCCCTCTGCTTGAGGGCCCATGTGGTCTGGCCCATCCCTGCCTTGATTTCAGCCTTTGGCTGGCTGGGAATGGCAGCACCGGGATATTGTTACCCTGCTTCCAAAATAGCATCCAGAAACCTGAGCCCGTCTTCTCTTGGGGGGGGGGGGGGTTTGCCGTTGTGAGGAATCCAGCCATCTATCCTTGGAGATCCTGGGGATATGGGGGGGGGGGAGGATCCATTTAGCTCCAGTGGAGAATGTTTCTGGGGGCGTCTGGCTGGCAACCCCTGCTGGCTAGCTGGCGGGGGGGGGGGGTTTCTGTAGCAAAGGACTTTTTTTCTGGATCCGGATGAGGGAAGCCACCAGGGCTGAGAGCATGGTGGCTTTCTGCGGCTGGCAGGATCTTGGCTAGTTTTTGCATGGTTCTGGATCCCCATGGCGACGTCTCATGGAGTGTTCTGACTCATAAATGCCAGTTGGATTGTAGCGGGGGAGGAAGGCACCGCTCTGGCCCCACCAAGGTTGGCAGCTGGCGGGTGGACTCTCGACTGACTCTTCCCTGTGTGGGTACTTGACAGCAGGCTGGCTGGGGAATTCTGGGAGATGGGGCCCAGCCACGTTAAAGGTTGCAAGATGTTGCTCTACAAGCCAGCTCTGAGCCGTGGAAATCCCCAGGAGGGGACCCCCTGCCAAAATATCAATATTTTTGGTTCACTTTGAAATCATCACGGGTTGATATTTATTACATTTTGATCCCCGGTGACCTTGGGGCAATATCCAGGAATTCTTCAGCATGTAACTAATCTTGGCCAGGATTAAAACAACAACTAAGCTGGCTGGGGAATTCTGGGAATTGAAGTCCAACCTGTTAAAGGTTCTGAGGTTGAGAAACATGATTGATTGATAATTAAACAGACAGATAATATATTGTAGGTAGACAGAGATAGATGATATATAGAGATTATACACACACACATCTCGGTAGCTTCAACTCCCACTATGCTGGCTGGGGACTTCTGGGAGTTGAAGTCCACCCAGCTTAAAGTTGTCAAGATTGAGCAGTACTTAGATAGCCAGAGAGACGAGTCCGTAGCTAATTCTCTGCCTCTTCCAGATCTAAACGCTTCCGAGAATGCCCTGGTCCTCGCTGAACCTGGCTTCCTTCTCTTGGTTGCGCCCATAAAGATTCTTCCCTGGCACTAGCCAACTGGCACGGACTTCCGAAGACGGGCGATGGCGACCTACGCCGGCAAGCAGGGCAAGAGGCAGGACGAGAGCAGCCTGGGCAGCCTGGTGGACCTGGTGCTGGCCAACGCCCGGGTGGTGCTGGGGGTCAGCGGTGCGGCTGTGTTGGCCCTGGCGACGCTTGCAGTCAAGAGGGTGAGACCAAGCGGCCCTTGATAAGCTTGCAGCCGGCTTATTTGCGTGAGGATGAACGTGCTGTTAGGTTTCTGCTCGTTGGTAGCTGCCTTTTGTTTAATGATAGTTGTGAATGTGTAGCAGGAGCTGCTTGTCTTTGCCCAGGTGGCCAGGGCCGAAGAAGCGCAGGCCGTGCAGCTTTGCTCTGGACAGGTTGGGGAAATGCTATTTCTGTCCTAAATATTTCCGCTGGCCTCTTTTTGGCTGAAACTCACCGTGGATTATGTGCGGATTTATAATTTGTAAAGACCCAGAAATGCAGTCTTTCTTTTAATGCTGCTCCTTCTGTTGTGGCTCAGTGGAGCATTAAATGTGTATGTGGGAGGGTGTGGATGCATGCGCCAGCCGAGTGTTGATTTTGTTGTAGAGAATAAATCCTTCATTCAGCTGCCAGTAGAACAGGCCAAAGGGGGGGGGGAACAGAGCACAACAGAGCACAGGTGGATTGGCTCAGGAGAAGAGCGGCTCCCGCTAATTGGGGAAGGGTCTCTTCTACAGTTTATTGACCGAGCCACCAGCCCACCGGATGACGAGGACGACATAAAAGCCAAGCAGAAGTCCCTGGAGGAGAGCTGGCAAGAGCTAAGCCTGATCAAGGGGGTGTCCAAAGTGCGCCGGCAAGATCTGGAGGAGCCCCTGCTGTCCCCGGTCACAGCTGTACCTGCACAAGGTCAGGTTGGGGCACTTCCAGAGGATACTTGCTCCAGTCCTCCTGTGGAGGGGGTGGGGGAGGTTATTTTTCCCAGGGTGGCCTTGTACATTGGAACCCCAGGTGGCTGATCTCCAGAGTTGGATGGGACCCCAAGAGGTCCCAAGACTCTAAGCGGTGTCAGAATTCAAGTTAAAACATCCCTGGTTAATGATTTTCCAGCTTTTGTTTGAACACCGCTGGAGAAGAACCCACCAGCTCTTCAGGTCCTTGGTTCCATTCTCGAACTGCTCTTGGTCAATGAACCGGAAGTTGGCTTCCTGCAGCTTAACACGTTTTTCTTTGTCTTCCTTGCAGACTCTGAAGATCTCATCCTGTCCCCAGGGGTCTCTTTGGGGCAGTCCAAATCCCTGCTCTGCCTCACCCTTCAGGAGAAGCTTCTCTCGTTCTACAGGGATCACATCTACGTCTCCGAGACGGAAAAGGCTGTTGGGAAGCAGCTCGCAGAAGACATCCGGGTGGAGCTGCAGACCTTCCTGAAAAACAAATCTTTGGATCTGCCCTTTGGGAATATTTCCCTCAGCGGCTACCTTTGTGACGACCTTGTTGGCCAACACCAACTGGAGGTGGTCTTCAACCTTCCCTTAGTCCTAGAAGACCACCTTTGGCACTTGATCCGTGGTGAAGAGACACTCGTGGATAACTCGTGGTATGGGATGATCAAACGGAGTGGTCTGGAGTATTTCACACGGGGAAGCAGCCCTTGGGACAAGTTCATTGTAGGTGGGTACTTATCATCCAATGCTATCAACGATGCCCTCCTGAAGACCTTGGTGGCCTCCGTCAACTGGCCGGTCATCGGCAGCCTGCTGGAATGCCTCATACGGCCTTCGATGGCTCCCAGGGAGCTCAAGCTGGAAGTCCAACACGAACAGGTCCTCTTGGACATCACCCTCTGCCCGATGGTGGAAACAGAAGGCAAGATTTTTCTGGCCACGTTCTCTGGAGAACCCGTGGACAACCTCTGGCAGCAGAGTTTTTACGCCGCAGAGGTTTCCAAGCTGAAAGAGCTGGATGCTGGAGATGGCGGCATCCGGCAATGTTGTCTCCTCATCTTGAAGGCCACCTTTGAAAAACACCCTTTCTGGAGCAAATTGACTGGCAGTCAGTTGACTCACGTCATCCTCCACCTGAGCCAAACGGAGCCGGACTGGCCGGAGGCGATGCTGGCCGAGAGGCTCCAGCAGGTCTTGGAGGAGCTGGTCCAGTGCCTGGCCAAAGGCTCTCTCCCTTGCTTTTTCGACGACAGAGTGGACCTCTTGAGCCATCTGCTCCCAGAGGAGATTGATGAGATCGGCTGCACGCTGTATGAGGCGTTGGCCGCGCCCAACCTTGCAGAGGGGCTAGGTTTATAAAGAGAATCCTGGCTCCCTTTTGGACGGAGAAGACTTGGAAGGGACCCGTTCACTCCCCCCCCCCATTGCAATTCTTTTGCACCAAATGAAATGAAAGTATTAACTCTTGAAGTAAAATGGCCCTTGATTGTCAGCCCTTTGTCCTCGCTCTCTTACCGGATTTTTTTGCCATTCGGAACGGAGGTTCTTCTCCAGGGAGTGTGTGCTCTCTCCATAGGGCAGGATTGGGGGGCAGAGAGGGTAGCTAATCCCCTCCCCTCCTCTCCGATTTCCCCATTGTTTTACTTCTCAAACCTTGTGAACGTGCATCTCTGGATGGAATGCTCTGAGTGATTGTGGTGGGGGTCTCTACTCCGCAGCCCCCTTGAAGATTCTTCTGATTTTTTTCAAATAAATAAAGCAAGTAAGCAAAAAGGCTCAGGTCACTTCTGGGCACCCAGGAACCAACTTTTGATGCAAACTTGCGATGCTTTCAGTGCTGCTTACCCAGGATTGAATACCAGAACGCCCAACAAAGGTAGCTTAAGCCAAATATATATTTTAATTAAAAAAAAATATCCATGTCAATTGGGAGCTGGGCAGCAGCTGCCCTTTGGATCACAAGAACATAGCACTGAGCAGGACAGGAAGGTAAGTTAGAAATATTAAAAGTTAAACTCTGCAGGGTTTGGTACAAATATATTTCCTTTTTGAATAAATTATTGAGGCTGGATATTCCACTTACAGGGAGGACCAAATGGGGCCTGTACACAGGAAATTTTTGCTCAGCTTTGAAATTGCATCCTCTGAGAAAGCATCAGTCCCACAATAAGTTCCAGGTCTTTGAGAAGCGTCTCTTCCTCATTTAAGCAGGAGAAAGGCTTTTTAAAATCAAACGTCAACAAAGCGCTATAGTCTAAAGCAGTGTTTTGTCAACCTTGGGCCCTTTGAAGATGGGTGACTTCAACTCCCAGAAGGACTGGGGAATTCTAGGAGTTGAAGTCCACCCATCTTCAAGGATGAGAAATGTTGGTTTCAAGTCTTCCATAATTCCATCTATATTTAAAATCTTAAGGTGGAGGAAAGCCTGATCTTTCAGAAGTCCACGTCACCCCCTCGCGAGGCTCTCGTTTGCAAATGGGCCGTCTTGAGTCTCCCTAGCTCATCGGCGTGGGGCACGCCGCTTCAGTGATTTTGTGGACAGGTGGTCTTGGTGTGGCCAGGCTGGTGGCAAACACTGCATGTCCGTGGTCTCTTCAGAGGTGCCGTCAAAGAGGAATCGCTGTCTGATCTTTTCGCTTTGGCCCCAGGGCCCCGTTTGGCCCACTCGCCCACAAAGTGGCCAGAAGGAAAGGTGGAGGGAACTGCAAGAGAGAAGGAGAAGATTAAGAGGAGACGTAAGTCGCCCGAGAGAGGATTCTCTCCATTTTGGTATCCTCTCGATTGCCAGTTTAGAAGTTGTTTTCCTAACACCTCTGGATGTGGTGAAATTGAAGCCACAGCTGGAGAGGGCCCAATAAGTGATTTCAAACTCAGAGCTGGCCAGGATGGGATGTGTCCTGGACAGACTGGGCTGATCTTTGCCGTGGCAGACAGCTACATCCCCTGACCTCTTGCTGGCAATGGATCCCTGTCCTTTGGAGCTGGGGAACTCTTGAGATAAGTTTATTTAAAGGAGCATCATGCAAACCCCGCTGTCGGGTCCAGGTCCACAGACACAGGGAGATCTTTATTTGCTGACACCTACCAGACAGAATCTTGCTAGATTAAAATGATAACTTTCAACCTTGGCAACTTTAAGACTTGTGGACTTCAAGTCCCAGAATTACCTAGCCAGCTAGAATAGGGAGGGTTAGGTCTCTCTAACACAAGGTTGTCCAAGCTTGGCAACTTTTAAGACTTGTGGACTTCAAAATCCAGAATTGGAATTCTGGGATTTAAAGTCCACAAGTTTTAAAGTTGCTAAAATTAGACGCCCCTCTTGACTTGAAATGCGCTATCTTCTTCCCAGGAAACAGAGGTGTTAACTGCCAACATTTGCCCCCTTCAGCTACACATTCCATCACACCCGCCCACCAATCCTGCCGCCAGCTCAAAGATGCCCACCCCTCACCTGGCAACACGCTCTCATCTGCCCACTCGAAAAAGCCGCACTGCTGCTCCCTCGGCTTGGAGCAGGTGTGGAACTGGCGCCCCTTGTTGGGTCCTTCTTTCTGGACCGTCCTGGGCACTGCAGGCTGCTCACACCTGCAGAGAGGGCCTCCTTGGCCAGCGCCGGCTTCAGAATTGGAGCCCAGCCTTCTGGGCCCTGCTGCGGTTCTTTGCCCTGGCAGGGAAGAGCTGGGGGGCGGTGCCAGGAGCCCAGATGTCCCGTTGTCGGGCTTCTGCTGGTCAGACCACAGGAAGAATCGGCAGTTGCCGGTGCTGCATTTGTAAAACTGCCTGCCTTGGTTGGGCCCTTCTTTGCGGACGGTGAGAAGCAGGGCCTCCTCGCCACAATTGCACACCACGGCATTGTTCTCGTCCTCATTGATGAGTGCTGGAGGAGTTCTGTGTGCGGGGGCAGGAGGGGGTGCCCGAGCAAGCACGCGCTGGCCACGGCTGTGGATCGCGCCACCGAGGGAGTCAGGGGCTTCGCTGGGGAGAGTCCTCGGCTGGGCTGGAACCCTGGCTGGTCCTTGCAGGTACTTCAGATCTAGGATCTGCCTGAGGTTTTCATCGCAGCCACCGATGCAACCCACAAATTCGAGAGGCATCACGGCCGGGAGGCTGCCTCGCTTGAATTTCAATTTCAGCCTGCAGAAGGGGAGGGGAGCAATTAGCCCTGGACTTCTGACCCTGCAGTCCAATGGCACAGAAGCTTCTGCTCGGCTCCTGCATCCCAATGACCCCTTGGCCACGGACTTTGATCACAAGATCTGTCCAGGGTTATTAAGATGTGAGAAAGGAAAGCGAGGGGATGCTTTAGTATCTATCCGGTCTGCTCAAACAGCTGCAATGAATAGCAATAGCACTTAGGACTTATATGCCACTTCACGGTGTTTTGCAGCCCTCTCTAAGTGGTTTGCAGAGTCAGCCTATTTGCCCCCAACAATCTGGGTCCTCATTTTACCGATCTCGGAAGGATGGAAGAAGGCTGAGTCAACCTTGAGGTGGTCAGGATCGAACTCCTGGCAGTGGTGAATTAGCCTGCAATACTGCATTCTGACCACTGGGCCACCAGGGCTCTGAAAAAGAGGTTTCCCTCCAACCGGGCCTGCTGAGGGCAGATCTTGCTCCTCAGGCAGGATAAATCTCCCCCCACAGGTTTCCTGATTGGAGGGTGGGGACAGAGCAAATGCTCAGTCGGAATGCAAATGCGCCCTGGATTTCCAAAGACTGCAAAGCTCAGCAGCTGGGAACACGCCAAACGGCAGCAGAAACCAAGTCCAACGCGTCTCCTGTGCCGAGACTCACCGATGCACTGGGGGCGGCCTGCAGACGTCACAGACAGAATCGTCTTTGCTGACTTCCAGCACGGAATCCGGAAACCAGACCGAGGATTTACAAGCAGGGTAGCCCAAGCAGCTGAGATAGAAGCTAAAGAAACAGAGGACACATCAGAACAAGCAGAAGAGACACTGACCAACGACCAACGTGGGTCTGGTTGGCTCAGTGTTTTTCCAATTAGCACTTTGTTTGTTTGTGTGGGTAAAGTTGCTATAAAATATCCGTTGTTTAAACCAGGAGCTTGTGATCCTTGTAGCAAGCCAACGCACCCTCCATTCTTCCTGGTCTTCAGGATCATGTCAGAGTTGCACTGTGGGCATTTCCTAACCGGATCAGGCATCGCTGGGTAAATGTCACCCTCCTGTGCCACCTGGGTCATCTCCCCAAAATACTGAGCCAAAGCCTCATCCAACCTGAAAAAGACAAAGGAAGTGGGCCTGTTTCTTCCTTCCGTCACTTGCACCCAACCAAGGATTCGTGGATCTTAAACGTTTGTGCAGAAAATGTGGATGTGTCAGCATTATTTCAGGAGAGAGGTCTAAGAAAACCCAGGGAGAAACAGCCTGTGGCTTTCCACGTGTTGTTGGATTGTATCGTTCTGTAACTGTTGTTTTAAACTGTCATTTTATTGTACTGTGTATTTTTGTTCCCTGCAGTTTTTTTGGATGATGGGCCGCTAAATTAATTTAATACATACATTACCTAGCAGTTCTTTGCTTACACAGTCAGTCTTGATCAAGGCAGGACCTAAACACCATCCCTAAACACTGAGCCAGCAGCACCAACTCCATAAAGTTCTGTCTACTTTTCTCCAATTTCTGGAACAGGTGCATCCCTTATAGGTAGGAATCAAAGGTTTAAAGAGGGATTTCTTTGCAGCTCCTGACCACGTTTTAGCTGCCCTTCCTCTTCCTTTCCATCCGCTGCCAGTCAAGCAGGATGTAAAGCAGAGCCTGTCCAGGCAGGGGCTACAAACCCCCCCCCCATTTTCCTTGATTGGGGTGGGAATTTTTCAGCCCTCACTTTTTAGCCTTGGCCACGGCGGCCACAAAGACTTGCTTATATTTCTGGATCTGCTCTCGGAGCACGACGGACTTGTCCTTCTTCCCCTCGCAGATCAGTTTCAGGTCGTTTTCCAGTTCGGCTCGAAGATCCGGTTTGGACATCTCGTAGCCCATGGAGTCGTAGCCTGGGGGCAGCAGACAGAGGAGAGGGTGGAGGAAAGAGTTGGAGGGGAGAGCCAGGTTCTTGCGAAAGGTCACGGGGCCAGTTCTTACCTTCCACCAGCCCCATTCCCAGGTGTCCCGGAAGGAAGCGCTGGTCCGGGGTGAGCCCCACGTACATGCGGGACTTGATGGTCTCGATGTGTTCCGCGTGGGTGGCGTCGGTTCCTGAAAGCCAAGCATTCACATGAGCTCTCAAGGACGGCACCAGGTTCCTCTGCTCCTCACAGCCCTCAAGTGCTTCCCAACCTCAGCCACTTGGAAGATGAGAGGACTTCAACTCCCAGAATTCCAGGCATCTGAAAGCTGGTGAGCTTGGGAGCACTTTTCAGCAATTGACCCTAAGCCCGACCTTCTGCCTTCCGGATATGCAGCTCTCAACAATCCCCGGCTGCATGCTGGAAGCTACAGTCCGCACTTACAAGCCGTAGAGGGGAGCTTTGCGTACACCTGGCAATAATTTACAACCTAAACCGAGGAGGTTCAGTGGCCTCCGATCCCAGATGCCAATTTAGCCCAACCTCAATATCGTGGCCAGGATTCTTACAATCCTTAACCCTTTTCTCCGTTACTGCTCTTGGATGGACCACTTCTGCCACCAGAGCATGCCTTCCAGAGACGTTTTCTTATCAAGGAATCAAACGTTTTGGCACAGAAACCGTCGGCCATGGGAATATCCTTAAGCTTTTGGCAGGATGGGTAGCATACAGGTTTGATCCATAAATAAAAAATAAACAAAATAAACTCTGGAGATGAGTGGGAGAACACGTCTGGTCTGCAGCCAGCGCAGAACTGACCAATGCCGTGTCTCTCCATCAGGGAAATGAGATCAGCTTCGGTGAGCAGCTGGGGCGGACTGGTCTCCCCTTCCACCATCTCCACCGTGGTGGGTTGGAAGCAGGAGCCTTTCTCGTAGAGGGGGATAACCTGCAGGGTCGAGGGGAGAAAGGAGACCAGGGGTCAGGAAATGGGGCGACACGGGAGGGCCGAGAAAGGGGGGAGAAATAAGAGAGGTATACAGTGAAATGGAATCTGCCTGTGATGGACCGAAGTCATGACAGTCACAAAGTGGGTCTTTGGGGTGGTCTGTTGTCAACTCAAATGGCCGATAAGTGACTGACCGTATGTTGAAGACCACCCCCTGTATGGATAACCCAAATGGGGAGGACGAGTGAGGAGTGGCTTTTCTCCCCCTCTCAGGATACGACAACCACTCCTAAGGAGCTGGCCCTCATCTGCTCACGATCGAGCGCTCGCACCTTGTCACTCCACCTTTCGTAAGGGTAAACGTCCAGGTAATTTCTGGCCAGGATCATCAGCCCGTGAGCCACGAAGCGCTCATAGGATATATCGATCTCCACCATGGTTTCCTGCCCCTTGGCATCTTCGGAACAGCAGGCCAGGAAGTGGCGGACGATGAATTCGTACAGGCGCTGGTCGTTGCCCTTGCAGGACAGAAAGAAAGAGGTCATGAAGAGAAAGATGGGGGGAGAAGCAGATTGGTACAGATGTTAGGATAACCCTTCTCTTCCCTACAAGCAGCAAGGAATTCGGCATAGGCTCCCCAGGCATCTTCCCTCTCCAACCGGGAGTTTGCCTGCAATGCCCTCTGGAAATTCTAGGAACAAATATACCGAGAGGGAAGACTCTGAACCACGAGAAAAAGCATTCCCATCCTCTCCTCAAAGGGCATTTTGTAACACGCCATTTTCCACTTCATTTCCTTTTCGGATCCTTCAGCAATGGCGGGTTAAGCAAACCCTCAGTAACAAACTGCTCTCTCTTGGAAAGCGAAGCTGCAGCTGATGCAAAGGGGCTCACCTGCAAATTACCGGCATATTTGGTGGGGTGAATGGGAGGGTGAGCCTGATCTGACTTTGCCCCCTGCCGTGGGGTTGGCCTGCCTTGGTCCAGGATCCTTTGTGCAAAGGCTCCCCAGTGTGGGTCTTGAGTCTGAAGCTGCACCAGCTGGGAGAGGTTTAAGTCTTTGGGGAAAATGTTGGTCTCTGTTCGGGGGTAACTTATGTATCTTAAAAGCAAGGAAATGGGGGGAAAGTTACTTTTTAAGAAGTGCTTTTTATGAATGGCCCACACAAGACCCAGGGGGACCCATTAAGACTGCTGAATCCCACTGCTCATTTGCTGTTAAAAAAAAAAAAAGCCTCCTGTGTCACTTCCACTACCAAACTATTCTTTCTGTTTTCAAAAGGAATCTCTTTTTCAGTTCTCAATAGCCTGTTCTACCCTCTGGGATGACGGGAAAGGGACTTGAATTATTTACTCAGAGTTACAGGCCGTTCCCACTAGGAGACTGCAAAGCCTTGCTGTTCCTCCCATGACCCCCTGGGGGGCATCTGGCAAGAGTTGCCCTAGTGCCACCCCCTCAATCACCTTTCTCAAAGCAACACGACACTTCCTTATCCTCTCCTCTAAGGAGACGCATTTTAAGCCTCCTGATCAGATCTGCTTTTATACAACACGTTGCTTACTTGGGTTTCTAGCTTGCACCATCTCCAAAGATGGGGGACAGTGAGAAAGAAGAAATATTAAAATAAATCTTCCTGGTAAAAGAAAACCCCAGTGGAACTGAAATAGCACTATCCTATTAGCCCCCACCAGGCTTCATCCTACATGGAGTTACCCACAGAAGAACCACTGCTTTTACCCTTGGGTATACAGCTTCTCGGCAATCTTCATGGTTTCCTTGGCATTTATTTTCAGCTTACGGGAAGCTAATTTCTCAAGTTCCTGCGTCAGAAGAAGAGGAGGGAAAATGTGCTTGATTCCTCTCTGCCCATATAAAATTAATAGGAGTTTTGGAACCAGGAACACAAGCATGCCTCTGCAGCACTTCTCCCAACTCAGCAAGTAATCATTCCCAAGCTTAAAGTATTAATTTAGGGATGGACTTCCCACCAGAGAAGGCCAAGACATTTCTCCAATTTAATCACTTCCCTCTCCTCTGAATGTCCGCCTTGAGGCTTCCAGAAGAGGCTCTACCAAAGGGGTTCAGATCAGAAGCTGAGCTGAGAGCTCTTCTTATTCTGACTTTAACTGAATATTCTTTTCCACAGCCTACCACCGTGTCCAGCGGCAGAGGTCTCCATTTGCTCTTGGGTTTGCTTCCAACCTCCACAACGGTGGCCTGAGGATCCTAAGACAAAGGTGTGCAGAAGACAAGGTTCTTGATGGGTCCTTGCCAAGTGAAAAAGGAAGAAGACGGGACGGACGGCTTACCTACCTCCATGCACATCTGGTAGAGGACAAGACACGCCGTGTGGTTGAAGAGACGGTGCCTCTTCCAGCTGAAGTCCACAGTGCCTTCTTCGTGGTCATGAGTCACTGCAGGGAAAAGATAGATCAAGGCTTGGTCTCACCAAGACAATCCATGGCACTGTTCTGCTTACAGCTGGTAGAACGATGCCTATGTGGGAGGGAAGGATGTTGCGGGCCAGATGAAATGACGGACGAAATGCAAAACTATGGTCCCCACACTATGGTGGGAATAAAGCAAAGAACAAGAATGCAATTTGAAAAGCAAATTCCTACAATATATTTCTCAGTCCAGATGTTTCCCTGCTTGGACTTAATGTTCTGGACCCTACCTTTAATTTTGTAGAATGTTTCTTGAACGAAAGCTTGAATAGCTTTGAATCTTTCTACCACGAAGCCTAGGGTGGGGAACTGACAACTGCCGTAGCTAATGAGCTGTTCTGCTAACACTTCTGGGAAGATCTTCTGAAGCCTCAAGGTCTGGAACCGGGTAAAGGCAGCACCTGCTCAAAGAAGCAGAAAACCCCGGCCCAACATGAAAACAACAGCGGGTCCAGCCCTATTGGAAGAGGGGAGAATTACTGGACAGGCCCAGTGGAGCAATAGCAACTCTTTTGAAAAGCTGGCGACATTACAGCTTAAAGGAAAATTAAAGTCACTTTAACCACCAGCAGAAAGTAAATCAAAAGAAAGTCTTTGGTTTTAGGAAAGCCAACCCACAAAGATTAAGCTATTCAGTTAGCTCTGGGAACAACCCATGTTTGGTTACATCAGGGGTCTACAAACTTGGGCGCTTTAAGACTTGTGGACTTCAATTCCCAGAATTCCTCAGCCAGCATGGCCTGACCACTCTGCTTTCCCTCTTACCTATTCTGAGGTCCAGCTCTTGCCTCACCTCCACAGCATTGTTGATGTTCGGATCTGGCTGGGTGAGGTTCTCGCAAGCGAACTGGATAGCCCGGGGCGTGATCTCCGAGAAGCGGGCTCGGAACACCTGCAGGTTTGGCTTCACTGCCCAAAGGAAGGTTCAAGGCACATTGAGTCAGGGGAAGCAAAGCAAAAGCACTGCAGAGAACAAAACCTCTCATGATTCGGAGGACCGTCTTACTCTCGCTCAACAGATAAAAACTCCACGGCTGCCTGGCCAAAATTCCTGTCCTGGGGAATCACTTGAGGATTGTGGATTCTGAGTGCCCAGCCCTTCTTCACCCTCTCTCCACACACCTGCTTTACACACGTGAATGATTTCAAAGCCAATGTTCTCCCCTTCGCGATCACAATCGGTCCAGATCACCAGGGCCTGGCACGGCTGAACCTCTCGCTCACGAGTGCGCTGGAATTGGTAAGAGGAGAGCAGCATGAAGAAAACAGGAGAAAGAGCCACTACAATTCTGAAATAAGAGACAAGCTGACAGTTGTCAATGGTATTTTATATTATGTCCATAGCCATTCTTCAGTCAGAGATTGCAGCCACAGAAAAGGATGAAGGATATCTTGCCTCCTATTAAAACAAGAGGCTGCAGGCAACACAAACCTTAATGTCCATGTAGTTTTCAGGGCAGAATTTCTCAATTTCTGCATCGAAAAGGACCAACGGGTTACAGCTATGCCTGTTGGAAGAGCAGGCACAGAGAAAAAAGCAAACATTTAAAGAAATATTATCTAGATTCTAAAAGACATTTGTGCCTATAATGACAATTACCTTGATCAAAATCTGAGTATATAATTGCAGAAAGCTAATCATCCCTCCTGATCTATCAGTACGTACCATTTCCGAAATGGTGCCTTGAAATCCTGAGTCAGCAAGTGTCCGGACACAGATGTCATAATCAAAGTAACATTCTGCATAAAACAGAAATATCAATTATCCTTGGTCATGCTAAGTGTGGTTTTGCAAAAGTGGATTCATATCTACAGTCTTATTTTTTTCATCCATTTAGATTCATTATTAGGATCATTTGGTTATATTGTTACATTTTTAAATAATAACTATCAATAAAGTAAAAGTCATTGATAACATCACTGTTATATCCACAATTACACATGCAGTGATAAAGAGGCACAGACAGAATTGTGATGGACTGTTTGACACAAACCTGGTTAAACAAGTGATACTGGAATTCATAGATCTTGTTGAACTTGGACATTCCTTCCCTCTGGAAAGAAAAACAATTCTAATTCACATGAAATCAGCTTAGCTAAATAAACAAATAACCAATATGATACTCAGATAAATATCCTGAGAAATCTCTCAAGATGGTTATGGCTATCATGCCGTAAGCCATATTTATATATAGGATGTAACTTGCTACTATTGCCTCTATATAGAATTTAACTAGACCAACTTCTACTTGATCCTTTTACCTCTTTTTGCAGTTTCAAATAAAGTCATTATTCCCCCCCCCAAAGTCCATACAGTTGTTTTACAGTTGTTTTTCAATCCCAAGCTGGATCGTCAGCTCATAAACAAGTAATCATAAATCGCTCCATTACTCAAGTTACAATAGGCCCAAATCATTCCCTTGAGAGTCATTTCCCCCAACTTAGGAATCAATGGACTAGATCAGTGGTTCTCAACCTTTTTAATGCCGCGACCCCCAACCAGTCGTAAGTCGAGGACTACTCAACCGGTGCAGTACCGTTTGCAGACTGGGACTTTTGGTGGGCTCAGCAGGGCAGAGACAGCCTGGACAATTCCGATTGGCTTTTGAAAGCCAATAGAATTAGACTCTATTCAAGAGAATCTATTCTATTGGCTTTCAAAAGCCAATAGAATAAAAGGGAGTAGCACAGCTAAGGAAAAGGGGGGAAAAATGGCGGACTGCGTTGTTTGGCGACCCCCGTGAAATGGTCGTTCGACCCCAAATGGGGTCCCGACCCGCAGGTTGAGAACCACTGGACTAGATGTAAACGTAAGAGTTTTCCGGTCCATCAACATGCACAGAAATAAATGCCTGGGATCATGACAGATTTTCTGTACTTTAACAGCTGTTCTATGAGAATCAATGGTAGAAATGATGTTTGAATTTCCCATGCCTCTGCCAGTACGATTTTCGGCTCATTTTATAAATTGGGATTCAGACGAGAAAGTTGGATATTTATTTCAGCTTGAAATGAATCTGCTCCTGTCATTCAAGTTGAGTCATTCCAAACATGCTGGTCAACCTTCCCATGGACCAGAGGAAATCTCACATCCAGGGTCAGAAAGTTGGCTTTCCTACCCTCCTCATCCTGCTGTTCGAAAGGATGTCTGCAATCCCACGGGCTGCATCGTTTTTCTCTGCCACACAGAAAACCTTCTGGAGGTTGCGAAACGTCATGGTCTTCGCCGTCGGCCTGAACCAAAGGTTGGAGGACCAGGAGAAGAACCTCACGGTTCCCCAAGCCAATCCTCTGGCCTGACCGAACATCCTAGAACCCAGCTGGCCGACCCATCGTGGGGCCTCGGCAGCTCCTTTCCCAGGCAATGAAGGTCTGTCGCCAAGGGAGGAGAACTCTGGCCCAGTCCGAAAGAGAGCGGATGCCTTCTTCCGGATGCAAGGCTCCTAGGGGGGCTGGTCCCCCGAATTTCCCCAGGTCACAGAGGTGGGTGGGGAAACCCCCAATGTTCCCTGAAGCGGAAGCTCTGGATCCAAGGGCAGCAGCCAGGGGTGCCCCTTTCCTTAGGAACACCGCGGGGAAACCCCAGGCTATTGGGGAGGGGGGCACTGGGGGCTCAGGCGCCCGTCTCTCCTCCCCAGATCCCCAAGTGACAGGCTGAGCTCAGCCCTTCTAGCCACCCACCTGTCTGACCCCCCCCCGCCTCTCTGCCATGGGGATCTCCCCCGCCCCTGGTGCCCCAAGCCTAACACAGCCCCTCCTCTGCGCCCCCTTAGCCTGCAAGTCAGGGCTGCCCCCCAAGTCTGTGAGACCCTCCCCCAGCAGGCCCCTCCCCCGCCTTTCAGGCCCTTCACCCCCCCCGGGGCCCCTTCGCTGTCCAGACGGGGGTCGGAGTTTTTTGATCTGCTCCCCTTCCCAGAACCCCCTTTCCCTTCTCGCTTCAGCTCCCAGCCGTACTTCGCGCCCAGCGCCGTCCTAAGCGCCCGCGGCAAAGCGGGTGGGCAGAGAGGCGAAGGGGGCGGCGTTTCTCTTGCTTTACGACCCTGCCGTGAAAGGAAAGCCGGGCGGCAGCGGCAGTGGAACCACTACGCATCCCAGCATGCCCCGCGGCGATTGCGCAAGTTCGGGCTCTCCCTTTGCGAATGGGGAAGCAACCTCTGGCAGTAAATAAGCGTAGCTGTCGTTCAGCCCAGCCCACCTCTCAGGATTGTTGTTCTGGGCAGAAGCGGAGGTAGCAGTTGAGATAAATCTAAAGAGGGATACTCATTTAACCTTCTTCGTGGTAATAATCATGATATAAGAGGCAGAACTATAACACCCAGCGTGCCCTTCGGCCGGACCGCTTGAACGCTTTCGACTGGCCTCAGCTCCGCCCCTACTGCGCCACAAACCCTTCCCGTTAATGTCAGTCAATCCAATCAGCCTATCAATCACTCCGGGCGGCGCCACTGCTTCCGGGGCCGAGGTCCCCGGTCATGTGACCCCAAGATGGCCTCCCGGCGGCGGCTGGGAGGCTGAGGCGGCGGCGGTTCCGGCGGGTCAGGCCGCACTCCCCGTTCCCGGGCAGGATGATCGGCGCGCCCGACGTGGTGGCCTTCGCCAAGGAGGAGGCGGCGGCTGAAGAGGCGGCAGCGGCGCGCGAGCCGGGCCTGCCCGAGGAGTACTCGGTGCCGTTGCTGCCCGCGCCAGGCCGCGGCGCCCACCCGTGGTCCCGGCGGGGCGGCGCTGGGGGCGGCTCGGGAGGGGCTCCGCCACCGTTCCCGCGCGACTTCCTGCTGGTGGCCGAGTTCTCGGAGCAGGTGGGCCCGCAGCCGCTGCTGACGGTGCCGGCCTGGGAGGCGCCGGGCGGCTTCGACCTCAACTACTTCGCGCTGCGCATCATGTCGGTGGACTACCAGGCCTGCGCGGCGGGGGCGGCCCCGGGAGGCCCGTACCCGCGACTGCGCTTCGCCCGGGACTCGCAGGTGGTGCTGGGCGACTCCAAAGCGGGCGCCTTCGCCTACGTGCACCACCTGACACTCTACGACCTGGAGGCGCGGGGCTTCGTGCGGCCCTTCTGCCTGGCCTATGTGTCGGCCGACGAGCGCAAAGTCATGCGCCTCTTCCCCGAGCTCTCGGCCCAGTTCTCGGGCGCCTCAGAGGCGCTCAAGGCCGGCAACCGCAGGGCCTTCGCCCGCGAGCTGGAGAAGAAGCTGCACGACCTGGACTATACCCGAGCCGTGCTGCACCGCGAGACCGAGCTGCAGAAGCGCAGCCTGGCCAAGGGCTGCTACTCCAGCCGGGCCATAGAGAAGGCCAACGAGCTGGCCAGCGTGGAGAAGGCCATCATCGAGCACCGCGACCTGCTCCGGCAGATCCGATCCTACCCGCCCGGCCGGCGGAAGCAGCTCAGCGGGCCTCCCTGCGAGCCTAGCGGGGAGGATGCCCAGCTGGAGTTCCCCGTTGATGATGATGCATTGCCCCTGCCCTGTCCGCCGGGCTCCTCCTACACCCCGAAGCTCATCCCAGCCAAGTCCAGCAAATGCTTCGACAAGAAGCTGAAAACCCTCCAGGAACTGTGCGAGGAGCACTCCTTCAGCCAGACCCTCGACCGCTTGCATCGGATCGAGAAGATGTTCCGAGGCGATGTCTGCCACCTCCTGATCAGCCGCATCAGCAGAGCCCTCCTAAAGCAGCAGGCCTTTGCCAGCTTCCTTTTTGAAGACGTCTCTCTCCTGGACGAGGAGCAGCAGGAAAAGCCCTTTGAAGTCGGTCCAGGACAGACCTTGGACCGTCCCAACATTGCTTGTTTGGAAAGCTGCCCAAGTCCTGAGATACTAGTCGACCTTGCCTCTTACAAATCCAGTGTGGAGTCTGTGCTGATTAAGATGGACCCAGAGGTTGAAGAGAGTCAAGACCCAGAGGTCCCCCACCCTGTCCCTTACGACAGTGTTGACCTTCTAGATGTCGACCTGAAAGGGAGCGTCAGCAGTGGCGAAAGCATTGAAGTTTTGGGAACAGAGAAATCGGCCACAACTTCTGTGCACTCGGAAAGTCAATCTGGCTTGCTACAAGCGCCACCCAGCCCCCCTGGAGTGAGAAACAAAGCCGCCAGCAACAGGACCATAAGCGGGGATAGCATTGAAGTCCTTAGCATCTGCCCCTCGGAGGCCCTGATCCCAGACGATTTTAAAGCGAGCTACCCAAGTGCCATTAATGAAGATCCTTACAGTGGCGAAGAAGAGGAAGGCTTCCTGTTTAACCGCGAGTTAAATCTGGACAGCACTGAAGAGGAGGTGGAGGGCAGCCCTGCACCTGACGCCCCTCCGGGGGATGCTTCTTGCTGCATTGGCAAAGAGAGCCCAAACTTTCTTGAGGGTCAAGCCAATGTGCCTCCCAAACACGACAATGAGGATGGCGTGGTCAGCATTCCCCCACAGCCATACAGGCCAGGCGATGCGGGGTTTCAGGTGAACTTCACAGACTGCTCCCACGATGGGGTCCTGGGGGGCCTCCTTGCCTATGAACTCGATCCTCATTACCTTTGTGACGGCCGAGAGGCCAGTAAAATGAGCCTCGATAAATGCTTGGATTCCACGAGTTTCATGAGCAGTGCAGCGTCCACCAACTCCGACAGAACTCCGTCCCCTGCTGCTCTCACGGGAGAAAAGTCCAAGAAGGCCGGGCAGAGCGCCTTGCGCTTCATCCGGCAGTACCCCTTCGCCCACCCTGCTATCTACTCTCTGCTGAGCGGGAGGACCCTGGTGGTGCTGGGAGAAGACAAGGCCACTGTAGAGAAGCTCATCACTGCCCTCTCCATTTTTGTCCCCAATTCTGGCGCTTACGCCAAGCCCGTGAAGCACTGGGCCACCTCACCTTTGCAGATCACGGACTTTCAGAAGTGGAAGCTGGTGGGGCTTCAGAGGTAACATTTTGGCCACTTGGGCCTTCTCCCCAAATGTCCTGTCCTGGCGCATATCCTCACCATATCACCTCATGGAGAGAATTGCCTGCTCCTCCCTGCCCCCCTCCTGTCTCTGACCTTGCCGTGTTGAATAGCAAGGTCTGAAATGGGTCTCTGTTGGTATTGGACTGGGCAGTGAGGTTTGGGAGTAGAAGGCTGGTGTGGATTGGCATGTTTATCCTCATATATAAATATCCTATTCAAATATGGTTTGAGGGATGTTCTTTACCGAACACTTGGTGGTCATAAGGAAGGTGGATCAAAAGGTGAGCCTGGTGAACTACAGTGAGAAATAAGGCTAGACTGGAGAAGATGGCTAACCTGTTTGTTTATTTGGTTTCTGTAGCTGCCCATTTGAGCAAAGGACTCTGGCAGGTGTGCCTGACACAACCCGGCAGTGCTCAGCTTCTTGTCTCCTGCCAACCAGTTGATCAGCCAACTGGGAAAGAGAAGGTTGCTGGTTTCCTGTGTCTGGAGAAGTAGTAAACTTGAACCACAGCCTTAGGAGAAAGAGGAACTTGCAGTTCTGCTAAAAATCACCAATAACTTCCTCAGGTTTCAGTTGGTGGACGTGGCCAAACTGAGATTTGAACAGCCACATCATCATTTCATTTATGTAACCAATAGCTGTGTCGCTCTATTAAGCAAACAAGGGAGGCAATTGTGGAGGTCTGATCTCCATTTCCTCTACTCTGTTCTAACAAATGCTGGGACATGGGGAAGGGATTCAGGAAAACATAGGCAAGGGAATTAACTGTTAAAAGGCAATAAGGTATCATATTGTTTAGCTAAGATCTCTCGAGAAAGTTCATTAGAGAAGAGCAAACATGCTTATAAAATCCTTTTGTAATAAAGGACATTCAGAGAGTTTAAGATTGCTCCTCTTCGTTCTGTCTCAAGGGCCCTTTAGCCTTCCAGCCTCCCCATTTGCACCTGTTCCTTCTCTTTCCAGGTCAACCTCTCCAGGTGGCCCCAACATGATGCATTCTCTCAGCCGGTACAGCCGATACATCAGTGTGCTGGACGCCGACCACAAGATCCTCCGCTGTCCGCAGTACCGAGGGAACCTGATCCTCCGGCTGGCCGACCACCGCACCCAGATCAAACGGGGGAGCACCTACCATGTGCACGTCCAGACCCTCCTCACCCAGCTCTGCTCCAAGGCCTTCCTCTACGCTTTCTGCCATCACCTCCACCTCCCCATCCGAGAGGGAGAGACGGAGGACTCTCTGAGCGCACGGCGGGAGAACTTCTTGAAAGTCCAGCTGGGTCTGGCAAACGAGGACCGCAAAGTGGTCCAGTATCTGGCTGAGCTTCTGAAATTGCAGTACATTCAGGATCCCATCCGCGGGGTTAGCCCTGTGCTCAGGTTCGATTACGTGCCCAGCGCTTTGTACAAAATTTAGGTGGCATCCAGCCTGTCCTGCCAATGTCCTTCCCCATCCAACATTCGTCTGTGTCTGTTAACAGGCTTCCACGGTTCCAGGACTGTCCTGTGAGCGCGTGGGAACCCTGAGAACGATAGAGAGTAAAGGGAGAATCCAGACATTTGGCACCACTGCCAGGTTGCTCTTAAAAGGCAGGAGAATGGCATTGTGCAGAGCGGCGGGAAACCTCCTGAATGTGGCGGGCAGTCACAGGAGAGCTGGGACACCGTGTTTGTGAGCAAGTTCTTCCTGTTGGATCGTTTGTAGATTGGTGGGATTATCGCGAGTGCAGTTCCTTGCATGTGGGATAATATCCCAGCTAATGTGAATTATTATTTGGGCAATTGGCTGTCACACTTGAAATGAAAGAGGCCTTGTTGGTTTTCCCTCTTTTGAGCACAGGGAAACCAAATATAAAATTTCTGATTTGCTGAGGAGGCTTCAGGGGTGGAATTCCGGTGGATGTGAAATCTGTGTGGCCAGCTGGGGGTGGGCGATCTGATTCAAAAGGGAAACTCGCTGTTGCATTGCACTTCTGAATGAGGAGTTGCATTGCAACTCTGAAGACTGTTGAGGTGGTCCAACGTTGAGGATGTGAATATAGGCGGCCCGTGGTTAACAATCTAACGTGGCTTGGTTTTGGGGCAGGGCAGAGCCTAAAGATTGCCCAGAGTGTCAGCTACAATTTTTTAAGCCCTCTTGCGTTTCCCATAATCTGACACCCGAGCGTTTTGAACCCCCAAATTTAAGTTCTAATGACCAGGCCAGCATAAGCCCTTCAAAGATAAAAGTGTTCCTTTGCTCTAGGTGGTGGCTTAGATCTTGGCTAACAAAAGAAGCTGCTCAAACAGCCCTTAGTTTGATGGCTAACAAGATTGCAGATTGAGATCTTTGCTGTTTGCCTTTGAAAATAGTCCAGCTGGTGCTGAAGACATGCCAGTTTTCCCTTCTGTGGTATGTCAGGATTGCACAAGACTGGCTTGAGAAAGCTTTTGGGAGTGAATGCACTTGGCTTACTCATTTGAAAAAGATTTCCAACACATCAATTTCTTCTTCCACCCAATGAAATGTTTAGGGAGGGGTGGTTGTGTTGCCAGTTTCATTGATGTCATCTGTACTGGCAGGTAGCAGATTTGCAAGGGAGTGTTCAGTTTCTGGGCCTATTTAAGGGGTCGTAAAACTTGCCTGCCTATAATCCCCAAGAGTTGGCTAGAAAGTGTTATCTGGTTCTTTAGGCACCAGTGTTTGCAGAGGGCATCTTTGACTTTAGGACAGTGTTTCTCAACCTCGGCAACTTGAAGATTGGTAGACTTCAACTCCCAGAATTCCCCACATCTTGTAGTAGCCAAGCTTGAGAAATGTTGCTTTGGGAGACTGCAGCTTGGAAGCCAGCTGGCTCTGCCCATCCAGGGCCATGGTGCCTTTGAGAGCAATCTGGAGTCGCTCCTGCAGACAGGTGGAGCTTGCGTGAGTTGATCTGGTGCTACTGACTGGCCTGCCTTGTAGCATTTGTAGACATAGCACTGCCCTCCCGGGGGTCCCTGGAAAATAAAGGCCCCCACCTGAGAATTGTTCCTCTGGTTGCCCATTCCTGCACCGTCTTTGTCGCTTCCTTCCAAAGCCGCGTTTCTCATCTCTGCATGTTTGGTTTTCTGGTTTGGCCCCAGAGCTTTTGCATAGGCAACGCTTAGGAGGCAGTAAAAACGGGGAGCCTTCAGAGAAATCCAGGCAGCCGTCGCGCATCCGTGCTATTAAGTCACATCCTGAAGAACTGGACGAAATAATATTCAACACCAAGTGACTGACTTAAAAAAAGTGTATATTTAAAAAAGGAAATTATTTATTTGGGCACAACTATTTTTTGAAATACAAATATATATATATATATATATATTGTTGTATTTTTTAAAGCTTATCTAACCCATGCACTCATGGTAAAATTCTTAATTTTATTGTGCTTAGTAAAAACTGTCCTGACAGTATCTTTGGGCTTGTGCATCTAGTACAGTGAAGGCAACTGTGGATGATGGGGAGATAAACTGCAAGTGGGAAGTAGTCGGTGTCAAATATGTTGCTCAGCTTGTCATTAAAAGTGTCCCTTTCCTTGAACGACACATCTGCTTTTTGGAAATGAAGTAGAATCCATGGGACAAGCTCAGGTGTGCGAGAGAAATAAATCCCCGCATTGTTTAGCTTCCTGCTTCCCTCCACGGCCAACCACAAGGTTTCCTGGAAGGGCTGTGTGGTGAACGGAAGGCCCACTCCTGCTTAAGTCATTGTCATCCCTATAAATTGTGGCAATAAATTCTGTAACTTAATGCAAAACAGTTTGAAGCACAATTTTTCCCCCCTAAATGGCCAATTTCTTTTCAAAGCATCTCTAGAAGAGATGCTTCTCCTGTTCCATCAATAGGGGTTTTTTTCTGGCAAGACGTCTAGATAGGATCTGCTTGAAGGTAATGCTACCTGGTGTGTGTGTGTGTATGTAATACTGGGCTGTCATTAACCGTTCCAGAGAGGGTGGTACTAACATTTGTCCTTGTTCCATTTCCTTCCCAGCTCTGGTGCATTTTTCTTCTTAAAAAAGGGAGGAAAAGAATTGGCTAAGAAGCGGATTATAAAAGCAGAAGCCGACCCAAGAGAAACGAAAGACAGGGGCATTGAAGGAGGAGGGTCCCATTGCAAGAGGGCAGCTGGGGTGGGCTGCCATTCCAGATATGGCTCCTTTACAACACAGGCAAGCCGGGAAGCGGGAAGGAATCGGCGAAGGTCTCCACCTCCTCCTTGAGGGACCTCAGCAGCCCTTGATACTTCTGCTCCGTCACCAGCTTCTCTTTGAATTCTCTCAGCGTGGCTTTGGGGCTCACGTCGCTCTGCACCTGTAAAGTGAGCTCTATACCTGTATAGGGAAGACAGACACCTGCGTGAGCTTAAGCACCTCACTGAAACAAGATGCCAGAGTGAATAGTAGGGTAAATTTGGAAGGTTGCCCAATCCAACGCTGTGGAATCTCTGGGATGCAAGAAGCAGAGAGTTCTGTGGCTGGACTTATAATTCCAGAGAAGGGAAATTCCCCCCACACACACACACACTTTTCAAAAGAGTCTGTTCTAGGTTGAAGAAAATATCGCTTTGGGCTGAAGTCTTTATGCTTGCCCATTGAGTTCAACTATTCCTCGGCAGCTTTGCAAACCACAAGCAGGAAGCATTTCCCTCTCCTCTCTCCCTCCAAGTTCTCATTCAGTTCCAACCTTGGCAACTTTAAGACCTGTGGACTTCAACTCCCAGAATTTCCCAGCCAGCGCATCCCCCTTCTCACCTTTCCCATGATTCACACTCGAACTGTTTGGCCTAAGAAAGGAGAAGAGGGGGGCACACAGGTACAATGAGCACCCCACCTTTGTGAATGAAGTGAGCAACTTTCTTAAAGTCTTCTTCCAGGAATCCTCGGGAGGTGAGAGCCGGTGTCCCCAATCTCAGCCCGCTGGGACGCAAAGCACTTTTGTCTCCTACAAGGAGGGGGAAAATAGGAATTAAATTGCAGGAAAGGAAGCTGGTTGGTGCCGGGTGGATATTTAAGCAGACATCCCCACAGCTAAGTCATTCCTGCGCGTAGCTGTGCTCAGAGATGTCTTTTGGTCTTGAAAGCCTCCATTAACCGACTTGTGTGGCCATATTCCAACTCGCCTCATTGCTATTAGCACAGGGATGCAGGGTCTTGGCTTTTAGATCTGGATATCCCAGTTCCCATCTACCAGCCAATGTAGCCTCCAAAGATGGGAACTGGGACTGCCAGAACTGAGATCCCATGTTCCCTGACCACTAGGCTTGGGGTCACTATTAGCCACTGCATTGTTTTCACTGTGTAAGAAGATGCAAGTGGCTAACAGCAGCCAACCACCACCGCCCTTGTAAACCCTGAAACTAGCCAAACCACTGGGCCAAAGTGCATCCCTCCTGGCTGAGCCTCCCTCACCTGGACAGGTGTTCTTGTTGCAGGCGATGGAGCAGAGCTCTAGGACCCGTTCAGCTCGCCCCCCATCCGTGCCCCGGTTGCGCAGATCGACGAGGATCAAGTGGTTGTCAGAGCCCCCTGCAAGGAGAGCCAAAACAGTGGCTGAAGGGTGCCACGAAGTGCCATCGTCCCAGGGAGCCCTGCGTGCTCCGGAGAAGACGCCAGAGGGGAGCTGCGTCCTTGGCTGCCTCACAGCACAATAGACGTTGACTTGGAAACAAACCTCACAAGGTGTGGAAATTGTCCCGGAGGGGATTGTTTTCTTACCAGTGACGACATGGTATCCCGAGCTGATGAGAGCGGCTGACAAAGCCTTGCAGTTGGCCACCACCTGCTGCTGGTAGGTCTTGAATTCGGGAGTCATGGCTTGTTTCAAAGCCACAGCAATTCCTGTCCCGACATTCCCCCCAAGAGTGGAAGATGGATTAAGTAGTGCCTCTGTACAATAACACCCATGCCAGACTGAGGGGTTGAAAAGCCTTCTGGCCATGAGGAACAGACTTTGCAAGACCCGCGGTGAATTAAGCCCATTTTCCAAACATTTTCTTGCCCTGAGCACGAAGGAAGCGGGCAAAGAAATCCTGGCCAGTTCTTCCTCCTCCCTCCCAGTTCACAGGACAGGCTTTTGCCTTTTTCTCAAGCACAACTCACCTGCAATTGCGTGATTGTGAGGGCCCCCCTGGAGACCAGGGAAGACGGCCTGATTGATGAGACTTTCCAGGTTATACAGGACCTCCTTCCCTGTTTTGGGGTCGACGCTGCGGACACCTGGAGAAGGGAAGAAGGGTGCTTAGAAGATGCTGGAGGCCTCCAGGGGTCTCAGCCCAGGAGGATGGTGCATAAGTTCCCTGCTCGCTGCAACGCTCACCTTTCCGGTAGAAGATCATGCCAGCTCGGCAGCCCCGCAAGGTTTTGTGGGTGGTGGTGGAGACCACGTCGCAGTGCTGGAAGGGGGAGGGCACCACGCCAGCTGCCACCAAGCCACTGATGTGGGCCATGTCAGCCATGAGGTAGGCGCTGTTCTCATCTGCGATCTTCCTCATCCTGGCATAGTCCAAATTCCGGGAGTAGCAGCTGACCCCTAAGGTGGGAGAGAGAGAGCGAGGGTTACTCAAGGGGGCTACAGGGAAGGAGATGCCAAGAGCGTCCCAGGCTGGCTTCTAGGATGGAGCTCCTGATATGGAAAGCCCTCACCCTGGAAAATTAAAGAGAAGCGTTTTCTCCTCATTGATTCGGTCTTCATAACTGCATGTCAAATACACTCCTGTCATTTTGGTCCCTGAAGTTGTAGTCTTCACACAAGGGAAGCACAATCTGGGGATGGGTGCCCAGGCCCAAGCACATGATCTCTGAGTAACCCCAGGGAGTGAAGGAGAATATGCCTCACCTGCAATGATCAGCTTTGGATGAAACAGGCGGGCGTTCTCCTCCAATCGATCATAGTCGATGTAGCCCGTTTCGGGGTTGACCTAAAGCCAAAAGAAGTTAAGAGGGGTGCTTCCAAAATAAGGGAGGGCATGACAAGCCAGGAAAGGCCTGTGGCAAATACGCTGAGTGTCAGATTGGCATCTTCATCTCTGCACTTTGCTGGCATCCTGTCATACATTGTTAGGGGGGAGGGGGTAATTGAAATATAGAGAGTAGAGATGAGAGGGAAGTGTGGGGGGATAAGAAACGGCTATTCCACTCTTCAAGGACACCTAGCTTGGTATATGAACTGTACCAAGTGGCTTCAAACATCCAGGCTGTTCTCAAAACACCTACATGGCACACCATTGGGCAGAGATGGACTGGCCAAGGGGGAGAAGAGGGGAATAATATAACGCTTTGCGCAGGAACTAGCCTTTCTTTCACTGCAACCACCTAGCCTTAGTAAAAGTACCTGTCCCTTCAACCAAATGGAATTGAGGGTCTTTCCTAGGACAAAGGGCTGGGGCAGACATGACATTGAGGCTCCCCCTACCTTTCAGGAGTGTGCAAGTCTGAACTTCACACAAACTCTGAGCCAATTTCCCACAGGTAGGTTTCTCTCTCAAAGTGGCATGAAGCTCACCTTGTAAGGCATGGACTCAAAGAAGATGGATGTGGCAGAGATTTTCTTCTTGTCGGTCATGAAGCCATGTGTGAGGTGACCCCCATCTGGCAGATCCAAGCCCATGATCCTCCCGTGGGGCTCGACCAGGGCAGTGTACACGGCAAAGTTTGCAGGGGACCCTGAAACAAAGGCACACAGACACAGCCACACTCATGTTCAAACTCTGATCAGTCCGATTAAAATGGCCATATTGTGCGCATGTTGACTGACACGGGCACTCTACGGTGCATTTCAGAACAGCTTGCAAAATACCTGAATAGGGCTGGACGTTGACGCCCCACTTCTGTGGGTCTAGCCCATAGGCCTCCAGGGCTCTCTTCTGGCAAAGTCTTTCCAACTCATCGACAAATTCTGTCCCACCATAGTATCTAATAAAAAATAGATGGAAACTTTAGCCAAAGTTTCTCAAATTGTAGCAACCTTAAGACATGTGGACGTTTAGAATTCCCCAACCGTGGGGACCAATAATTCTGGAAAGTAAGTGTCCTGTATCAGCCATGATTGGGGCAGGGAAAAAATAGTTTGCTCCTAGCATCCCCTTTACAGGCCTCAGATGCAGGCTGGGAGGGGGGGGGGGCTTAGTCTAGTAGTCAAAGGGCCTTCAGGTCTTCAACCCAGACCTCCTTTCTTCCCAGCCCCACCTTTGCCCCGGATATCCTTCTGAGTATTTGTTGTTCAGGCAGGAGCCCAATGCCTCCAAAACAGCTCGGCTGGCAAAGTTTTCAGATGCGATCAGCTCCAACCCAAGTCTCTGTCGCCTTTTCTCCTTCTTGATAATATCGTAGACCTGGGGAAGGTGAGAAAGAGGGCTTGCTGGAAGGGGTTGAGGGGGTGTCTATCTGGGGTTGGGGGCGGGAAGGCAGAGGGGATAGGCATGCACACCCTTCCACAGAAAGGAAGTTCTCCACCATGAATCCCCAGGCAGATTTAATTCCCCAACTGACTAAAATGTATGCCGTTCCTCAGCCTCTTGCAATCAAAGCAGATATAAAAGTAGGTTCTGAAGCCTTTTGGACTTCTAATACCAAACGGGAAAAAAATGAAATTATGACATACAGATCTGGCATCTAGCAATATTTATAGATAATTTAATAATCTATAAATATTGCTGGACTCCAGATTTATATCTGCTGTAAATGAAGGTGGAAGTCAGTATTCCTTTCTGTATTGTTTGTTCTTCTATCTGCAATTTCTCTTTTTATTCTTTTCTAGTCTCTTTCTTGAACATTAGTAGTGCTTGTCGGTTTTTACTTTTTCTGCCTCAAAAAATTAAGCTGGCATGTTATCTTTGTAGCATCACAGTAACTATTTCTGAACCTTCCTTGTGAAAGATTTCTGAAGTGCAGATATAAAATTCCCTGAGTGAGTCAATTATAGCCGTTCAGGAAGGTGAACCAATATTCCTGTTATGCTCTTCCTGGGTAGCCGGAGGGGAGAACGGGGGCATTCTCTGAAGCTACCCACGTGAGCTGCACCAGCAATGACATTGCAGCTCATCCAGGCTGTTTACTTAGAAGAACCATTGATTGCAACAAACCGACTTTGGAACACGTCGTTCTTGCTGCTCTTATTCCATACACAAGGTTGAAATGTGTGTCAACCTGGAAGAGCTGAGCCAGCTTAAAAACTTTCAAATGAACGTCACACTGCCGGTCAGTGGCCTCTACCTCCCCTGATCAATACATCCCCCTCTCAATTGAGGTCACCAGCCGAAGCAGCAGCGGGTGAGCTGACAAGCGACCTACCTCGGGGTCATTGGTGTCCAGGGCTTCCATCACCATCTTGTTGTGGGAGAGCCAGAGGTCCTTGGTGACATGGTCTCCACCCGCGTTCGTGTTGGCCATGGCAGCTGGAAGAACTAGGTGCCTGCAAAAACTTAATTTTGTAAAAAAAAAATCACTGATGCTAGGTTTCACAAAGTATTTTGCAACGTAGAACATTTTCCATTCCATGACCACCCTCAAAAAGGAGTGTCTCTGCCCTGCATTTAGGCTATGATTTAAGAGGCAGGATTGGCTCTTCAAAAGAGGGCTCTGAGACGGGAATCGTTGCAAACCACAGAGTTATTTCAGTAGAGAGATGGATGATACAAATTTGATGAAGGAATGAATGAATGAATGATTCTAAACATCTAGTAAACGAGGGGGGGCAGATCTGCAGCCCATGTTATGATGTTGTATCTTGGTTCCCTACCCAGTGGCCAGATTCACATGCCACACCAAACCACCAAGGGTGGTTTTGCCTCCTGCCTCGTCTGAATCTGGATGGTTTGGGTTGGAACAGGGCTTCATACCCTGGCCAACTTTTAAGACAGGTGGACTTCAACTCCCAGAATTCCCATATGCCAGGAACTGAAGTCCACCCATCTTTAAGTTGCTAAAGAAGAGAAAAATTGGTTTAGAGGATTGTATGAATTCATCCCGATTTTTGTGCAATGCACAGTTCTTTTAAGCAATCCTCTCTTTAGCATATTGCGTGAATAGAGCCTTTTGGGGGGGGGAAGGAGAAGGGAAGGAGGCAGCTGAATCGGGGTCTTTCTGGACAACAGCCAAATCACCAGCTGCAGAAGAAGAGATCTGGAGATGCCTCCCAGGAGGGAGGAGAGCAAGAGGCCCTAAAGCAGGGCTGTCCAACTTTAAACAAAGCTGGCTGGGGAATTCCAGGCGTTGAAGTCCACAAGTCTTAAAATTGCCAAGGCTGGACACTCCTGCCCTAAGTGATGCCCTCCATGACAATCCCAGCAGCTCCCCATCAGCTGACCCCAATCCGTCACTCCCACACGGAACTGCTGCCTAGACAAAGAAGGCTTGTCTTTGCCACTTCAAGTTATTCATTAACTCTTCCTAGCGGAGCAAAAGCCTCTGGGAAGCTCCAGTGTTGTAATCCAGTTTTGAAATTCTGCCTGGCGTCAACTTCTTCCTAACTTTCCCTTGACAGGGCAGAGGCGGCAGGAACCCCATCGGATGTGAAGGGCACCAGACTGACTGCCAGGCTGCATGCAACTTTCTGCGCAAAGCCTTTTTTGCTCAAGGCCTGTCCAACATCTCAGGAGTGAATATGAATTTGGTGCACATCTTCTAATGCTGCAAACCTGCAAATTGACATTATAATCAGCAGCTTCACTACCGTTATCACCTTATTTATTTTGTGTAACCGCCTGTCTCGCTGTCCCCTTGCCAAGGAGGGTGTTTTTTTTTAAACCCCCTCAGCGCACGGTAGACAGATTGCCTTCTAATCCATGTTTTCCAGGAGAAAAACAGGCTGATCCAGAGGCTACGTCCTAAAGCTCACAACGACCTGCAACCGCCCCGAGCTGAACAAGACAGCCTGGCAGGGCGCCGGGGCTCTAGTTTTGCAACAGCCAAAGGAAGCAGGGGAGGGAAAGCAAGCGTGACCTGTTGAATTTCCGCCTGTTATGCAGAGAAGTAGCCCTGCAGGAAAGGGCGAGAGATCCTACAGAAAAAAGGTGAAAGTTTCTCTTCTCCCCCCCCCACTCCTGCAAATCATAACACTTACTGGGATCCTCGGTGCAACGGCGGACGCTCCCGCGAAAAAGAGGCACCTCCCTGCAGACTCCGGGCTTAAATCCACGAGGCCCCGCGCGCTCGGGGGATGGAACTTTCAGCACTTTCTGCCCCGCGCCGCAGCCAATCAGCGTGCTCGCCTGGCCCTCCCGGAGGAGTCTACCGCGGCGCGTCACAGCCAATCAGGATGAAGCAGCTCGGCCCGCCTACCGCGCGCTCTTCTGCAGCGGTGGCCCCTCGCGCGCAAAGAGATGCGCGGGTGGCGCAAGATAACTCGGGATCCCGCGGTCTGAGATTTTTCCACTTGTTCTCCAGAGAGTTCAGATCAAAATAACAATCCAAGAAGAAAGTTTCTTCCTGTATTCATTATGCACTTGCCCCATCTGGAAGCAACATTGTAAGATCCTCTTTGTTTATGGAACTGGATTTCCAGGCTGCTGCTCCATCCCTGCACCCCAAAAGGATCTGCCGAGGATTGGCTGCAAATTAATGCAGTAATTAAGCAATAAAAGAGATGAGCTATTGGAGCAGAAAGTCTGCGCTTTTAGGGCACACTCTATTCAGTAAAATTGATGGTTTCTCAACCTTGGAAAGGTTGTGTGAATTTCCAACTCTCAGAATCCCCCAGCCAACAGGTTCTGGGAGTTGAAGTCCACACATCTTAAAGTTGCCAAGTTTGGGATATGCTGGTGTGAATCCTTGCCTTTGGAACAAATTTGTCACGTCTTTGCTCATGTTTTAGATGTCTTTTATCTCACCTTTATTACTTTTATAAATATCTCCAGAGGTGAAGATGCACAGCGTTCCTTCCTCCTCCCATTTTCTCATAGCAACAACCTTGTGAGGTGGGCTGGGCCAAAGTTACCCAGCCGGCTTTATACCTAAGCCCGGACTTATTAAGTATTAATTAATAATACCGTATTAAGGTTCACTTAATAAAGCAGCTTCTTTCCATTCTTGTAAATGCAGCCAGGGGATATAAGCAGGGCAGCTAGCCTCCACCACCAATGAGCTGCGTTCCAATAAAGTCGCAGCTTGAATATATTTTTTGTAAGGCTTAAAGTTCCATTAAGTAACAGATTGAGGAAGGAGAGGTGGAATAAATTAAATAAATCAAATTCCCCTAAAGTCACACTTATGGAAAGAAGAAGGAAAATCTTCCAGCCACTCTGAATCACTGCTGGGAAGATCCCTCTCTTCCAAATGGACAGACAAAATGCGATACGGTGGTGGTAGCGATCCAGAAGTCGATCCAGGAGAGACATCAGTCAGAAGAGGCAAAAAGAGGGGTGAGTTTCCCCATATATCCCCCCCCCAAAGGAGGGGAGAAATAGAGGAAAAAGAACAGAGTAAGAATGTTGGAGGATCTGTGACAGCTTACAGGAAAAGAGAGGGAGGAAACTGAGTTTTAAAAAAATCAAAGGGAACAAGGGAAATCAATATATTAACAATAAAATTAAAAAGGGGTTTTTACTCCTAACTGGAGCCAGCCTAGAAATCAAAGCTAACGTGGAACAGAAATAGGGGAGAATGCTGGAAAACACGAGCCACAATATTCCTAAATTAAGAAAAGCAACAAACAATAATGTGTTGCATAATATCCAAATAAAATTAAAGTTGTAATTGCTGTTAAGCCAAATTTTGCTTCAACCCAAGTTTGGGAATCATTTCCTTCCTGTTTGGATTGCTTTTCTTCATAATTTTTAAACTGTTCTTGGCCACCTCCAGCTGATATTTATCCCATTTCAGGGTTCTCTTCTCCAAATGGAAAACATCTCCCGCTCATCCTTCCTGACCCCGTCCACTGCGGGGCCCGAGAAGATCACCTCTTCAGCCCTGGACTCCTCCCAGGGCATCGAAAGGATCCTGCATCTTCTCTCCATCGTGGTCTATGGGGTGGCCTGTCTGCTGGGGGTGACTGGGAACGGCCTGGTCATCTGGATCGCCAGCTTCAAGATGGAGAAGACGGTGAATGTGGTCTGGTTTCTCAACCTGGCGCTGGCCGACTTTGTCTTCACCTTCTTCCTGCCGCTGAGCATCGCCTACACGGCCCTGGGCTTCCACTGGCCCTTTGGACGTTTCCTCTGCAAGTTCAACAGCTGCCTGGCCTTCCTCAACATGTTCGCCAGCGTCTTCCTCTTGACCGTCATCAGCCTGGACCGCTGCCTCTTGGTGGTCCTGCCTGTGTGGTCCAGGAACCACCGGAGGCCGCGGCTGGCCTGGGCCATCACATTGGTGACCTGGGTGGCCGCCTCGCTCATCAGCTCCCCATATTTCCTCTTCCGAGACACGGCCCCGAGTGCGAGGAACGTCACCAGTTGCTACAATAACTTTGCTCTCTCCAATAACTATACCAGTGAGGAAAGCCGGAGGCTGTGGAGGAGGAGGCACAGAGCCATGATCCTGGCCCGGTTTGTCTTTGGCTTCCTGTTGCCCTTCACGGTGATTGTGGTCTGCCATGGCATAGTGGCTTTCCAGGTGCAGCGCAGGCGCCTGGCCAAGTCGCCCAAGCCTTTGCGGATCATTGCGGCCGTGACGGCCTCCTTTTTCCTCTGCTACTCGCCCTATCACATCCTCTCCCTGCTGGAGATGTCCAAGACATCCGGCAGTCCGGTAGTCAAGCGGGCGCTGCACCTGGGTGTCCCGCTGGCCTCCAGCCTGGCTTTCTTCAACAGCTGCCTCAACCCGCTTCTCTATGTCTTTGTGGGGCAGAAGAGCTTCCGGCGGTCCGTGCGTGGAGCTTTTGAGGGGGCCTTCGGGGAGGATGCCCTCCTGTCCTTGTCCACCAAGAGGAAGTCCCAGGCTGCCTCCCAAACGGAAATCCGGATGGCTCAGCCAGGAAACCAAGTTTAATAAACAATGTGGATGAAGAACGAGGGGTCCTCTTCGATTTCTGTTGTACTTCGGGTCCGGCAATGGCCAGCTGGACCCAGCTGTTCTTGGAGTCAAAGATTTGAATTGACCAAGAAGTGGGCTCCTGTTCAGGGGCCCCTTCCGGCACTCTATCCGTGCCCAGAAAACATTTCTTTGTGCACATGCTAGTGGCAATAAAGTTACTTTATGGCATTTTTATGTAGTGCAATTGTTGTGATGGACTCCCCTTCCCCCCCAATCCCACCAGGTTTGCCAGGAACTCCCCCCATGCCTGAGTAAGCCCCCCCCCGTATGGGGCCGCCTGCCCAGCAGGACAGGGAAGGGGGGCACCCCTAAGCGGCCAATTCCCCTTGCAAGAAGAGTTTTGTAGCCAGCGGGGCGGGGGTTCAATGGCATCTTGATTTGGGGAGGAGTCCCTTGGTGGATTTACGGTAAGTGCCAACCTTCCCCATGGGGGTGTTTGGAGGAGACCCCCAAGGTGCGGGTTGCGGAGCTTTCCGTGCAGCTCAATCTTCCTTTTTCCGGGCAGAAGCCCCCTCCCTCCTCGAAACAACGACCCCGCGAGGATGGACGCTGCTGCCTCTGAGAGGATGGAGCAGGGCGGGCTCGGGATGGGCTCGGGGGGGGCGGGGGCCGGCAGCTGCTGGCGGCTCTGATTGGCGAAGAACCGCGGGGGGCGGAGCTTGATCCGTCCCGCCCTGCCGCCATTTTGCCGCCGCCGCCGCCGCGCCAGGCCGGCCGCGGGGCGCAGGTGGGTGGTGGTCGCCTTGGGGACGCGCACCCCTCCCCTCCCCTCCACCCCGCCACGGGGAGGGGTCGCCAGGCGGGGGAGAGCAGAGCAAGGCCGGGCGAACGCGAACCCGGAAGATGCACGTATGAATGCCACCCCCTCCTCGCCTCTCCACCCCTCCCCTCCCTCCCCCGGGCGAGGGGGGACCTTCAGGGGTGGGTGGGGGTCTCGCCCTCCTTCCTGAGGGGTTTGTGATGGGGCGTCGTGGCCTGGGTGCAAACTGGGGAGCATCCCTTTCCCTCAATATCGGCACGGGCGGTTTTAATTCGAATAGAATATTAATCATTAATTCCATTTTGGGGGCTTGAGGGGGGCTGTGTGCTGCCCCTCCCCAAATTAACCCGGAAGGAGCCTTAGATTGTCTTACTCCATGGGATATTCTCCATTCTGCCTTTTCGTTGCAAATAATGGGCTTGCTTCTCTCTGTGTTGTCTCTACAGAAATTGATAAAAAACCCTATGCTATGTTAATTTAATTATATTATAGATTTCCTGTGGCCTCGTGCATACGTATGAGTCTGGGCTGCCCCTCCAAATTGCAGGCAGAGGGATATTAGTGCTGTTCCTCCATAGCCTATTCCTTATTCTACTCTATAATCCAATTACACCTTATATTATAGAGCTCCTGTGGGTTCACTTGCAGGTATGCATGCTTGTCCTGCCCCTCCAGGAACTAAATGGGAAGGACCATGTTATTTTATTTATTTGCACGGTTTTATAGCCACCCGTTTCATAAGAAAGTGACTTTTATTATAACTCCATGTGGGATTGATAGTGTCTGCTTTTCTTCTGGAAACTAAATTGCAAAGAGCAATAGGTGGGGGGAATCAAATAGCTTTCCTAGGGTGTGTATTTTGTAGAGACATTCATAGATGCCTCGCTACCCCGCCCAAAGCTGATCTATATTACATTATTCTATATACTTTTATATTTTATTATGACATATATCGTAATGTGTCTGCTTAAATACACCAATGTGTTTTTGTTATAGTATCCTTTGATTTCATGGGGGGGGTGGTCTTTCCATCTCTCATGTCCCCCCTTGTGTTGCTTACCTGGGGCCCCTGAAATATGGCTTTTAGGGAGCTCCTTTGCAGCTGGGCAGCCCTTTAATGGGAGCAGATGAGGGTCCCATCCCTAATTCCATAGACCCTGGTTTAATTGGGAGTTGCTTTTTTCAGGGGGGTAGTAACCTTTTCTCCCACCCTTCTGTTTGAAATTCTGGGAATTGGGCTTTTTAAAATGAAATTACAGTGGGTGCGACTGGGGAGATGCTGTGGGGAGAGAAAGTGCAAAGGGTAGCTGAAGATGAAAGTGCCTATTCTTTGGGGGGGGGTGAACAATGTTGGAAGGACGGATGCATGTCCTCTCAAAAGGGTTGCACTGTTTGGGGGTTGGAAAGCTTCCAAGCAGCAGCTGAAAAGCAACAGCTTTGGCATCCAGAGACAGTGGTAGGAGGGGGAGGTTTCCTGGAAATACTAGAGACTGGATGAAAACCCACCCTGCAAGATGGCCAGCCATTTCTGGAAAAAGTGGTGAGTTTTTCTGCGAAGTCACTTGGACTTCAATCCAGCTCCAAAGAGGTTGGACTTTCCCCTCCCAGCAGCCAGACAGCTTCGCCCATTCATGTTGTTTACAGTCTGGTGGATGCCTTTTCTTCTGAAGGGGTTTTATTTCCCTGCAGAATTTGAATTTGCCGCTGGGTTTGGGAAGGGACCAGAATGGATGGGCGACTTTTCTGCTGCCCATTACCTGTTGCCATGTCCCACCAAAGAAACCCCTCAAAAAATCTGAAGGGGAGAAGATCGGGATCACGATCCCAGGTCTAGATCTGCTTTTGCTGTTTTACAGCCTCTCTGTCTTGGCTCACTTTTATTTTATTTCTGTGTGCCTTTTATTTTTCATGGGTTTTTTTCCCTGACAGTCACTTTTATAGCTCCGTGTGCAATTTTCACTAGAGGTCTGCTCCCCGTCCGGGTCAGGCCCTGGTCCTTGCACATCCAAGGCTGTGTGATCCTCAGATTGCTTTCTTGCACTTTTCCCTCGTGCTCTGGCCTACAGCCATGTTTCTAAATGCAGACAGAGCCCATAAATTTTACAACACCTGCCCTGCGCACCTGGTCCCTCCTGTGCCAAGGGGCAGGAAAAACCTGCTTGCGACTTGAAATATCCATTACTGTCAAATGAACAAAGTAGAAAGCTTCTCCCTAGTGGACAGGAATCTTGTGTATTTCACCAGATGGATATTCTCACTGATGGGCAAGGAAGAGGGCGCTTGTGCTTTATTTTAGCGCACCCCTTATTTAAATTATATTTAGAGAGAGGAATCATGGAGTTCAAAAAACTGGCAAGTCATCTGGAAAACAAGATAGAAATAGCAACGTCTCTCTTTCTCTCCCTCCCCAAGAGGGACTGGCAATTCTCTCTTCTGAGATGCTGTGAAATGCAGCTTTTTTGGACCCCAGGACCCGCTGACTCCAAAGCAGATCCCAGGAAGGAAGCAGAATGGGTCTCCTGATCTCTTTCTGGGGGAACCTACTGTGAAAAACCAGGCTTGATGACAGGAGAATACCAAAACGACCTTGAAAGAGACCCACCATGTAGAGATTTTATTACTGGGCTGAACTCCCAGAATGCCCTCTTGGTGGTGCTTCACCTCAAGTTACTGATCCAGTCGGTCCACCTAGTGGATTTGCATGGCTACGAAGTTAACCCTGGCTTTTATTTTACCAATTCATCCTCGCCCTGCGACTTGCTTGCAGCTGCCAGCTTTCCTTGCCACCCAGAAGACCCGTGCCATTTGAAGTTGCCATTGGCACCTTCGTCACAAGACCCTGCTTTTGGTTGTGCGTTGTGGTTTTCATTCTCCACTGCATTGTCGCTGCTGCCTTGGAAAGGAAGATCTTCCTCTTTGGAGGAGTGTTTTGCCAGGCAGGTTTTATTATTCTTGTGGCCCCCCTTTCAAACGGCTGCCTGCTAAGGGAGAAGAAGTGTATTTGAACGGAGAAGGCAGAGGTTTATAAAGCGTGAAAGAGATTTTCCAAACTCCTTTGGGCAGCAGACCTAAACAAACAGAATATTTTTGGTTTGCCCGGGAGACAAGACTAAGAAAAAATACTTTTATAATGTTGTTGGCCAGAATTGGATGCAGTTCTGATATATTTCTTTTCTCAATAGCTGCCACAATCAGAGGGGCAGTTTTCGTGTTAGGATCTGTAGATCTCTTATCGGGCAGATAGTTCTGGATTGTAGCACAATTTGTACATTCCGTCTCCTGTCAGGAGTTGGCAAACTAATCCTCTCTGAGTAATAAATTTGGCATTGGATGATGTCCTGGGACGGGACTGGAGTACATTTTAAGGAACACTCATTAGATTTGGCATTTTTTCTAAGCCTAATCCAACACTTGCTGGCGGGTGACTGGAGTTATTTCCTGCTTTTGGTTTTTAAAGATAGTAAACAGATTTCTTAAATCAGAGCTGCTTTTATATATATCTTCTTTTTCCGCAGATGCTTAAAAACAATGTTCTAGAAGACTGAAGTGTGGTGGGCTGATTTCCCTAAACCCTTTTCCTGGATCACATCTTTATTTGTAAGTGCAAAAGCTGGGAGTGCTTTTCTGTGATCGGAAACAGCCATAGAGAGAAAAAATGGCCACATTAACTGTTGGTTATTGTATGTAGACTCTTTAAGCATGTGCTAGGCTTTGGATTCAGAACACTGCACTTCTGTGGTGGAGCCTAAATCTGTTGGTTGGAAAGGTTTAGGTTACTGGACTTGCTTTTATTCATCCCTGGTTTCTGTGGCCTTCAGATTCTTAAGCTGCTGGCAAATGAGGTTCCTTGTGATTATAAATGAGGTTTCTGCTCAGATAGGCATAGCTTGTGTTGCTGGGTGGTGTTCAGGCCCTCTAAATCAGTTGTTTCTTAACCTCAGCCACTTTGTGGAGTTCAGCTCCCAGAATTCCCTAGCCTGCTCCGCTCTGCTGACTGGGGAATTCTGGGAATTGCTGTCGACCCATCTTAAAGTGGCTGAGGTTGATACACATTGCTTTAAATGCTGCAGGGGAGACGTCTCAAAGCCCTATTGCAGAAACTCTTGAAATGCAAGATGTCAGTCTTGATGTTGTAACTTTTGCTTGGTTGAGGGGTGCTGAGAAGTTCTTGGTGGATTTTTTTTTTTTGCCAGTATATCCAAAGGCGAGACCAGAAAGGCCGTTTTGATGTTTTGTGTGGCACCCGTTGGACCAGGGCCCATCATGAACATCACGAAGGGAGGCCTGGTCCTGTTCTCGGCCAACTCCAACCCCTCCTGCATGGAGCTGTCCAAGAGGATCGCTGAGTAAGGCTCCCCTACTGCTCTGTTCTTTTTCCTGACTGTTTTCAGCAGCAGAGTTGCTGGATGGGGAATTCTGGGAATTCTGCTGGATCCTTTTCCTCTTTGTGACTTGCTTTCTCTTCGCTCCTTTTGCAGGCGTCTGGGGGTAGAGATGGGCAAGGTTCAGGTGTACCAGGAGGCAAACAGAGGTGAGTGAGGGACTCCTGTGGCCTCAGTAGCTGAAGGTTGAAGGAGGGGGAGCAACCAGTTCATTCAAGGTCTCCTCCTTCCCTGTGGCACAGACACAAACACACTTTCTGGAGAATCCTGTCGTTTGCAGCGATGCCCGCTTGTTCTGATTCTCAAAAACCAGATAAGGCCCAGCAGCGTTGTTGTGGGTTTTCATTTTACACTGCGCTCTGATGTAATGTACTTTACACATGTGTATAAGTCATGAGCACATCTGGTTTTTTGTTTTTGTTTTTTTGGCAGAAACGAGGGTGCAGATTCAAGAGTCAGTCCGAGGCAAAGATGTCTTCATTATCCAGACCGTTTCAAAGTGAGTCCAAGCGCTGACGGGAAATGAGTCTCCTCAAATCAGTCTGCTTATCTGCCTTGGTCACGTTTGCAAAATGATACTTTATTTTTACAGTTTGTGTTGTGTATTTCGCAATGTCCCCTGATACGCGAATGTGTTGGTATTCCAAGGGACTGTTTGGAGCAGTGAGGGCCAGGGGTGACTGGGGGGAAGGGGGTGAAGCTGATCCACAAGGTGCAAAACAGCAGCAGACGAGCAGGAGCTGCCAGGGTCCGTGGGGAGGGCGGTTGCCGGACTCGCCTCTTTTCCTCCCAGGGACGTGAACACCACCGTCATGGAGCTGCTGATCATGGTCTATGCCTGCAAGACCTCCTGCGCCAAAAGCATCATCGGCGTGGTCCCCTACTTCCCCTATAGCAAGCAGTGCAAGATGCGGAAACGGGGCTCCATCGTCTCCAAGCTGCTGGCCTCCATGATGTGTAAAGCAGGTGAAGAGCTGGGAGCAGGCACCTCCTTCGCCCTCACCCACCTTGGCTGCCCAGGACACGCCCGCCCACAGCCGCCTCGGGGAAGATGGGCCCTGCCCCACGGGGGGGGGGACCTTCTGCCTAGAACTCAGCAGGGGGGCCTGACAGAGCTCCCTGGTGGGGATGGCCAAGCCCGCTTTGTGAGTGGGGATGGGCTGGGGCTGTCCTGTGTGAGCCAGCCTCAGTGATTTAACCTAGCCCTGGGAAGAAGCAAAGAGGCATCAGGGCTGCTCACGTTCTGGACAATGTTGAGGAGGAAAAATAAGAGGAAATGCAGTGAAAATGCAGGGATCTACCCACTAGCCATGGGTTGATCCTGTGCAGAGGCAGCCTGGGCTGGCCCAGGATGGAACCTTCCCTCGCCCATGGGGATTTGGGGCCAGCTGCATTTTCTTAGTTTGGCCTCCCTTGTAGGATGGTTGCTGTGGGGGCAAAATAGGCAGAAGGGTTGGGATCTGCTGCCTTGAACGTCTGAAGGAAAGACGAGATCTGGACCCAGCAAACGTTTTAATTTTAGATATGTAGATACTAACTATTTAGATTATTTAAAGTGTGCCTCCTGGTGGAATCCAGAGCTAGTCCAGGGTGCATTTCTAGCATCTGTCACATCTGCTGGCAACTTTCCCTAATCTGGTCCTTTCCTGCCCATCATCCCCAGCCAGCCTGGCATTAAGTTTACTGGGATGGGAGGGGAGGGCCGGCCTGTTGATCCTCTCCTCGGCGAAGCAGCCTCTTCTTATTCCCGCTGCCTCCCCAAAGGGCTGACTCACCTGATCACCATGGATTTGCACCAGAAGGAAATCCAGGGGTTCTTCAACGTCCCGGTGGACAACCTGAGAGCATCGCCGTTCTTGCTGCAGTACATCCAGGAAGAGGTGAGCCAGGCCAAACCCTGGGCCTCCGGGCTGAGCAGCTGCAGGGGATGATGGGGCTCTCAGTGGAACCTGTCCTAAACTGGGGAAGGGGGTAATGTGTGTGTGGGTGTAAAGACCCCCACTCCTTGTAGGACGGATGCCAAAAATTAAGGCCTCGGGAGAAGGCAGGCCAGGGTCAGCCGCTGAGTAATCTCTAGGGCTTAGATGGCCCCGAGTCTCCTCTGCGTGGGGGGCTTTGCAGCTTGGAATCTGGGAGATTGGGAGGTGGAGAGGAAGCGCCCCTGTTTGTGCTTCCGCTCTCTGCAGAAGCAGGGACACGGCCCACCTGAATCGTCCCTTTTGTAGTCAAGGTAAAAGGCCAGCTCTGAGTGTGGTTGTGCTGCTTTTCATTGTGCAGATCCCAGACTACAGGAACGCTGTGATTGTGGCCAAATCTCCTGCATCTGCGAAGAGGTAGGTGGGTCCCTGACTCCCTAAGACCATCTAGTCTTTCCCCAGAATTCAGTAGGGCAGGGATGCCCCACCCAGGCAGCTTTTAAGACCTGTGGAATTCAACTCCCAGAATTCCCCAGCGAGCCATGAAGTCCACAGGTCTTAAAGCTGCCCAGGTTGCCCCCCCTTCCCCGCTCTAGGGGACGATGTTCCTTCCCCCCAAGACGCCAGAGGAGTCTCTGTGTGTCGTGGGAGGTTTTTCCTCTCCTCGCGTCCGTGTCTGTGCCAAGAGCGTGGTGGACTCTTTGTCCTTCTCGGCAGGGCGCAATCGTTTGCTGAGCGCCTGAGGCTGGGCATTGCCGTGATCCACGGAGAGGCTCAAGATGCCGAGTCTGACCTGGTGGACGGGCGCCATTCACCCCCAACTGCCAAAAGTGTTGCCGCCATTCACCCCAGCTTGGAGATACCCAGTAAGCAAAGCCTCGGGCAGGGAGAGATGGCACCCCCTCCAGTAGGCTATTATCCATGGCTTTCTGGGGGGGGGGGAACTCACCTGGTTTGGATGGCTGTGTGAGGGATGGAGAAGCCGTGACTGGGATGGAATGGAAGTGTGAATGGCCTTGGAAGGAGGAGGAAGAGATGCTGAACAGGGAGTGATTGGATAAGAGAGGCCGCAGCCCTCAGCTGTATGACGGGCAGAGGCAGAAATTCGGAAAGGAACCCTTTCAACGTCTCAGGCTCCAGAAGAGGCGGCGGGAGATTTGTGCTGCTGAATTCAGAAGACGGGTCCTTGATCAGAGCAAGGTCGGCTGGGCAGGCCGTCCTCCCTGGGAAGGCCTTTTGCAGCGGTTGAGGCAGAAACCCCCATGCCTGTTTTCCCTCTCCTTTCTTCTTTTTTGTCAGTGCTGATTCCGAAAGAGAAGCCGCCCATCACAGTGGTTGGAGATGTTGGGGGACGAATAGCCATCATTGTGGTAGGTTGGCCTGGAGGCCTGCGGGGTTCAGAGGCTGCCTGTACAAGAAGAGGAGGGGGCGCTTGGGGTGATTAAGAGCCCTGGTGGTGCAGGGGTTAGAAGGTGCAGGACTGCAGGCTAATTCACTGCCCACTGCCAGGAGTTCGATCCTGACCAGCTCAGGGTTGACTCAGCCTCCCGTCCTTCCGAGGTCGGTAAAACACGGACCCAGCAGGCTGTAAAGAGAGCGCTGTGAAGCGGTATACAAGTCTGGGTGCTGTTGCTCTTCACTTGGAAAACACCATTTCTCTTTCCTGAACTTGACCCTCCAGCCAATCCTGGTTTGTCTGCTCTTGAGCGGTGTTGGCTGTCAGGCTAAGCTCCCTTTTTTTAGTCCTCGGTACTTTAACTTTCCCTGCGCACAGGTGCCTGGGGGATATGGTCAGAAAAGTCAAGATGACAGCTGCCAATGATGGCATGGAGGATCCTCCCATGGGAGGCAGATTAAATCTCACCTCCCCCCCCCCATGACATCCTTGTCTCCCCGATCAGGATGACATCATTGACAACGTGGACAGCTTCCTTGCGGCCGCCGAGACCCTCAAGGAGCGGGGGGCCTATAAGATTTTCGTCATGGCCACCCACGGCCTCCTCTCCTCCGACGCCCCCCGGTTGATAGAGGAGTCGGCAATCGATGAGGTGGGCAATGGCCTGTCCGGCCAAGCGACTGCGTTTGGCAGCTGAGCAGTTGGGGAAGGCCCTGGGTTTGAATCTCCAGCCCCCTGGTTCCTGTCTCAGCTCCTGCTCCCACAATGTCTGGGCCTGGATGCCCAAGTAGCAACGTAGACAGGTGTCTTTAAATCTTGGCAACCTTTATGATAGGTGGACTTTATCTCCCAGGATTCCCCAGCCAGCCAAGCCAAGTCCACACATCTTCAAGTTGCCAAGGTTGAGAAACACTATCTAAGGACCTTACAGACAGGGTTAATAATTGCCCGGCACGAGGCCTGCAATCCTCACCACTAATGTCATGATTTGAAGCCATATTCTTGCGGGCTCAGGCCTAGAAATTTGCCCAGTTGGTTTAGCTGGTGGTCTCCTTCAACACTCATAAAGGTTCAAATTTAACCTGTTGAATCATGGAGCTCTTTGGTGACTGGGAAGCAGTGCAGCCCACCTCCCTCTGCCGGGCAGGAAAGAGCCCTCTGTCATCCCCCCATGAGCTCTTGGAGACAAGGCAGGATCAAAATAGGATGGATAAATTAAATTAAATCATTTAAAATAATCTTCTCTGTCGTTTGATTCATGGCGATCCATTCCAGGCCAAATGCAACAGCTTTGTCCAGTTTTGCAAGGGGGTTGAGACCTCAACTTCTGGAGTGGCTCTTCCTCCTCCCTTCCCCCCCCCCCCAGTAACTTCTGATCTCTGCTTTTGTTTCAGGTTGTGGTGACCAACACTATTCCTCACGAGATCCAGAAACTGCAGTGCCCCAAAATTAAGACAGTGGACATCAGCTTGATCCTCTCGGAGGCCATCCGCAGAATCCATAATGGGGAATCCATGTCGTACCTTTTCAGAAACATAGGACTAGATGACTGACCGTTTCTTGGGCAGGCTTGAAGAAAAAAAAAAAAAGATTTTTTTAGGGCCAAACTGGACACGGGACAGAAACCCAGCTGTGAAATTTTTTTGTGGCTTAATCTTTGTATTTCGGTGGGACCCCTTTTTTTATTAGATCGCTTTTATTTTTCCCTTTCTTTCCGGTGGTTTAAATGGAGTAGATAAAATTCTCAGAGCTATTTTCCTTTTTGTTTTTGAAAAAGAGAAAGGATTTTATAAAAAGTTCAACCCCCCCCCCCTTTCAGCTTCTAGAGACGGTCAGGTTAGCTGTGCTATTTTGCAGGACAGACCCCCGTGCTGAGTTTTTTTTCTTTGCTCCAGCTTCATTGCAACGAATCCAAGTTCGGAAACATGATCCATTGATCGTTTTCCTCTTTTGGGGGGTGGTGGTGGTTGGGGGTTGGGGTGATTTTGGCGGCAGGAGGGACTGCACCTCCAAGGCATTCATTTCTAACATGGATCCGGAACTGGGATGGACCCTTGTTCATTGTCCCAGATAACATGAAGAGCCTTGCACTCCATAGAGCAGTGTTTCTCAGGCTTGGCCACTTAAAGATAGGTGGACTTCAGCTCCCAGAATCCAAGCTGGCTAGGGAATTCTGGGTCTTGAAGTCCATCCCTCTTACAGTGGCTGAGCTTGAGAAGTACTGCCGTAGAGCTTAAGATAAAGGCACCCATGTCAGACTCGTCTACTTGTCACGTGAAAACAGCCGCTTCGTAGAAGACACAGTTGCACATAAAGGAAGGAAATGAACGGAAGCAGCTGTTTTCATAGGAGTTGAATCCTGGGAATTGAAGTCCACCCATCTTAAAAGTGGCCAAGCTTGGGAAAGACTGCTGTAGCGTTTGGGATGAAAGCACCCATGTCAGAGTTGGCTACTTGGCCTTGAAAACAGCCGCTTCTATTCATTTCCATCGTTCGTGTGCATTTTTATGTATCTTCCCATGCGATTCACACAAGACGCTTTCTGCGTTATTGAAGGACAAGGTAGCCCATAATCCTCCTTCCTGCTCTTCCCAGCTTGCTTTCAAGTGCTTTTGTGCATTCGACAAACGGTAGCTACAGCATCGCGTTTGTATCCAAGACCAGCCAAACAAGAAAACCGCAGCATTGTACGCAGTTCCGTGATATTTTTTTTGTAACCATGCTTTTATAGGAAAACAACCATAAGGAATGTGCACTGGTATTTATTCCCTGGCACAAATAAAATGACTCTGGTTTTGCGTAAGCTTCTTAGGAAATATTTCTTTGATTGTTGTCCTCTCTTTGGTGTTGGGATGCTTTCTTAGCTGAGCACAGTTTAACATCTGGTGAATTCTAACCTCCCAGCTGAATTCAGATGCTGGGGAAAGATGCATCCCTGAAATTTTCTGCCCAGCCATTCTGGAGTTTCTGGAATGTTTATTTTGACTTTTCAATCTTGTCTATAGCCCTTGGGTCTCTTGGTGGCCTCCCATCCAAGAACTGATTGGCTCTGCAGGTCAGTTATTTTAAGTCTATTGAAACCAGATGTTTGGCGCATCTAATGTCCATGAACTCACTGCCCAAGGCTGCAAAGTAGCAATTTCCTATCCCTTCTGTGTGTCTCAGATGAAGCCCTCCAGGGTTAGACTTTAACACGGCCGCTTATTAAGCGAAGCCACAAGCAAATGAAAAAGTTGACATATTAACAAGGCAGGTCACCGTTTGCAAGAGAGATGGACAGTGGACAGGATGAAAAAGGAGGAATTACAAGATTGGGCTGAATGTGCCTCTGATCTCTAAAATGGAAGAATGGATCTCATGATCAAATATGCAGCCCATGAAGAGAACTAGTGTTCTTCCCTGGACGTGTGTTGGTTTGAAATCTTACAGCAATGTTTTTCAAAGGCTCTAGCCATCTTTAAGGCTATGCTTCTCAATCTTAGCTTCTTGGATGAGAAACAAAACATCTTCAAGGGCTAAAAATTGCAAAAACCAAGAAAAAAAGCACCTTTGGGGCAACCGTGACCTTGGATGATGGGGAATCTCCACAGACATCCAGGAGTGAATGGAAGGAGGTCCAACCTTGGCTTCTGATCATTAGAAGGAACGAGGCTTCTGGCCACTGGGTCAAATCTGAGGCTGTTCTAGCTGAAACGTGGGCAGCTTCTGAGCCCTGGAGGAAGGTGGGGGTGTTCTACCACTTGCTGGCTTAATGATCAATTCGCTTCGGCTTGGAAGCAGCTAAAAGGAAGCCACCGTGATCTTGAGACTGAGGCACGGCGTCCATCCATGGAGAACAATTCCCACGTAGAAATGCCTGCTCTTTCGCCGCAATTTGGCGTTCCGGATCTGGTGGTGGTGGTGATATATTTCCTTTTGAACCTGGCAGTTGGTATCTGGGTATGGTAGCCTTGTTTTTAAGCTGACCCCTCCGAAGGAGTGAGTTGGTGGTCTTGGGTAATAATATAATTGATTGAAAAACATGACCTCAGACAGTCGAGACTGAAATGAGCTAATAAACAAGAAAATCAACAAAATAGGGGCCATTAAAGAAAGAATAGTAATAAATAAAAAAGGGGTGAGGGAAGGGTATTTGGAAGGCAGGGAGGGAGGCGAGGCAGGGCTAGAAAAGAGATGGTGGGGAGACTGAAAAGACAGATTGAATAAACCTCACCCCTTTCCTGGCTCAATTTTCTCTTTCCCTTTGCAGGCGTCATGGCGGGCAAGTAGGAACAGCGTGAGTGGCTACTTTCTGGCTGGAAGGAACATTGCCTGGTGGCCGGTGAGTAACGCCAACTGGGTGTAACTGATTCCTACTGGTTTCATGCAAGGAATATGAATATATATTTGTTGCTGTTTATATCTGTCATCTGTGTCTATCATAGCTGGCTGGGAAAGTCTGTGAGTTGAAATTACTTATCTTAAAATGGCCAAGGCTGAGAAACAGTAATCTGTCTCTGTCTGTCTGTCTGTCTGTCTGTCTATCTATCTATCTATCTATCTATCTATCTATCTATCTATCTATCTATCTATCTATCTATCTATCTATCTATCTATCTTATCTATCTTATCTATCTATCTATCTATCATCTATTACCTGTCTTATGTTACAAGATGACTCCAGACAGCGCAGAGGAACACCAATGATTTACGTATTTTATAGAGCCGATTAAACAGATCCAGTTAATGATTAAAGCCAGGAGTTACATTTTTCGGTTTGCTCTGTTGCTTTAATAGGTTAGTGGGGCAGCTCCTGACACCGGGATGCGCAGGGTAGCTCCCTGAGCAAATAATAATTTAACGCAAGCTGCCGAGAGTCTCTTTGAGTAGTGAAATGGGCAGCACAGAGATTTAATAAGTAAATAAAATAAAACAGCGGAGGGCTTTATTCTTGCCATTGTTTGGCAGAGTCCGACCGTGGTGCTTTTCCCTTGCAGATTGGTGCCTCGCTCTTCGCCAGCAGTGAAGGAGCAGGCCTCTTCATCGGGCTGGCCAGCAGTGGGGCTGCTGGGGGGCTGGCCGTGGCCGGCTTTGAGTGGAATGTAAGGGGCTCAACTGTTGCTCAGCTCTGACCTGGGCCGGGTTGGAGCAGCCCTCCCCCTTCGGAGTGTCCTCGGGGTGGGTGGGTTGGGGTTCATCCCCCTGCCTGGCTAGCAAGGGGAGTGGACCTGGCTGGGGATGACCGGCAGCCTCGCAGCCTTCTGCTGATGGCCTCTGTCTGGTTCTTGGCCTCATTTAGGCCACCTACATGCTGCTGGCCTTGGCCTGGCTCTTCGTTCCCGTCTACCTTTCGTCAGAGGTGAGTGCAAGCCGGCTCTCTCTCAACCCTCCCCCCCCCCCGGTGCTGTATGCAAGGGTCTCCTTGGGGCTTGCTCTTTCCCCATAGAGCTCAATCTACGCTTGCTGAGCCAGTCTGACAAGAAGCCACACTTGATGGGTGGACACAGCTCACTGCTTTGCAGATCTTGAGGGACAGGTTCACAGAACACGGCAACTCTGCAACCAAACAAACCTTCACGGTGGTGGGTCCATCTGGCACTAGGTTGTCCATCCGAAGCAATTCCTCCCTCTCTTCCCCAGATCGTCACCATGCCGGAGTATCTCCAGAGACGCTTTGGAGGGGAGCGAATTCGGGTCTGCCTGTCCTTCTTGTCACTCCTCCTCTCCATCTTCACCAAGATATCTGTGAGTGGCCCCCTTTCCTCTGCATCTCTAGGCCTTTTTCTTAGCCTGACTGGGGTGATGGGCAGCCAAGTGGAGTTAAAGCATGCCAAATTGTAGAGGTTCCTTCCTTCCTTCCCTTCCTTCCTTCCTTCCCTGGGTCCTGGGGCTGCACTCATGCCTTTATCCAGCAGGGGGCGCTGTTGACCACCACATTCCCACCAGCCATCCACTCAGCCATCCTTCACCTGGATGCTTTCCTACTTCCCAACTCTTTGACAACCATTTTTCCCTGCCTCCCCCAACTTTTCTGCAGTTAAGTCTCCATGTTCCAAAAGTCTGTTCCAAGCATTTCCTGTTCCTGGGGGCCAAAGCGCCCAGATGCAAACATAGCTTCACGTTTTCTTTGAGGCCTCCTTTAAAAATGTCTGCCCTGCACAGAGTTTATATTGACTCTAATATGTTGGAAAGGATTTTGTTTTTTCTTTGAAAAGACAGAGTGCTACTGATGGCTGATGGCTACAGCAGACCCCCTCCCCCCCATTCAGTAGTAGTCTATCTTTCTAGGTGGATTGTTTGGGAAAGAGGGAGGAGGGGAAATGTGTTTGCAGTTGTGGGTTTTCTGGAGACATCTGACAGGCTGTGAGGATGGGCGATGAGGGGGGGAGCCACAACCCACCTTTAGGTTGGGCTGGTGTAGCCAAACCCACAGATTCATTGAGAAAGACGCTTCCCACGGAAAAGGATGGTTTTTTAAAAAAAATAACAATAATAACAATTATGATTGGTCACCTAGTCAGCCAGATGCTTAGACTGGATTTGGTGTTTTGATGCACCCATGGAGCCCTTCCCAAGGACCGGTGGTTGTTTGACGGTGGTCAAGGAATCATCGCAGGAGGGAAGCGGCTCCGTTCTGCAGTTGACCGTCAGGAATTTGGCAATGCACAACCTTGGTTTTCTTAAGTGGGGGGAAGAGGCTTGGCCGTGTAGCTGAGTCTAATCAGATCCTTCCTGCAAAGTTTTAATAGGGGAGGGAAGGACCTCGGATAATAAGGGGTGATTAGCTCCATGGGATGCTTGAAGTGGAAACTGGGCAGGAAATAAGAGCAATTATTCAAATTCTTGTTTGATTCATGCCTCTCTTTGCTCCTGTCTGGCCCAATCAATTCTTCTCTACAAACACAATGGAGGGCAGAGCAAAACCTGAACTTGCCTCTTTGTTCTCGCCTAGGTGTAGATTCCGCCAGGTGTGCGCAGCTTTTTGTTGTGATCTGGGCCGCTGGGTCACGCCTAGGTGTGATGTGGGAGCTGGTCTCTGTGGCTGACAGCCTTGCCAAGTCTTTTCTGCACCCAAAGGGATGCTTTCTTTGAGCTGCCCCTGGAATGGTGCTGGTCCCTGGGATTAATGGCTTTCCAATGGCCATTGAGTCATTCCCTGGAGGGGCCGGTTTGGCCCTCAGCTCAAGGCGCCCAACCCTCTTCCCGGGGAGTGGGGCGGCCCCATTGACAGCAAAGGCTAGGCTGAGTCTCTGCATACTTGCCCGATGCTTCGGGGGTCAGAAAGAGGGCAGCTGACCTGGGTCAGGGATCTGCACTTGGCTCCCGGTAGTCCTGGACTTTGGACTTAACAATCATTCACACGTGAGTGTGGCAATCGTAAGTTGAGATGATTGCAAAGGGGGAGGGAGTTCACCCCGTGACCTCACGACTTTTTTTGCAGCCCCTGTAAAGTAAACTGCGAGTCTTAAAGCGAACACGGTGGCCATTAAGTGAACCAAGGGCTTGCTACAGGCCAGCGTTTGCTGGAAAACAAGAAAATGCTGGTTTGTGCCAAAATCTCAGTCGTCTGACTGTGGGGCACAGCAAAGCCCCATGAATGCAGGCCGGTGATAAGTTTAAATTGAAGAGCCTCTTGCCCGTCTCCTGCCGTGTCCATCTTTTTTAAAAGCCCTTTTCGGTAGCCCAGTGCGAAGCTGCCACTGAGGCTGGGCGTGCAGGAAGAGCTTGGCAGCTGACTGACGGGCGGAGCAGGTGCCTGAGGGAGAAATTGTTCGAGCCGGGAGAGTGAAAGCACTGGGCATCGCCCGCCTGCCGCCTTCCGCCTTTGCCTGACAGGCAGCAGAGGCCAGCCGGGCTTTGCTGAGCCAGCAGGAATGGCGAGAAGACACCACCCTTCAGGCCGGGAAGCTGGAAGCTTCAGCAGCTGAAGGGCTGGCTTCATCTCTGAGTCCCCCTCCACGGGCTCTTTATACATGGGCAGTGTATAAATTAAACAATAATAATAAAAAGCAAAGACAGTACCAATAGTAATAGGCACCTTGGTGCAATCCCAAACTGGAACACCACTTGAACACCTTTGGCATTGACACAATCACCATCGGTCAATTGCAAAAGGCAGCTTCGCTTGGAACAGCTGGCATCCCACGACGAGACCTTTAACACCATCAGACATCCACATCTGCCTATCCCAGGCCCTTGGAAGGACTCTGTAGGTGGACCAAGATGCCAAACCTCTGGATGACTGGACGGTCAACCATAGCAATTTATTTTGAAAAAAAGAGAGATTTGTTTTCTTCCTCTCCTTCCCTCCATCCTGAAAATCCACTGAAAGGCTTCCCCAGATTCCCAGACTCCCAGACTCAGGGCTTAGCCATCCTGGCTAATAAACCATTAGTGTAGCTCCTCCCTTTCCTTGTGTTTGTATTGTGTCCTCCAAAAGCCATCTGGGCTGTTGGTGATCCTCTTACATCTCACAGCAGTGAGTTCCACAGGTTAATTACAGGCTGCGAAGTGAAGTCCTGCCTTGACGTTGCCCCATCCTTGTGTGTGAAGCTCTCCGGAGTTTGGAGTTGAAAGCTTTCTGGAGGTTCTCTGCCCCACCTCAGCTGCTGGGTGTGCCTCCCCACGAAGCAGCTAATGAGGGACAGGTCCCCAAATCTGGCTTGGAAATTCCCCCCCCCCCCGAGACTTGTTGATAAGACGATGGGCAAGGAAGCCTTTCGTGGGAGGCATTTTGCACACAGTCTCTGTTGCTTCTCAGGACCCGGCTGGGATGCCTGAGCTGAAATCTTCTGCCAAAACAAATGTTTAGGTGTCAGGACTCCAGAGCGAAGTGTTTCTTACTGAAATGTAGGACTGTGCCAATTGTGTGGCTTGGCCCTCCTCTTTGTGTCTCCGGATGCAAAACCACACTGCAAAGGTGGCTTTTTACCTCCGCTGCCAGATCCCAGGTAAACCGAATTAAACCAGGCTCGGTTTCCTCTTGCAGACGGACCTGTACTCCGGAGCCCTCTTCGTTCAGATTTGCCTCGGCTGGAACCTCTACCTTTCCACCGTCTTAATGCTGGGGGTGACTGCCGTCTACACCATTGCAGGTGAGACGAAGAGGGCGGCCCTGCCCAAAATCTCAGGATCTCAGCCTCGGTGGGTCTCCTCCAGGACGGCAATGGGACCAATCTCACCATCCCCAGGTGGAACCAGAAGTTCTGCTCCCGGTTGTGGTTTTAAGTTGTAGGCTTTGTTGCTCTGAGGTCCCGGGTAGTTTTTTGGGAATCAAGGCAAGCTGTCTGCCATTTCCTTCTTATTTGCACCTACCATCTTGGGATCTCCCGGTGCTGTCCCCATCCAACTTGTAATTAGGCTGGCCCTGCTTATCTCAGGCTCCAGGTAAGGACAGAGTGCTGCTACCTGTTGAGATTTGTCCAGGAAGCCGCCAGAAGGCATCTTGAAGGAGGCTTCCTACATGTTAGCTTTTGGTTCCAGGCAAACTAGACTTCTTCTGGGGGGGGGGACCAACTCATTGTGTGCAGGGGGCTCTCTGAGCTTGATTGATTTCTTGCTCATTAACAAGGTAACATCATCGGTGCCTTCAAGCCCTTTCAGGTAGCACTGATGGTGTTACCCAGTTGGGCAATGAAACGTCTGCAAGAAAACAGCCCAGCTCAGAAGGCACCAAGGACCCCACAGTTCAACCCTGAGCACAAAGGTTTTTTTCTCTTTGTACCAACCGGTTGTCTCAACCCTTTCAAAGTTGCCTCTTGCCTTGTTCCAGGTGGGCTGAGGGCTGTCATCTACACCGATGCTCTGCAAACCCTCATCATGGTGGTTGGTGCGGTCATCTTGACGGTCAATGGTGAGGACCCAAGACCTGCCTTTCCCTTTCTTCTCTTTGTAACTTGAGCAGAGAAGCCGGAGGCCACAGTAGACAACCCCGGAGTGACATGGGAGGAAAGGTGGACGTTCTGTTGGCAGCAGGAGGAACCAGCCCAAGAAGTTCTGCCTTTCTCGTGTATCTCCATGCCCCCCCCAGAAGAATTTCCCAAATCTTTCAGGGCAGGGACTCTGCTTCCTTTTACTTCAATTATCTCACCCACCCAATTCAATTCTGCTTGGTGGAAAGAGCCACACATGTTTCTGCAGCTTTTTAGCCATTTTAAAGACCTTTATTCGCTTTCTACATTTGTAAACAATTGCTTGGTACATGAAGGCCAGCCCCCCCCCCCGACATCTCAACTCTTGGCAGCATTTATGCTGGAAGCGGACAGCCAACGGAAGGCTGAGCCTGCCAGGGCTTCTTAATGCCCTCTGGCTGGCTGGTGCGCTGCCCACCTCCTCCACTTCCTGTGACTTCCCTGGAGCTCCTTTCCACTCTCTCTCCTTTGGGATGCTTGGCCCTTTTTCTCCCTTAATTCAAGTCATACATGGGGTGAAGTTTGAGTTTTCAGCTTCTGTCTCTAGCTCCCTCGGAGTTAAGTCTGTCGAGGGGAAGGTGAATGAAGTTGGCTACAGTGCACGTGTGCCAGGGGAGCTGTCGGGAGACGCATAGAAGGCAGGGGAGGGCAACGACATCACCGCATTGTCATTATGGGGCATGAGATGCCACTGTGCCTTTTATGGGGTCTGTGATGCCACTGTGGCTTCACCAATGTGGCGCTGATGTCTGTGAGGTATGTGGATGGGGGGGGGAGATCCTGCCAAAAGTGCAGATGGGGGTCTGGGAACATTGCAAGAAGCTTCCTTTGGGGTCTCTGGATGAGACTGCTGTTGGGACAGCTTTCCTCCACTTGCTACCCTGTAGATGCGCCAGTGGTTCTTCTGGCTATTTGAAGGCTTGTGGGCAGCTGAGGAATTGGGGGAGGCGGTGAGCTCTTGATTGCTCCTCATGGTTAAGTGGTGCCTTCAGAGGTTGATCCCAGACTCAGGATCAACTAGAGTTTGTCTCTTGAACTGAACTGAACCTAAGATGGCTTACAAAGAGGAGCCAGCCCTTCTCACTGCCCATGTCCCCTGCTTTTGGGGCACAGTGTGTTGGCCCCCTTCTTTTCTCACCTCATCCTGAGCTGTCAGGAAACCTGATGCCCCAATATCAAGGGCTCCCCCTCATCTGTTGGGGGCAAAGGAAGGAGAAGATGCGAAACGTTGGCTTTGGAGGAACACGGACAAGGGGAAGGGATGTGGTTGCTGGGCTAGGCCATTGTTTATTGGTGCTCTCCTCCCCTCCCCTCTGCCCCATTGGTTTCTATTTTTGCCAGCCTTCCACCAGATTGGGGGCTACCACAACCTGGAGGAGGCCTACTTAGCTGCCACCCCATCAAAGATTGTCCCCAACACAACTTGCCACCTGCCCAGGCAGGACGCGATGCATCTCTTCCGGGATCCCATCACTGGAGACCTGCCCTGGACGGGCATGACTCTGGGTCTGACCGTCTTGGCCACGTGGTACTGGTGCACTGACCAGGTAATTGCAAAGCAGCCCATTCCCCATTCCATCGGTCGTTCTGGTGTCTCCACCGGCCTTACTGGTCCTTGGGCTGGCTGGTCCCAGCGGGCTTCCGTTTGGACTCCCATTGGGACGCCTTGCTCTTCAAGTGCTTTGACTGGGAGAGCTTGGACAGAGGAATGCCCAGCGGAGTCCTTATTTCTTTTGGGGACCTCTGGCCTTCGGGGAGTGGAGACAGGGACTGACCAGTGGCTCTTGGGGTGCTTGTGCCACCTCTGTGGAAGACGGGGCTGGGCTGGGCATTCTTAGCAGAGGTGAAGTTTTTCCTTTGCCAGAACAAGGGGTTGGCTGAGGGTGGGGCGAGTTTCTTGGCCCCAGTTCTGTCCTGCGGGCCTTTGTCCTCCTTGGAGCTTTTCCGCTGCTGGGGATGGCTTTTGGCCCGTTCTGCCGACACTTGCACCCGGGATCCGTAGCAGAACAGTTGGGGCCCCTGTGGACAGAGCAGAAAGCAGGAGAAGTTGACTGTTAGCATCGACAAGACAAAAAGGCACTTCCGACATCTGCATGCAACCCTATCTGTGGGTGGTGGAGTTTTGAAAAGGGTTGGGAGACAGAGACCGGCTCCCATGAATTTACGAGAAGCAACTATTTTGATTCAGTTGTAAACTCCAGATTCAATTTAGATCAGTGTTTCTCAACCTTGGCCGCTTGAAGATGGGTGGACCTCAACTCCCAGAATCCCCTAACCAAGATGGGGATGGCACCTTTTCTTAGTGTGAATGTTTCCCTTCTGGGAGAATTCACTCTCGTGTCTTTCCAGGTCATTGTCCAGAGGTCCCTCTCGGCCAGGAGTCTCAACCACGCCAAGGCCGCCTCCATCCTTGCCAGCTACCTGAAGATGCTGCCAATGATTGCCATTGTTATGCCGGGCATGATTAGCCGGATTCTCTACCCAGGTAAGTTGCGTGTCAAAAAAAAAATGTCACGGAGGAAAAACCTCCTGGTCTTTTCCAGACTGAAGAGGCCTGAAGCCGTGGGTATCATAGCTGGGGCACCCAGCCTAGCAGAACCCAGCCTGGCCCAGGGAGTCAGCTGCCAGAGGACTTCCAGGGTGGGCACAGGCGCCCACCTTGGCAAATGCAGCTGGACCATTGGCCTCTCCAGGGCCCTGATGCAGGGCAATTAACTGGGCCCTGCTGGGGGCCGGTTCCTGCTCTGTCCTCCCTGGAGTGGGATCACTTGCTCACTTCCTGAACACAGTTCAGGATGTCATCAGCCGGAAATAATCTCGAGTGCCAACTGATTGACAGGTGGGTGAGCTGTGCGCGAAACCTGCCAAGCATCTCAGAAAGCAGGTGTGGGTGGAGGTGAGAGGCATTTCTACCCATGGCTTGTCTCATGTCCATCACGGTTACTGTACCTCACCTCTTCCTAATGTTAGAATTCAGGACTGTCCGGTGTTAGGATAAGCCCTGTTAGTCAACTGTGGTTTGTTGACTATGCTGGAATAATAACCATATCTATGCCTCTCATATCTATGCACAAGAGACCTTTTGTATAATTGTTGCTGTTGTTGTGTTGCTTTCTTTTTTTTCCTTTCTCTTGTTTTTTTTTTTTTTTTTTAAATTTGCTGGCTGGGGAATTCTGGGAGCTGAAATCCACCTAACTTTGAGTTGCTGAGGTTGAGAATTCCTGTGGTGGAAGGTTAAAGTGGAGCCTTTCCATTTAATTAGCTGGATAACTGCACTGGAGTTTTATGTAATTATGTATTGCTCCATTTTAATTTAGTTTTGATAGAATTGTTTTTATTTTTCCTGTATTTTGTATACATGAGTATATATTATGTTTACATTGCCAAGAGGCACATGATTGCGGCAAGTATATAAACACTAATGACCTAATAAATTCATAAAAGCATGCCAAGCCAAGAACGAACCAATCACAACATGGCTTGTGTGAACCTGGTGGGGAAAAAACACCAATCAGAGGTTGCTGGTCACAAAGCATTCTGGGAAGCCCTCAAGGATGTGGTTGGCTTTAGACACCCCATAGCAACTTTCGGGTGTGTGGGCAGTTTCTGCTCAAAGTTCCTCTCCTTCCAGAAGGGGTCCTTTGATGATCTTCAGCTACCACATGCTTGGACTTGAAGCTTTGGACGGGGGACCTTGGCAGCTGAGCTTGACAAGGCTCAGCATCCACACTTAGCATTGGTCCTAAATCTGGGTTTGAAGCCCTTTGGGAGATCAAAGGTTGACTTCAGGGTGGCTTTTCCCCAGATGGCTTCGTGTAGATCAAGGCCTTCTCAAGAGCTGAGCTCTCGGAGAAAGACTTGATAATTCTGGGAGGAAACCAAAACTGTGGAGCTGGCTGTTGTGTTCCCATATCAGGAGGAGTCCTAGGAGAAGAGGCGGCTCAATATGAGAAGTGTCACAATCAGAAGATGGAAATGTGGGCCTGGCAGACATATTGCCTCTGGGGCCATGGAATTAAGCAGCTAACGCTAATTGCAATTCTTTGGGTGAGAGGGCCAGAGAAACTAGCAATTACCGCTTTCAATTGTAACTTCAGTATTGGAAGAGCAACCAAGAGCAACGGCAAGTTGTCTTGGAAATTACGGTTATGCTTTCCCATTTGTGACCAAGGGCTATAATGGATGTCATTCCATGTGGGTAGCTCCCAGTGTTAACCATTATTTGACAACTGTTCTATTTTTTTTTTATCTGATGGGTCTGACCTGGTCTTCCCATAATTCCCAGCCAAAGGATTTTCTTCAGGGTTCCAATCCAGCCCCGCAATATCCCAAGGAAATGTCAGTGGACACAACAAATGTTTTTATGAGCTGATATTGTTGGGTTGGGTTGGAAGGCATGACCAATTCCCAGGGTTGGGTTATCAGTTGGTTATTGCTGTTGGCATCTGGTCTAGAGGAATTGTACCCAGAGGTGGCTTATGGTGCTCTCACAGAGAAACTGGGGAACTGCTGGCACCAGGGTGGTGATGTCCATCAACTTGAAGGCTTTGCAAGGAGAAGAGGCAAAATTCATAGAGGATGAAGCTATTTGTGGCCACTGGTCTCAATGCCTGTATCTGATCTCCAGCATGGGACGGCTCATTGGCTCTGGGAACCATGAGCAGAAGGGGACAATGGGCTGATGTCATGTTTGATGGGCTACTGAGAAGATACAATGGTCAGTGAGATCTTATCTTCTCTCTATCTTTGCAGCTATTTAATACGAGCATGTTTCTGAACAGCAGCTCCCAAGGGTCATCCTGGTCTCCCAAGCCCACCACTCTTAGAAAGGTTCCCACAAGGAGTAATCTTGCAAGTGGTCCAACTCTCCAGTGACTGCTATGACAGTCACAGTCCGGTCTAAGTTATGTTTTACATGACAGCCATATTTTCTGCTAGAGAACCATGCTGGGCACTTCCCTAGGGCTGCTAAGGGTAGAAAGCTACAACAGAGACGCCTACCTGTAGAGCATCGCTCGGACAGGTAATGTAGCCAGCAGGTAAAGCATGCAGGGGGAGGCCCCTTTCCCAAACGCACCTCGTCTCCTCCAGGCTGTCACTTTTCCTTCTCCTCCTTTGAGCGGCTTCCTCCAGAGGAGGAGTAAGCCTTGGTGGGGGGCTCCCCAGGGGGCTTACAAAGGTCCCCCAGCTGATGTAAGGCTCACTCAGTTTCCGTTGCAAGTGGTGAAGGCTGGGCCCTTCTCCGTTGAGAAGGAAGTCGGAGTTGGTCCTCCGCAGAGGGCAAATGTGGTCTTGCCCCCCGTGTTTGTCAGAGTGGATGGATGCCTTGGAGAGGTTGCAGCTATGGGCAGGGGAGCTATTGGAGAGGCTTCCGTGGTCACTGAAGGTTACGTAGTCTTCCTCCTCTTCCTCTTCTGCCTCCCCCTCACCACTTTGCACCCCATTCACGGGGAGGACGTTTCCTTCCTGAGTCCCAGCTGTTTCCATGCTCACCTTGAGATGGTTCCCTGTGTTGGCAATCTGGGGGGTTTCTTCTTTGGATGATGGATTTGTGGTGATGGTCCCTGGCTGGTGAACAACAGGGTTCTCTGCTGTCCCTGCTTTCTTCTCTGCATATTCTGTTTTCTTGGAAATGGGGTCTTTCGTGTGGACTCTCCTTGGTTTGGGCACTGGGGCAGCAGCTCTTTGGTCATCTGCTTGGGGGTCCAGCAGTTGCTTCAAGTGCCGGTTGTTGGCCAGAGTGGCAATTGTCTCCCCATTGACTAGGTGTCCGGGATTCTTTTCCATGGGGCTGGTGGCCAATGGTTTGGAAGAAGGTTCCTGATCCTGGGCTGAAAGAGGGGCAGATTCTACCAGGGGTGGAGAAGTCTGAGAAGGTTTGTTCTTGGCCCCTTCTTGACCAGCTTTGTTCTTGGCCTCTTGGGCCTTTTGTTGCTTGAGGAGCTGCCTGTGTTGGGCGTTGGCCTTGGAAACATCACACACCTTGATGCGGTTGATTTGAGAAAGCTGGATGTTCTTCACCTTGGGGTCGATGATGTTGATGTAGCCCAGAATTTCGCTTCCAGGTTCTGGATCTGGCTCCACCCAAGTGGGCAGGTAGTCAAACATATTGGCCTTCTCCAGGTTGAGGAGCCCAGGGTGGATGAGTGGCACCTTCTCCATAAGGTTGCTGGGCCTCTCGGACACGCGGTTTTCAGGGATGACCTTGCTTTGGACCTCTGTCTGTTGTTCACTGAGGACCTTGTCACTGCTGGCTTTGCCACTGCCCCCCACCTGCTCAGTGCTTTTGGCCTTGACCAAAGCATACTTTGGATTGATTAGCTTCTTCGCCGTGGAGCTGGCCGGGGTCAGCGAGATAACCGAAGGCAGGATGACCGGCTCGGGTTCCGGTTCCTCGCCCAGGGGGATGGACTTGAGGCTGATGCTCCGAGACATGAGGTACAGCTCCTGGAACTGTTTGTCAAAGGCCTCGACCACCTGGCCTGAAAGGACGGAAATGACGTTCCGATCGGTCCTGGCGGCTGCCCAGGTGAAGCTAGAAGAGAAGAGGGAGCGTTACGTTGGGGGCTGACAGTCTCTTGAACGTAAAGCAAATGCTATAGAGGAAGACTGACTAAGGGGTAGCACTGTTCAAGCCTGTTAGAAGAGTGGTTTTTTTTTTTTTTTTCCATCTCCCAGGATGGCTGTGTTGATGGGACCTCTAGGGCAGTTTTCTCAACCTGGACAACTTTAAGACGTCCGGATTTCAACTCCCAGAACTGAACTTTCTTCAAATTCAAATTTCTTCTGGGAATTGAAGTCCACATCTCTGAAACCTGCCTCGCTTGAATAACACTGTGGCAGACCACGCAAGGGTGCGTTTCGGCAGCCAAATACTTCTGTTCAGTGCACATATAGACCACTTTTCTGGGGAAAGTCTAAAAGTTGTTGCTTGTTCATTTTGGTTGTGGGTCGTGAGAAGAAGCTAAGCATTAAAGCTTTGCTTGTAGAAATACAGCCCCAATTGTCTGTCTGATCTCTCCCATGTGAGTGAAGGCTCTCTTTGGCTACAGGGCCTCCCCTAGGGGGTCTTTTCCATCCCTTCCTCCTCTTCAGTTTTCCAATGGCACCCTTCCTACCCGCAAAGCCACGCAGAGCAAGTGGGAGCGAGTGGGACATCAAACCAGGGTTTTCTCCAGGGCCTCGACTTACCTGTAGGAGCCACACATGGCTTTGTCCCCGTCCACAAACATGAACTTCTGAGCCAAGGCCCCCTTGAATTTCATGGCGGAGCGGGTGAAGAACTCGGTGCCCCCAATTGTGCCGATGCGGAGATTCTGCAGACACAAAGGAGAGGAGTGAGCCGGAGAACAGTAGATCGTTAGCTGATCTGCACTTAAAGGGTATTTCTTTTGATTTCGGACCCAGGGCTGTGCTTTCAAACCCGGATGGGCAGAGGGTGGAGCCGGGCGCAGGTGTGGCATGTCCGATCAAGGAATGCCATCCAAGGTTGACTTATTCAGCACAATACCTGCTTGCTGCAAACAGAAGAGGCAACCAAGCTGATTATTGAAGCGTCTTTGCAAAGCCCAAATAATTCGGACTACATGATGCCTGTTTTGCAAACCTCGTTTGGCTTTGATGAAGGGAGCGGCTGGAGTGAAAGCTGCTGGGCTGGCTTGTCAGAGGATCAGTGCAAGGAAGTGGGAAGTTGTGGTGTGTGAAAACAAGAAAAGTGCAGAATTGCAACACGCAAACATGTGTTGTGTGCTCCCTGTACTGTAGCATCCCACGTATTGAGAAAGTGCTGAGCTAAACCAATTTCCCCAGCGCAGGCATACGAAATGCATCTTTGTCTCTGGCGTTTCTCTGATGTTTTTGCTGAAAACTGAAATTTGCTTCTGGTTTTTGGCAAAAACATCCCATAGCAAACCAGTTGCCATGTTTGCTTAACAACTATTGCAAAAAAAAAAAAAAAAAAGGTTTGCAAAAATCCGTCTGGTTATGTGATGACCCACTTTATGAGCCTGTATTATGGCTGTAAGCTGAGGATGACCTCCAGAAGTATTTTAAAGGGAGAAGAAAAGATAAGTGGAAAGTCGAGGAACACAATATAAAGCACGCTTATAGAAACAAGTCAACGCGTGCAGAAATGGAGGGCAGGTTTTAAGGAGCAGGCTCACCAACGTTGGGAGAGGATTTGAGTGACTTGCCAAAGGCCTTGTGCAGAGTTCTGGGGAAAGCTAACAAAAAGCCCAGTGCTGCTGGATTTTCCCATCTTTGTTGTCTTTGGTGTGGCTGAATGGATTTCTTAACCTTATCACAGCTGCTCACATTTCAGATGTTCTGAATTCGAGAGACACGATGGGTTGGTGAAAGGTTAACAAGTCCCTGTGGCTGTTTTAACAGTTCTGGAGAACTTCTTTAAAAGTTTGGGTCAAAAGGAAGCAGGGAGCCTCCGAGGGAAAATCTCCAGGAAGAAGGTGGAGACCAAGAGCTCAATTAACTCTTAATTGCTCTCGTTCCAGAAAACACATTTTTTTCATTCTTCATGCCCTCACCCAGCCAGCTTTTAAAGGCTGGACACCTTGTTTTGTTCTGAAGTTAATGAATGACATTATGTTTATTCCGTCCAGCTCAACCAGTGAATAAAGCCAGCACAGTCTATTGAAAATAAGTAGCCTGAATTGACAAAAAGAAAGGGAAAAAATGTAGTTGAGGCAGTTGTCTGAAATAAGAGCAATTTGTTGATTGAGAGAACAAAAACCGGGAGCAAACAGCCAAGATGGATGGTTGGCAGGGTAGAGGAACAGCATCACAGCTCCAGCCAAGGGCTGAGTCACCGGGCAAACATGTGCTCGGAGGCCTGGAGACATCTCCCAGCATGCCTTGTGGCTGACTCCCAGCACCTGCGTGTTGACTCTGGTCAGGTGTGAGGGTGCTGAAGCTCGGCTGTCCTCAGATGGACACCAAGACACTTATGGAAACAGAACTGCTGCTCCCTCAAATGGAATTGTGGAATTTTATGACCTGGGAGGTGGACTGTGTGGACTTCAGTTCCCAAAATTCCCCAGCCAGAATTCTGGGAGTTGAAGTTCACAAATCCTAAAGTTCTTGAGGTTGAGAAACACTAGTCTATAGCACCAAGGAATCCAGCTTCCTCTGGAGCCCACATGAGCAAACATCTCCAGATCTTTGAAGCAAATGCGCTGATTTTGATTGGAGCAGCTTATGAGCTTTGAAAAAGGCCTTTTGTCGGCATTATGTGCTAAAGGTGGAGCCGTATAAAACTGAGTTTTCAAAGAAAAGAGCTGAGCTGGAACGCAGGCAGGATGATGCCTTCCTGCAGGGCAATTCAAAGCAAAGGTGGTGTTTACAATCTCCCGATGGGTAAAGTACAGTTCTGTGCTTCGAAAATGAGACCAAGCAAGATGTCACCTTTGGCCCTATGGACACTTAGATATGTGGCTAGCAAGAGGGCAAAATACACGGCTCATCTGCTCAGCCCCATAGCTCTGTCAGCAGTGTTTCAGGATTGCCAAGCATGCTGTGATGTGAAGACTAGGGTGAACCTGGTTCCATCACCAGAAGCTTTCTTGACGTTGCCTTTTGGAAACCCACCACCCCTCAAAGCTCCTCCATCCACTCTTCCTGCTCCCAGCCCGTTGGCTTCAATTGCAAAATGGGGACAGTAATTCTTAGGACATGTGCATGATGGACTCAGCCATTTGAAACAACCAATCAAGGTGCAAAAATCTTTCTTCATCCCTACGTATAATGCAAGAGGTGTGCTATTTTTTTCTCTCAGCTTTTATAACTTCCTGCTATCCTGGGAAGTCCCTGCAGAATGCCAATTTGTCAGTCATTGAGAATAACAAGCTATTCAGACCTCTGACAATTATTTCTTGACATGGGAAAAGGACCCAAGCTAGCTCTTTACCTGTTTTGGTCTACACAAGTTAAAGCCTTGCATTAGAAAACAGTGAGGACAATTAATCAGTGGAACAGCTTGCCACCAGAAGGTGTGGGGGCTCCATGACTGGAGGCTTTTAAGAAGAGACTGGATAGTCACTTGTCTGGAATGGTATGGAGTCTCCTGCTTGAGCAGAGGGTTGGACTAGAAGACCCCAAGGTCCCTGCCAATTCTGTTACTCTTTCGGTTAGAAGCTGAGGGACCTTGAGTTCTAGTCCTGCCTTAGGCATGAAGCCAACTGAGTGACTTTGAGCCAATCACTCTCCCTCTATCCAAGAAGGTCGTCCTGGCAAAGCCACATCTGAAAATACGGTCAAGGGAATTGCAGAAACCTGTCGCTATTGTCATCAGCGGTCAGAGGTTGACTTGGGGGGGGGGAGGAGGAAAGCTTACTAGGCATTAATCAAGACTCTTAAGACTATCTTTCCATTAATGAGGGCTAGGAACTTGCTTTGCTAGAAACTGGAATCATTGTGAAGTTCTGTTGTCTTCTCCTCTCAGAGTTGCTGAAAGAATGTTTGGAAGGAAGCAGGCAAAGCCCAGGAATGTGCTTGCAAGAGATCAATATCACGGCCAACTGGTGCCACAGTGGTTCTTCCCACAAGCCCCGGGTGCTCCAGCATGGATCCGATTGGCTGGCAAGCACCACTGTCTCTGAAGCCAGTGGATCTGGGAGAGTTGCAATTATTGCAAAACGGGGAAAGTCATTATCCCCTGAATTGGCCAATAAAGATATCGGCTCAGGCTTCAACAGGCTGCCTCTGAAGCAGCCCGAGGGTCTTTTTTCCCTTCCCTTTTGTGGACAATGTTTCAACTGGGCCCCTTGCTGGACATGGGGCTGTTTTACCTTCAGGTGGCCGGCGTGCATCTGGGCTCGCTCGCACATCTGGAGGAAATATTTCAGATTGGATTCGTCTATGATGATGTAGATGGCCACCTTCCGCTTGAATCCTGCCTCCAGGAGGTCTTTGAATATGTCGACATCCGTGAAGGTGTCCATGACCACCGCAACAACCTGCCGGAAGGGAGAGAAGAAGCTTCAGTCATGGGAACCAAACGTGTTTCTCGATCTGGCCTTGCTTTGGCTGGCTGGGAATTCTGGGAATGGGGATCCTGGCATTTCTGGAGGTGTCTGATTTACGCCAAGCAGGGCAGTAAATCTTGACTCTGGCTCCATCATCCCAAAGTCAAAAACTGGCTTACAGCAGAACCTCAAGGATCCTGCACGGCTGCCTTAATGGCTTCACTGCAACTAAGGCAGAAGCGATCCGCATAGAAGGTCTGCCTCGTGTGGGACATAATCACTAAGCTCTTTCTCCACTTCAGGGTTTAAATCCTACGTCTTTCCCTCCTCCCTTTTCAAGTCAACGGAAATTGGGCTGTTCTCCTCCTGCCCTTCAGATTGGGAGGCTTCGGTTCAAGGTTTATCTGAGGATTCTGCCTGGCCTGGGAGTCCCTGGTTCCCATCCCACCCGCCTTTACAGGAAGAAGCCAAGTAGGGGAGACCCGTGTGCTGGAACAGAGCAAACGTTGCCCCTTGATTCCCACCCCATAAATTTCCCAGAATGTTCTCCTTGGATCAACACACTCCATTTCACCCCAAATATTCAAGAGCCCATGATTAGATGGCCCCATGAAACCCACCCTCCATCCTTGAGCCTGTGGCATTTGTTGGTTGCTTGGACGGGGACCACGTTCCAGGGATGGGGGCAGAACGAAATCCATTTCCCTGTGACAAACCCTCAATGCAGACCGTCTTTTCCCCAGGAGCACTCCTGGCTATTAGGTGGTCAAGGCGCAATGCATTGCATGCTTTGTCCCAAAAAGCTTCTTGTATGAGAAGCAAAACGTCCTCAAGGAAAAACCAAGTCCAGTTGCCTCTTGAAAAAGCATCTTTGGGACAAGCGTGACCTGGCTAGCCAAGAATCTCCAGAGACATTGCAAATATTGCTTTTTTTCCTCTTTAGAGGCTGGATTTGGGGCAGCTTCAACTTCCAAAGCAGAGCAAAGAACCCCAATTCCTAAAAATCAGAACCCCAGCCCATACTCCTGCTGCAAGCAAAAGGGTGTTTTAAGACAGCCTGGTTCCATGTTGCACTGAAAAAAAACGGCTCACTTGGCCAGCCTTTCCAAAAGGAAAGTCTTTTCCATCTGGGTCCCAGCTGTGGGGGTGGGCCTGTTCTTTCTCAAAACAAGAGCTGGAGAAAATACTTTTCTTCTAAGCATTGTGGGAGAAACAGAGACGGCCTCTGATGCAACCCCACCTGCTTCAAAAGGAGCCAAGACGTGTTTATATCCTATAAGAAAAAAAGAGGAATAACATTTCTGGCATAAGCTGGCTTTGGGTTGAGTAATGCAGTTCTTACAAGAGTCGGTTCTTGGCTCAGAGAGGTTTAATTCAAGAGCAGGAAAGTCACAGGGCCAGCGGAGGGAAACCGAGGCAGGCGGCAAGAGAGAGAGAGAGAGAGAGAATGAATAGAAACATGATCGGGAGCAGGCAAGGTGAAATGAGAAGGGAGCTGGTGCTGACTTGCTTATTGCTTAGCTTCTCTTTTTAGAGAATCTGAGAAACTGTGGGAAGAAGGCTTTTTGCCGATAGGAATGTGTTGGGTTCGAGAGAAGCCCTTTCCTTTTCCCAGGATTTGTGGCCCACATAAATTAAGGGGAAGACACCCCCTTTTTCTAGAGTTCTCCAAATCTTGGCAGCCTCCTAATTTAAGAATTGCATGCTCAATCTTGGCAACTTTAAAATGTGTGGACTTCAATTCTAAGGTTGCAAAATACTGCTGTAAATCATTCATGTGTGTGTAATGGGATTTATTGACAAGCAAAGGTCATTCATTCAGTTTGTATAGCCACTCACTTTACATACACAACTATCAGCTGCTCACATGGTTAAAAACAAGCAAAACCAGATACTCATAAACAATAAAAAACAACAACACAAAAACATAAAAACTCTAAAAACTTTAAATGTATGTTGCTCCTGGTTCTCATTGCCAAGACGTAACTGACTTGCTGACCTGCTCAAACTGAAAAATCAGGAATCTTGGTAGCCAAATCTCCTTTTTAAAAAGAAACACAGGACACGTTGCTGTTTGCACACCACAGTTACAGGATTCTGGATCCTCACAATACACCAAAAGTGAACCAGCAAAACAGGCTGATTTTGCTGAACACCCTAAAGCGATCCGAGATTTAATCAAGCTGAGTCTGTATGGCTTCTTTGACTTTGATTGATCTTGTCAAGGGGATTGTGTGAACTGCTGGTGCAGAATAAAGTTTTTGGACACCTGGGAGATCCAGAAATGCGGTTATTGGGGGTCTCTAGGAAGAGGCAGGATTCGGTTTTGAGAGAATGCTTTTGGAGTAACTCTGATCTGTTGCACTGGAACATGAGTTGTTGGTTGCAAGAAGGAAAAAGAGAAAAAAAACAGTACAGGGGCTGGTTAAGTTCAGAGCTGTTTGTGCTAGGAATTCTCACATACACGTGAGAAAGCCAGCAGAACACACTTGGGTCTGTGTTCGAGTCCTGAAGCAGGCAAAGGTTGTAATGTGGGAACACGTGCCCTAATAGTTGCAAAATCTTGAGCCACTGGAATAGTCAAAAGTTGCCTTTTGGGGAGAGGGTCTTTTGTTTGCTCTGCTCCCCAGTTTCCAGTGGTGGTTTTGCAGGGGACGCTTGGGAAAATCATCAGCCAGGCGTTGATGGCCGTGTCTGTTGCTCTCACGTGCCATGGTGGGGGTGACCATAGTGGTCCTTGAGAAAAGAGGCCCCACCCAGTTACCTTGGCCCATGAATCGGAAAGGCCTTCAGGTGCAAAGAAGTCCAGATCCCTAGTGTGTCTCCTCCTGCCCTCCCCGAGACACACCAGATGGACCATAGGTGGCCAAGAGGCCTCCAGAAGCTGTTGAGATGGACCATCTCCATGCTGAACTTCCAGATTGAGAGATCTTCACTGGGCTTCCCTTTTCCTACTTGATGCTTGCGGACCTGTTGCTGTTGAGGTGCACTAGGATTTGGCAGTGGTGGCAGCTGTTTTGGTGTTTACCAGATGGCAGGGGATGGAACAGGCTGTCTCAACCACTTTTCTCTACCATCGTCTTTTGGATCCTTTTGATCAGCTGCGCCTTCATTCCAGGGTTTTGAAGATGCTTCTGGGCGAGGCGATCATGATTGAACAGTGTTTCTTCTCCGTGGGAGGTCAGGACATAGCCATCTAACCTGCTTTGGGCAGATTGGGAAACCGAGGCACGCCAGGAAGGCTAAGTGGCTTGCGTGCACCACCAAGCCAAGCTGCTAAATGCCACCTCATGACCGAACGGCTGCCTCTCCCGTGGCCTACTTAAGCTTCCCTTGTCATGCAGAGCAATTAGTTAGCTGTCTCAAGATGCTAACTTTTAATCATGCTTAATAATCACGCTTCATCATATTAATATCAGCCTGCGTCTTGAGTATCTCGCAAATACCCCGTGCGCCACACACGGCACTTTTTATCTCCATGCAAATAATCCAAGCGACAGTTGTGTAACCGTGGCTGGTTTTGCTCAGTCCCCAGGTGTGATGGAAAGAGCAGGAGTGGAGAGGCAGGGAAATAATTTGTTGGGAAGACTAACTCATGGGCTGGGTGTCTGCAGAGGGTGGTCTGAAAAGGCAAGATGGTGGCCCCACGTTCCGTGTGGACTTTGCATCACATGGAAAACAGGTGGAACTTTCATGATGTCTATAAACGTGGGTGGACTTTGATTACACCATGGTGGTGGTCCCCATCTTAACATTTGTGGCCATATCCTGTGGACACCCACGTTTGTGTGAACTCAGTGGTGACTTTTGGGTTTCAGGTTTGCCTTGCAAAGTAATTTTTTGTTCCACCTGCAAACTTCCTTGGGGTCCAGAGCTAGTGGCAAATCTCACTGGTTTGCCACAACTGGGACCCAAACGAGGAAGTTCAAGGAGATTTGTTGGCATAATTAAAGGCATAACTTCCCTTCAGGCGCTCACAGATGTTGTTTTCATCTGCTTTCATCTTGGGCCAGGCACACGTCACCTGTTTTTGAAGCTCCTGGGAGAACAAACGCTGAGTATCTCATGGGTCCTCTCCTGAAGCAACTTCTCCTTGCTGAAAAAAGATCCAGATTTTTTGTTTGTTTTCCCAACGGATAAATCTGTTGTCCCGTTTTCATGAGATGAATTGCTTGGGCAACACAGCGATTCTCAAAAACCCGGTTTCTCTGGGCCCAAAGGTTCTTGAGAAGTTCTCAAATGGTTCACCTCATAGATGGAGGAACATGGTTAGTTTTGGGTGAGGGTTCGTCTAGGGCTCTTGGCTAGCTAGGGAACCACCAAAGCTTCCTTGGAAATAGAAGGGACCGTCTTCTTCTCTCTTGCTGCCAAAAAGCCTGCCCTCAACCTTCAGGCCTCTTGATTTCTCCACATCCTTCTGCCTGTCCATCTTCTTACTGTCCGTCAATCCCATACAATCCATCAGTTGGGTGGCTTTGAACAGTCTTGCCACCGCATCTGCAGGTAGACTGCCTCGCCCTAGGGAAGCCCCGGGCTCTGCCAGAGCTGTGAAAAGAAAGGACTGCCTGCATGTGGGGAAGAGCAGCTTTGCTGAAAGAATCCAGGGCCCAAAGGTCTGGCTAGGGGCTTTGCTGTTAGCAACCTCCGGAGGTCAGGCTGAGCAATCCTTGCTGGATAAACAGAGCACCACCACCGACTCAGCTGTTTGCTCAGTCGCTTGCAGACGCTCCAGTGCAGCCTTTCAGTTTTTGTTCCCCCTCCTTTCTGAGTCAATAATTATTTTTAGTGCTTTGGCTACCATGGAAAATAGACAGAGCTCTGTCAATTCAGCATTTACCTCCCCTCCAGGTAACTAACATCAGCTGCTAATCTAAGTGCCTAAAGATACACTTTGTATCTTTGTCCAGGATGGTCTAAGATCTCCTGCCTTGAGCAGGGGGTTGGACTAGAAGACCTCTGAGGTCCCTTCCAGCCCAAGGAGTCTACATTCT